GTTGACGGTGTCGGCGATGAACCTGTTGGATTACCCCTTCGATGGTCTCCAGTGGGTAGCCGTTGGAAAGGAATTCAGTGCGGAGAGTTTCTCTCTCTTTGTCTTTCAGCAGGTTAGTGCTGCAATGCGATTCGATCCTCTGTGCCAGGCACGATAATGTAGCACATTTCGTGGCATTAGGATGGTGGGAGGCGAAATTGATGTATTTACCCGTGTGGGTTGGCTTCCTGTACACTTGTGTCGACAGATTGGTCTCAGATCTTTGGACCCAGACGTCCAGGAAGGCAATACCTCCATTTTTCTCTTCTTCCACCGTGAATTGGATATGTGGTGATATGGCGTTGGCGGCTGCGAGTACGTGGGGCAGTTCTCCCTTCTTGATGATGGTGAAGGTGTCGTCCACGTACCGCAGCCAGGCCTTGATCCTTTCACCACATATTGCCAGAAGCCGTCCTTCCAGCCACTCCATGAAAATGTCAGCTAACACGGGAGAGAGTGGTGAACCCATGGCCGCACCTCTTGTTTGTCTGTAAAAGGTCTGGTCGTACTGGAGGTATGCGTTATTGACACAAAATTCTACCAGTTGTACGATGCTGGTCACTGAGAGCGAGGTGTCCCTGTTTGCTGGGTTCTGGGTGTCTAGTTTCTCTTTTAGGATCTCTAGAGTCTTGGCCATTGGGACGTTGGTAAAAAGGCTTTTGACATCAAAGCTAGCCATTGCGTGGTCGTTGTCGATGTGAAGGTCTGGTATCGTCGTGATGAAATGCCTTGAATTTGCGATGTATGTGTCTGTCTGTCCAGTGAGAGTTCGGAGGATCTTGGCCAGGTGGCGGGCTAGGCGGTGCGTCGGTGAGCCTATCGCAGCCACTATTGGCCTTAGTGGGATTCCTTCTTTATGAATTTTTGGTAATCCATAAAGATGTGGTGCGGAGCAGGTCCACGGATTGAGGAAAAGCTTTTGGCTTTTTGTTAAGGTCTCGTCCCGTGTGAGTGGTTGCAGAAGTGAGTTTAGTTTCCGTATTGTCCGGTCTGTGGGGTCTGTCGTCAAGGTGGTGTAGGTGGTAGTGTCGTTGAGATGTTGTTGTATTTTTTGGTCATAATCGTTGGTGTCGAGGAGAACCACTGCCTTTCCCTTGTCCGCTGGCAAGATTTTGATGTTTGTCACCTTACGTAAACTGGAGAGCGCCCGAGCGTGAACTTTGGAGAGGTTGGAGCCTGGGGGAGGAGAGGAGTCCAAAGTTTGGTGCACTATCCTGCACGTGGCTAGGGCGAGACCTCGGCGGTCGTCAGGCAGTGTGTTGGCCCACATTTCTGTGCGCGTGATGATCTCTTCTGTTGGGAGGGATCTTGGAGGTATAGCGAAATCCAAACCTAGTTCCAATAGACTTGTTTGTTCCGTTGTAAGCACATGTGAGGAGAGGTTGATCACGCTTGGTTTGGCCGGAGCGGTAGTCTGTGGTGTGTGCGGTTTCAGTTTCTTGAGCTCCTTGTTGTGTAACTTGCTGGCGCGGTTGTGGGCATTTGTTGCCAGATCAGTGATCCATTTCCAGCCTTTGCTGAAGGTGGAGCTGTGGTCAATGTGCTCGCTCCAAGCTTTGGCGGCGTCCTGGCTTTTTTGTTTTTGTTGCTGGATTTTGAAATTGGTTTTTTTGGTATATTCTCTAAGGATTGTGGCGTTGCCTTGCGCCAATGCCGCCTTCACCGTTCTCGAGTCAGTTGTTCTGGTCCTGTCAAGGTACTTAGGCGTGACGTGGTTTTTCTTGCACTCGGTGAGGAATTCTTTTTTTTTGCCATTGTTTTTTGAAGGGTGACCGTTGATTTCCGCCATCGTTGTAGTAATAGCCGGGAGGCGGGTGATAATTCCTGGTAAAGTCCGTGCGGAATTGTGGTGGCCATTTTTTGTCCTGTTTGGGAATGATAGTAAGAACATCGGATGGGCATTGGAAATTTGCGTGGAATGAGAATAAGTGTGTTAAAAAAATATATATATGTTGTGTATAAGAAGGTGTTGAGGAAAGATGTGTGGAGTGAATGGAAACAAGGTTAGTGCGATGGTGGTGAGCAACATGTGAAAGTGACAAGTTCATACAATGTCATTTTATTTATTCCCTGTAATGTAATTTTATGAAGAAAACCTTTGGATTTTCTTGTGATGGTTGGAGTGGGACGCTGGGTAGTTAAGGAGGAAATTATAATTATAATGATATGACGGGGTTGAAAACGAAGGGTTGTGTAGGGAATGGACAAGTTGAGGAAAATGGTGGTGGACACAGATGTGATACCGGGATGTTATTATTACTTACATGTAATTAATTTAATATTATTCACTGGTTATTGTACTTTTCTGTAAATATGATTTTGTAATTTTAATTTGGTGCTATGTATCAGTAAGTAAAGCAGTAAGTTGTGGAATTAATTGGGTAAGGATTTGGGCCCCCCCTTTTTTTTGGGGAAGGCTAGGAGGTACTTACAACCCCACTCCTCTCCCTTTTTTTGTATGTTGGGAGAATTAATTTCTCCCCTCCCCCCCCCCCCCCCCCCCCCAGGTGCTCCTCACCCCGTGAACGGACAGGCAGGCAGCCAGGCCCTGTAACAAATTGGTGATCGATGTGGGTAATTGTAACGGAAAGAGTGTAGGATGTTTGATATTTATTGCAGTGGTTGTAATTACCCCAGGATAGCAAGGATGGAGGAAACTTAAACAGAATTACATCATGTACGTACATGTATGTGGTGACACCGTATGACTGGTGGCATGTTCCCCCCCCCCACCCCCCATTCTTTTTTTGCAGACGTTTTTGAAAAATTAAATTTGGTCCCCGCACTCTGCAGCTCTCGCTATACACAACAGGCACACTCGACCGCCGGCCGGATCGAGCCGTTTTCCTCGGACCGGAGATCATTTTCGATCTCCACCAAAATAAAATAATTAATCCACCACACACGGTTCACGTGGTAGATTCGTACTCGGACCTGACCACCGCAAACCCAGATCAACGGAGACCGCACAACACATCCAGAACAAGCGGTATGGACAACGCCCGGGTCAAATATTGACCCCAACGGCGGAGATGCAACGCACAATCGCGAAAGAAGCAAGTCTGCAAGTACGACTCACCATTGTCGGAACGACGAGGACGACAAACGCCCCGGAGCACCACGCGCGCCAGCATCACCGCACGCAGAGCTACGCGCGATCCCCGCGCACGACCTACGACACCACGCAAGATCGACGTCTCCAGAACACAACTCGCGAAGACAACAAGAAGCCATCACGTCGTGTCCGACTACACTCCACATATCTTCCTCAGCCTACGTTCACCTTCGACGTCGACGACCATCTTACCAGCTCCTCGGACAACCTGGAGAGATCTCCCGGTAAGTCCAAAGTCAACACGTGTGTCTCTCTCAGAGACCCGCCAGTGAGACTTCTCTTCTCCTTCGATACACCAATAACCGCCGTCCTGTCTGTGTGTTTTATAGCTCCGTCCACCTGACAGAAGACTCAGCCCACGCCACGAAGAACGTGATACAACACTAACCCCTTCATCAATAATTAATTAGTAAACAATTTCTCGTTCAACAAAGGATTAATACCGGAGAGCCCAAACCCCCTGGGGGGACGCACAATTAATTAACTACGAGTGAACCCAAGACGGTCCAGCGCAACAGCCGAGGTAAGCAATGCTGACTTCCGACATTTGATCCCCAAAAACCGGTGTACCTCACCTGAACAACATACTGGAAGCTGCACTGAACTTATGTTTCCATGTTACCAATTGCAACATTCCACAAATCATTCATAATTGAAGGAAAAGTAACCCTGAAGCTGATTCAAGAAATATAACTCTGTTTTATTTGTGGAATTCATGAGGTCCGTGAACAAGACTATTAGTATTACCAAGACCAACAGCAACAACGAGAACAACACTAAGGAGAACAACAACAACAACAACAACAACAACAACAACAACAACAATCAACGACAATTACAACGACAACAACTATTACAACAACATCAACGTCCATCAACACCCAGACCACAACACCAACGTGCAGACGGGGTGTTCCGACGTGGTGAAGGCCTACCCATGGCCTCGTCGGGACATCACCAACCTCGTCGGCAGCGAGCACCTTCTCACAACAGTCGTCATGGTGATGACTATGACTGTTACAGCTGACGAGCTGAGAGAAGGACGCCATGGGCAGAAGTTGAAAAAAGACAAGAAAAAAGAAAAAGAACAAAAGAACAAAAGAAAAAAGAAATAAATCACAAATAATTTAATTACAGAGGAAGACAAGAAAATAACATCACAAATCCTTCCAGACGTGATCCCTGCAGCGGCAGCAACGTGAACAATACTACGGCGGCAACACGACGACTTCTACAACACAAAAAAACGAAAATTATAAAAATCCTACCAACCCGTAGAGTAACGAGGGTCCGAACCTGGGTTTTCCCAATACGGTTCAAATGGTCGCAAGACCGGGACTCTGCCAACCGGTTTATGGTTGTAGTCAGGAGCACTACGCGTCCTCGCCTTGTAACATGCTGTCAAAATCGAAAAACATGTTAACTACCAAGCAAGGCTTCTGTATATGTATCTGGTTTGTAGTACTGTCAGACCTCGCTTAACCGCACGCATCCATTTTCCACAAAAGATCCGGATAGGCGAGGGGAACGGATAATCGAACACACATACTGTATGCATGCATGACATATGCTGTAAATCGGTAACCGGCGATTTTCTTCCGGATGGCGAGGGATCCGGATAAAAGAGGACCGGATAAGCGAGGTCTGACTGTACTGTCATCGCCTATGATACGCACCAACGTTTGCTCCTTTCAATCTTTGTTCTTTAGTCCTTTCTCTAGTTTGTCTCTTCGTTTTGATACTAGCTTTTTCCAGCTTTTTCAGTGCAATACTATGATACTCTCCTAGCGTATCTCATGCCATTGCATGTGTGGTGTCTCCATGGGTTCTGTTCCTTTGCTGGTAGCCAAACGTTGATGATAGCATGCATCAGTCCAACAGACCGTGACTTCATGGAAACGCTGAACACCTTGAAGTATGCCAACAGAGCCAGGAACATCAAGAACAAAGTATGTGCTTTGAAATAAATATGCTGTACATAGTACTATTTGTAACATATGTGTGGGAACTTACAAAGGAAGTAATGGTGTGGATGGATGCATATGTTCGTGCGTGCGCGCGCGTGTGTGTGTTTGCTTCTCTTGTGACGGTGACGGGCATATGCGTGGTACATGGTGTGTGTGTGTGTGCGTGTGTGTGTGCGTGTGTGTGTGCGTGTGTGTGTGTGTCTCTCTCTCCCCTCTCCCGGGCTGACTCACATGACCAGCTTTGGCAGTGAGCAAGTACAAGTACTCATGATATGATGTATGAAGGATGTACGATATCACCTGTTTCTTGAATGATGTTGTGTCTGATCGTCCACTGTTGTTCAGGTCAGTGTTAATCAAGACAAGGCCTCCCAGCAGATCTCCGCACTCAGGGCTGAAATACAACGCCTGAATTCAGAGCTGGAGGAGTTCAAGACTGTATGTTTACTATTTCCTTTTCCGGTGTTGTGTGCATGTGTGTGCGTGCGTGTGTGCGTGCGTGCACCCGTGTGTGTGTGTGTGTGCGCACGCTCGTGTGCGTGTGTGTGCGTGCGCGCTCGTGCACCTGTGTGTGTGTGTGTGTGTGTGTGTGTGTGTGTGTGTGTGTGTGTGTGTGTGTGTGCGCTCGTGTGTGTGTGTGTGTGTGTGTGTGTGTGTGTGTGTGTGTGTGTGTGTGTGTGTGTGTGTGTGTGTGTGCAATAATCCTTCTTTTTTTGTTGGCTCCCAAAGTATGATATATTCACATGTGTGTGTGTCCTTGTTGGTAGTTGATTAGCTGTGCCACAGGGCTAGTGAAATACTCACAGCAGCCATTATAAACTCATGCTGCAGTGTGTTGTCAAAGTAGGCGTACCAGATTGGCTATTAGAATAAACGATTTCTGGGGAATGTCGACGTCAAAGAATTTTATTTTATTTTTACTGCTAGGGTCGGCGCTCAGTTTCAGAGGACGGTGGCACCATCATCAACAATGATCAGGTCTTTGAAATCTCTATGCTGCGTGCTGAGAACGACAAGATGAAGCTGAGAGTGCGTGCTCTCCAAGATACTGTCGAGCAGCAAGCCAACCGCCTGGCACAACAACAGCTCAAATTAGACCTTCCTGAAGCTGGTAAGTTCCAGAAAAAAACAAGAAGTCTAGTATCCTAGATTGGGCCTGGTCCCATTACTCAGATGGCTAGAGCACTACTGCTCATGACAAGCAAAGTCCCGGGTTCGAGTCCTGGTAGGGTTGGGGTTTTCCCCTCTGTTCACTGTTCAAGTTTTCAAGCAGTTCACTTCCCCGAATGAACCGTTGAAGTCTTTTTCATAACGTATCTTTTAATTGCTTCAGACTGTGAACAATCCTGCATGTTCTGTCCCTCAACTTCTGTGTGAAGGATGCGGGTATTTGCTTAGGAGTGGATGCTGAATCTCTTGCGATTTCAGGCAGAGATTTTAATGTTTTGTTGCTATTTGTTTGAAGTTAGAATGTCTGTGCAGAAGAACCTCCCAATTGTATTCACCTCTCAACCAATGATACCTGTACATTCAGGACACGGTTGTTTAGTCTCAACTGCTCCTACAACACACACACACTTGTAGTCAAGTAGTTGCAGTGCACCATGTAATCTGAGCACGTCCGTATACACAACGGAAATGCCTGATCCCCTGGGTGTGCGTAATTGAGAGGTCCTGCTGTTATAATGCTTGTGTCTCGACTTACAGGCGAAGGCGAAGCGTTGAGTGAAGACGACGAAAGTGTTTCGAAGCTCATTGGACAGTACCTTCGGGAGATTGAGAACCTGAAGTGAGTTGTCCTGTGCGGAGTGCAGTGCAGTGCTGTGCTGTGACATTCCTGGTGTGCGTGCATGTCTTTGTAGTGTACTGCATGTACAAGATTGCTGCTAGCAACGGTGTGCTTTAGCCTCTAGAGAAGATTATACTTACGAGTAAGTGGTAGGTTGGTGTAGGCAGGGAATTCCTACTTCCTGAGGATGATAAAGATTTGGTTTGAAAATTTCTATATGCTATCTGTTGCAATTTCAGGGGACAGCTGCTGGAAAGTGAGTCTCTGGCCAAAGTTGGGCCGCCGGCATCTCCATACCGTCGCATGTCACCGTGTGTTTCGCGAACACAGTCGCGTATTCAGCACCCCCACGGAGCGTCGTCACTTGTGGGCAGTTCAGTACCGGAGAGCCTATTGCTGGAGGCACATTCGGATCTAGCCCGCATGAAGGAACAGCAGGAGAAACTCGTGGTATGTTCAACAGTGTTGTGTTGTGTTGTGTAGGACGCACTTCAGGATATTGAATGTTACTGTTGAAGAACCTGGAGTGTCTTCCTTCTAAGCATGAATTTAAAATGTGTCTTTAATCGCGAGTAGACTGGGCACCTTGGATTTTTCTTTGCTGGCCGTGTTGATCCTATTGCCGTATTGGCTTCTGGAACAGGAGATTGACTTCAGTGTCACTGTATTGCTGTTATGTAATGAAATCTACTGATGTTCCAGGGTGGCAGGTCTTCCACGGCAGGACCATCAAAGAAGTCGCCGGGTAGCAAGGGCAACTCATCTGGCAGGTATGTTGTTCGCTGTACCCTCGGTGTTGGAGCATTGCCGAGGGAGATGCTCCGGGTCACGTTGCTGTGCTATGTGCTATGTGTGTGCGTGCCTTTTTTCTGCGCCATGTCCTCACCCACTTACTTCGGTGGGTTGAGCCCAAAAGCCGGGTCATATTGTCAAGTCTACCCGGAGGTTGGGGATCGGGGGTTGTCATTTGTCGGGCAGATCGATATAGCCAGTTATGTCATCTTTCCACGATTTCTTTTAAATCTCTCTCCTCTCTTCCCAGGAGAGACCAACGTGACCCGTTTCCGGCAGTGAACAAGTTTGCAAGTGTGTGTGTGTGTGTGTGTGTGTGTGTGTGTGTGTGTGTGTGTGTGTGTGTGTGTGTGTGTTGTCACTGTGACTGTGTGTACTATGTATGTGCATCAGTAACGTGGGTGCTGATGCCAGAAGCAGTGACGAGGAGCAAGTAGAAGATGAGGAACCTGCAGCACCTGCTAGTGACAATGAGGTACTATCTTGTTTTGTGACGTGAAAATATCCTAGGATTCCTCATCATGTGACATGAATATCCCCTAGGATTCCTCATCATGTGACATGAATATCCCCTAGGATTCCTCATCATGTGACATGAATATCCCCTAGGATTCCTCATTATGTGACATATGAATATCCCCTAGGATTCCTCATCATGTGACATGAATATCCCCTAGGATTCCTCATCATGTGACATGAATATCCCCTAGGATTCCTCACCATGTGACATGAATATCCCCTAGGATTCCTTATCATGTGAAATGAATATCCCCTAGGATTTCTCATTGTGTGACATGAATATCTCGTAGGACTCTTAGGCCTGATTCAGACTTCTTTTCGCGTACGGGGAATGCGTCACAATGCGACAAAGTTGGCTTGAGCTCAACGTGTTCGTCCCATGGCACGAGGGTTGCGCATTTCCCGTACGTGGAATGAAGTATGCCCGAGGCTTTATGGTGGCTGTAGCTGCATGGGTGGTTCAAGTAGGTTGATGGGTTACACAGCCACTGTACTCTAGTGTAGTATGCTGTGCTGCTGGAGAATGTACAGGACTTGTGACGGAAACGGCATGAAAATCATGAAATGCATGTCGATTTGCTTGTGTAAGCCCACTATTTTCCTCCATGCTGGATAGGCAATGATTGTCCTTTTCGTATTTTGCCCACCACAGTTGTCAGTATGCAAGTGGCAGCCGCGCTCTTGCAAACCAAAGTGGCTAAAATAATGGTGCAACAAGGATGCCATCGTATTATGCCCCATGCGAACTTTTCCCATCCGTGCCGATTGTTTGGGCTTCATCAAGGAGGTAGTTCAGTTGTTTTGGGATGGCCTCCTTCTTCACACCAAAAATCTGTACCCTCCGCGGTGCCTTAAAAATAGAGGGGCCCTATCTGTCTCGCTGTGTTCGGCAAAGCTATGTTCTGTGCGAAGTCAAAGGTATAGTGCACCTTGGACAGCGCCACAGAACGAGGGCTATCCGCAACAGCTATAGGGTCATGCATGTCAATTTCGACTTAAGCATCTTTGCGACGCCTGTGTGTCCATCTCGACCTTGATTAACGTCTACGACACGACCAAGTTGCCACTGTTCACGAGCTACATCTGGGGAGATCAGAAGCCACTCTTTCCTTTCTCTTCTTCCTCAGTCGGTAGAGCATGAGACTCTTAATCTCAGGGTCGTGGGTTCGAGCCCCACGTTGGGCGCCAATGTTGAGTACGAAAAGGACGACTGACGACATATTCTCCAGACATTACAATGGACAACGGGAACACGTTAGTGAGAATGACATTTATTATAGACGACGAGACAAGAGACCAAGACGAACGAAACGACTACATTGAAGAGTGAGAAAGAGACTGAGACAACAAGAGACTATGAAGGGCCTGGGTAGCTATGGCAATATGGGCACGCAAGTAGCTACCCAGGCCAACGGAACAAAAGGTGAGTACGGGGTTCATATGGTTCATGCAGACCAGCTAGGGAAAAAGGTAGACTGTACGGGAGGAGGTACGTAACACAGCTATAGAAGTTGACTATACAAATCATCGAGCAATGGGCAGCCGGGAAATTCGTTGTATATGCCTACTATACGTATATACTATGTTGCTGTTCAAAATTCTACGAAGATGCGTGTGATGCTGCGGGGCGAGAGAATCCCTCTAATCATCGAGCTTATCGTCAGTCTTCCACTTCTTGAGGAATGCAATCACCAGTTGAGCCAATTCAGCTTCAGGAATGTCCTGAGCTGTGTCATGTCCCCTTTCACCAAGACGTGAGTCCACAAACATCCGCGGGATGGCCGAAAGCCACGCCTTCACACTTCTCCTTGCTAAAAGAAATATTGGAAGGATGTAGGTAGAGCTGATACACTCTTCGTTCATAGGGAAGTCAGGAAGAGACATACTCTTGGTTGGCTTGAGATAGACTGCAGTCACGCTCTTCCCTTGGTGCATTGAAGCGGAAGGGATGATTTTACTTACTATCCTGTTGACATGTGGAGATTTCACAGCATGTCTCAAGGGCGTCAAGGTCTTCATGAAGAATTGAACGAGGTCATCCAGTTGCTGTTCAAAATTCTACGAAGATGCGTGTGATGCTGCGGGGCGAGAGAATCCCTCTAATCATCGAGCTTATCGTCAGTCTTCCACTTCTTGAGAAATGCAATCACCAGTTGAGCCAATTCAGCTTCAGGAATGTCCTGAGCTGTGTCATGTCCCCTTTCACCAAGACGTGAGTCCACAAACATCCGCGGGATGGCCGAAAGCCACGCCTTCACACTTCTCCTTGCTAAAAGAAATATTGGAAGGATGTAGGTAGAGCTGATACACTCTTCGTTCATAGGGAAGTCAGGAAGAGACATACTCTTGGTTGGCTTGAGATAGACTGCAGTCACGCTCTTCCCTTGGTGCATTGAAGCGGAAGGGATGATTTTACTTACTATCCTGTTGACATGTGGAGATTTCACAGCATGTCTCAAGGGCGTCAAGGTCTTCATGAAGAATTGAACGAGGTCATCCAGTTGCTGTTCAAAATTCTACGAAGATGCGTGTGATGCTGCGGGGCGAGAGAATCCCTCTAATCATCGAGCTTATCGTCAGTCTTCCACTTCTTGAGAAATGCAATCACCAGTTGAGCCAATTCAGCTTCAGGAATGTCCTGAGCTGTGTCATGTCCCCTTTCACCAAGACGTGAGTCCACAAACATCCGCGGGATGGCCGAAAGCCACGCCTTCACACTTCTCCTTGCTAAAAGAAATATTGGAAGGATGTAGGTAGAGCTGATACACTCTTCGTTCATAGGGAAGTCAGGAAGAGACATACTCTTGGTTGGCTTGAGATAGACTGCAGTCACGCTCTTCCCTTGGTGCATTGAAGCGGAAGGGATGATTTCACTTACTATCCTGTTGACATGTGGAGATTTCACAGCATGTCTCAAGGGCGTCAAGGTCTTCATGAAGAATTGAACGAGGTCATCCAGCGAAGCCTGGATGTACATCTTTAGTTTAGCAATGCGTCCTTCACATACCGTGCCATTGACAAGCATGCTCAGTAAATCATCATGAGTATAGTAGAATTCCATGCCAGGAGCAACAGCATGGTCATGGACGATCTTGCTGTACTTTGCTTGAACACACTCTATTGCTCCATCCAGGATGCTGATGGTGGTGGTGGTGGTGTTCAGCACTGTTGGCATGAGAGCACGTTCTCGTAGCATGTCTGTGTTGTTGCCGCTGTCAGGGGAACATGTTCACCCCGCTACTCTGTATATGACGTGTGTATGCATTTTATGCTTTTCTCCTACGAGTTGTCTGCCTCTCTCTCTCTCTCTCTCTCTCTCTCTCTCTCTCTCTCTCTCTCTCTCTCTCTCTCTCTCTCTCTCTCTCTCTCTCTCTCTCTCTCTCTCTCTCCTTTCTGTTCTCTGCATTAGGTCGGTGATGGTTCTGGAAGTGACAGTGAGTCAGGAAGTTCATCCGCTGAAGGTGAGTTAGATACCGGCCGTGTCTGGTGTCTGGTGTTGCTTTGATAGCTGTCTGCTTGTGTTCTCTTGTGCTCCAAGCACGTGCGATTGCTGACTGTGTCCGTGCTTCAGCCATATACGTACATACATTGTTAGTATCAACTGACTGTGTAGATGAAGCCAGGAAAGAGCTGTATTCATCAATGGTTCTGTACTGTTTTATGCCTTTGCTTGTGTAGATGGTCAGAGTCTGGAGGGTGACATAGCTGAGCTTTCGTCGGAGATATCAATCAAGCAACGTCTGATTGATCAGCTACAGGCAAGCCAGCAACAGCTACAGTCTATGCGGAAGCACTATGAGGAGCAGCTCCTAGTCTTGCAGGTATTTCAATCATCTCTTTCTTCTTCTGCTTCACGTTGTCTGTTTACTATTGCACTGTTCCAATCACATTTCTGCTGTATATAGTTCATTGTGCTTGTTCTGTTTCTTTCTGACAAGTAACTTTGTGCTGTCCAGCAATTTGACATACTGTTGTCCCGTGCTTGTGACTAAAGTAGCCTACTACTACCATGGCTGCCAGTTTTCGTCATACTAGTAGTTGTGATGTCTGTGATTCACATAGTTGGGTCTGTGCTGTGTTCTGCTTTGCCCACTCTGTTTGCATCTGTGCCCAGACCAAAATCAGAGAAACAGAGACGGAAAGGGATCAAGTACTGACCAATTTGGGTATGCTGCCTTTTTTAAATGGCGTGTGCTCCCATTTCAAGGCGATGAGAATGTACTAAGGCCTCCATAGTTGTCTCTTATACCGGTAACACCTGCGATCTGGGCAATTGCCAATTGGGATTATATCATACTACCTCCGACAAGCGAAACTTGGTGCGTTTAAAAAAAATTCAATCACTTGAACTTTCTCGCACTTCGCAATCGAATATAATGATTGGCTCACCGAATTACAACTTTGTATTGCTCAACAAGGACACTAGACACATCAGTTAGTCTGAATCACTCTCCTCTGATTCGGAGATTGTAGCTTCTTGAGGAGAGGACTTGTCACTGTCATCGGACGAAAGTGCAACTAAAGTGGATTCAGCTGCAGGAAGCGCATCAGCTGTGATCGCTCTGCAACTCTTGATGGCGCTCCTGTGTGCTATGCACGAACCACAATGTCGAGGGTAGTCATTTCCGTCACTACTGTCCAGAATGCTGTGGAAAGAAATGTGCAAACACATCCACACGGACTCCATCTTTTCGGCGGAGTCTTCTCTCCAACCAAGTGAGTCCAAAACTGCCGCCAACAATTCCTGGCAATTTTCCTTAGCCACCAGAGACACATCGCCCTGGAGCCTATCGAAAAACACCAGGTCGTTTACGTGACGTCTGGATTCTGTGCTGGGTAAGTGGCCACGCAGAGAGAGCGAGAACCGCTTGGTTTTGCTTTGAGATGCGAAAGCACGACGATTCTCCTTCGCAGTTTGGGGGCGCGCATCGTCGTTCTGGTACAGGAGAGACAGGCGTGCCTCAGCACATGGTGTACCTCTCGAACGTGTGAATCGCCATGTGCCACTCACCAGCGCAGCACTTGGCTTCTTGCACCCGGCCGGATACATCGATTTGAGGGTGTACCTCACAGCCTTGTGGTACCACCGCCAAAAGAACCCGAAACAAAAAAACACAGAAACGCGCCAAGTTTCGCTTGTCGGAAGTAGTACTAACAATTGGATGCCTCTTGCTCTTTACTCATACTTCCTCTTTCAACTTCATAACACAGGAGATTTCCTCATGCTTGATGTTCCTGGAGCTGCCATCTCGCCCTGCTGTGGACAATGACCTGCCGCTGGATATCGCATACGCGGACGATGTTGATTTTGTGAGCCGGGATGAGACGTTTCTCAGTGAAGTTGAACAACAAGCTCCAGCAGTTCTTGCAAGATGGAACCTGAACGTTAATCCCTCCAAGACAGAGCATACCACCGTCGCCCGATTTCCCGATAGGAACCAAGAAACGTGGCGTACTGTCCGCAAACTAGGCTCCCTCCTGGGTGACGCCGAAGATGCTGCTCGGAGGCGTCAACTGGCCGCCGCCGCCTTCAACTCACTCCTCAAGATCTGGACCCGGAGGCGCCAGATCAGTGAAGGTCTTCGGCTGAGGCTCTACAACGCCTACGTCATCCCAGTCCTTACCTACAACTGCGGCACTTGGGGCCTACCGATGTCGGAGCTCGCGCGAATGGATTCGTTCCACAGGACCCAGCTAAGGAGCATCATCGACATGCGGTACCCTAAACGAATTAGCAATGACACTCTGTATAAGCGCTGCGGAGCTGTCCCCATCAGCGACATGATCACAAGGCAGCGCTACAGTCTCGCTGGCCATATCTTTCGTTTGGCCCCAACTGCTCCTCCACAGTTGGCAGTGGATATGTATCTTCGCCTGGCCAACGACGAGGGCACTGAACGCTTCAGGGGTCGACCTCGGACGACTTTGGTAACGGTCTTACAGACGGAACTGTTATCATGGCATGGACTTACCCTCCACCAGCCGCTAGATGTTGACGCAGTCCGCACAATGGCAGCGGACCGACAGGCATGGCGTGGAGCCCGCCCCACCTAACAGGACTGACCAGACATGTTGTATGCATATTTTTATTTTATACTTTGGATGAAGTTTTCCATTAGTCATATTTGTGTTGTTGCTAACGGCTTTTGTTGACGTCACTTCTGTCATTTCATTGTATCGTATTACTCTTCAGACATCAATCCTGAATGGCATAAGCGAAAGTGGCACCCCCGCCACCTACGCGGACATGCTTTTAATATATATAATATAATATAATGATGTTCCTGTTGGCTTGTTTCAGAGAATCGAGGCTCCGTCTCGGAGGATCAGGTTCGCAAAGTGCGCTCTGACTTTGAAGGAAAGTTGAAGAATCTCAAGTCTGAGCTGACCAAGATGAAAACAGCCAAGAATGAGCACCAGCAGCTGCTCCGTGCAAAGGTATGCTCTTGTTTTACCCAGTACAGTGCTCTGTATGTAGTGCAGAATCCAGCCTCGCCTTCTTTGCTCTCTTATTGTGCTGCAGTCCCGCAACGAAGAGAAGCTGAAGCAGCTTCAGACGGACCTACAGGAGATGAAGAAAGCTCGGGTAAGCGAATGTGCTGTGGTTGCCCAACAGTATAGAGTAGTTTTACGTCTTCGGCATGCGACTTAATTTGTGTAGACAGTAACCACGGCATGTGCAGTCTTGAGTGGAACCAACATGGCCGACATCATTTGACCCATAGATGCAAGGGTTGACTGGACTGGAGTTTGAATCAACATAGTTGTCCCGTATGGTCATGTTATGGATGTGAAACCACTCCATTAGTAGCACATGTGCCTTCTATGTATCCTTTACAAGCAATGCTACCAGGAACCACACCACTTTGCACATGCTCTAGCAATGCTACCAGGAACCACTCCACTTTGCACATGCTCTTGTACACGGTATGATACTTTCGTATCCACTATCCAGTCAACCTTGCTAATAACGACCCTCGATTGTGCGTGGGAAAGTGTCGTTATCCGCGAGGTTAAAATCATGCAGTCAAATGATCACTAAGTCTAAAGATTGTCTCGCTATTTGCAAGTTGTTCCGAGGGTGACTGTATTTGCTTAAAATTCTAGAGTTGGTGTAAGATGATGTCTCTGTTATATCCTTCCCTTTGTGTCTGTGTTTGTTTGTTAGGTGAAAATGATGCGTGAAATGAGAGACGAGTCCGCAAAGAATCGTGAACAGGTTAGCATTGAATTGCCGGGACTGCAGGATTTGTTTTCTTAATTTATTTGATCTCTTGCCCTTAGTCATGTTCTCAGTTTTGCACGCCTGAACAGGTTTCATACTTCAGGTGGGAGTATGTGATCAGAATGTTTCTGTTGCTTCTGTTCATTCCAACTGGCATGATCTAATGATCCAGATCGCCCGTTTCTTTGTCCGTTGACTATGCGTGGCATGTGAGATGCGAACCCTCCGTAGTAACCAATAATTCTGAATCAAGCTGTTGTTCAAAATAACCGGTGTGTAACCCTTGTGTATTGTAGGGCATGCATCATGATGCTGTCTCTCTCTCTCTCTTTCTTAGATTTGTCTTGTCTAACAGTATCTTTGTCTGCCATCATCTGTTGCCTCCACTGCTACTGTTGCAGGAGGCGAGGCGTGCCAGGGAGATTCAACAACTCAAGAAAACCTCGCGGAAACATGAAGTATGTGTGGCCCTGAATGGCTGTGACCAATACCATTAGGTCACACTGGTTCCATGGCTGGGGTGACTGGCATGGCTAGCGACAGCCGAGTCAGATTGTCACTGAATACCGTTGAATGATTTGTCCCCTTCTTTGTTTTCCTTGAGCTACACCCTCTGTACATGAGCTACACTCCCCTGTACTTGCGCAGCACTCCCCTGTGCATGAGCTGCAAACCCTGCAAAACCCTGAACTCCCTGCGCTGGCTACATGTGATTTTTTTCGGCTTGATATTCAAGTAGACAAACCTTATTCACCCTGTTCTGCATTTCTCTCTCTCTCTCTCTCTCTCTCTCTCTCTCTCTCTCTCTCTCTCTCTCTCTCTCTCTTTGATTGTCTTGCCAGAGTCACATCAAATCACTCGAAGCAGAACGACAGCGGCGTGAAAATGTGCTGCGACGGAAGAATGAAGAGGTGCGTTGGACTAAGGTGTATGTGGCCTGTTTGCAAGGAAAGACGCTCCGAACACCGCAACTTGTGGTCTTTTGCTTCAACCACTTTGGGACTGTCTTGTCTTTACGCGCTCGTACTGTGGGATATTGTAGTAGACATGTTACCGAAAAAGCTTCTATCTCTCTTAGCTTATGATGTTTATTGTGTCATGTGTGTTTAGGTTGCCATGTTGAGGAAGCAAAAACAGGCGGCTGCACCAGCATCTTCATCAAGACCAGCTACGCGTACTTCATCACAGCCATCTTCCAATCAGTCCATGATGGCTTCTAACACCTATCAGTCCCAGTCTTCCCAGAGAGCTGTATCGGCGGCACCTTCCGGTGAGTAGTAGTAGTAGTATTTATTATTTTACTTCGGCCCACGAGTCGCAGAGTATCACGCGTCTGGATCCCTTTATTTTACTTGGGTATACCCAACAGGCCTATGGCCTTCTTACAGGGTGCCCAAGTCAAGTCTTGCACTATGCGTACGCGCATGTGTGCCTGAGCGCATGTGCGTGCTTGTGTGGGAGTGTGTGGGAGTGTGTGGCCGCTGCTACTGCTGCACATGGACCTTACGTTGTGCAGATTTTGATGCGAAACTCAGTGTAGTCGAGTCTCACGTGAACCATGACATTTTTTCTGCTTTCTTGTTCTCATGGGTATGCATTGTTTGGTGCGTATTGTACCTGTGTTTATGCATTGCTTCACTGCTTAGGTGGTAGCGGTGGCATCAGAAAGCGATCAAGACGCGTATCGTCAGTGTTCTCAACAACAGGTGGAAAGCGGAAATGGCAACGTCTAGAAAGAGTTGTAAGTTCATCTTAGCAGTGTTGTTCGTTCTTGCTCTAGACTATTTCCCACTGTTTTTTCTTGACTTGGAATACACTTTAACACCTCATGTCCCTTTTTTTTTTCAAGAATCTCTTGTGGCCAGTGCCAAGAACACAGGCGAAATGTTGGGAGCAAGTTTTGTTATTTCTTTTGTGTTGTCACTAGGTCAACGATGCCATTTCACAACGGCAGACTCTGGCCAGTTTGGAGCAGGATATGGACCGACTATTTTCTGTAAGTCTCATTGAGTGCTGGGGTTGAAAGCTGAGGAACCCAGAACAGGTGGAGTACTTTGTCACACTTCTATTCTCTTTTAGGCTACTTCCGAGCGACCGAAATCCACCTGGATTTGAAGTTGCTTTCACAGGCCCTTTTGTCTTGTGCAATGTTGTGTATTGTGCTAGCTATGCTATGGAAGATTTCAGTTGTGGTATTGCTGTGCGTGCGTGCGTGCGTGTGTGTGTGTGTGTGTGTGTGTGCATGTGAATTTGCATTTGCATGTACAAATAGCAGTGCTTGTAATGTTTTGCATGGCTGTACATTTGCTGATACTGCTCTTTCTCTGGCACACTCCACTGTTCTACATTGTATGTAGGAGCGTGACCGCCTCGGTCATGAGGTCAAAGACTGCACTCGCCGCCGAGAAGACGCCGTACTCAGCATGCAGGTATGCATTGGATTTGGATTTGGATTGGTTTATTTAATGTCGAAGAACAAACAGGCAGTGTTGCCTTATTACATGAGATGGTATAGGTACCTTGCTGTGCCTTGCTATACCTTTTGTTCTACGTATAGCCCCAGATGTACTACTCCAGAGCACAGTCATGAGAGACAACCTCATGCATATACAATATACAATAGAAGAGTTGTAGTATCACAGCACAACTTTATCTGTGCACTTGTACTGTATCTAGATGGCATAGTGCACATTTTCAGGTGTCACAATACCGACTTGTCTATGTGTGCCCTTGTTTTCACTCTCTTGCAGGATGATGTCAGTATAAGCTTCCAGGAAGAACAGCTCGAAGCCCTGGGAGCTCATTTAGAATATGTCCAGTCCAATATCGATGAGCGGCAGGATGAGATCATGCAGTTCATGGAGGCAAAGGTATGATGGGATGGAAGAGTGCTACTTCATATTGCCGTAACTACTGCTGCTCTGACTGGCGATCATCGCATCTCCAACTTACATTCAGCATCTCTATAGGCGTTATGTAATTAACTGAAATCTTGCTTTTCTTTGCAGGTCTTCTCAACACTACAGCATCCATTATTGTTTCTGCTTCTGTTGTTTTATACTTGCCTGGTTGACAGGATGAAGGTGATACTGTTGTTGCAACTGGCCTCTTACAAAGCTGCTCGATGAAGGAAGCACGCTACTTGCTCGACCACTTCCTCCAGCTCTCCATCACAATGGTATGGTATGGCTTGTAACGCTGTAGCCGATGGTGCAATGTGCATGTTTGCATGGCTTGCTTGTGGGCCGTGTACTGTATACGTGTGTGTGTTTAATTGCTGGAGTGTGAGTATGTATGTTGCATGATTGGCCTGTGAACCTCCAGATTGCATTGTAGAGATATGCTGCGGAATTGTGTTATTGAATGTAAGGGGTCGTCCGTAATTATTGAAGAATTAAAAATACCTGTCCTCATGCAAAATGTTCTCTGACCCCCTCCTATTAATGGAAGTTACCGGAAGAGGAAACTGTAGTTATTACCCACCCTCACCGCACCCAGCTCACGCCACTACCATGTGCGAGCTGAGCTGGGCGCCCTGCTGCGAAGCATAGGGCGGTCCTCAAGCCAGTCGCGCATTTGGCAGCCCAGTGTGCCGTCTACGGGATCGCAGTGACTAGAGGCGCTCAATGCGGGAGGGTCAGCCTCCGGCTAGTCGCATACGTGGCAGACCGGCAGGACTGCATTCGCATTTGGATCACGGAAGTGACACAGGCGCTTCGACTGCACTCCGAGGCACATCAGGGAGGTGTGTGGGGCTCAGGCAGCCCGTAAGCGCAACACCGTATCAGGTATGTACAGGCGTAGCGGCAGGGCAAGATGTGTACCGGAAGCTCACCTTCAGCCGGCCGACCTCGTGGCCTTTACACAGCCGGCACTTCATAAGACAAGAAGCGCCTATCCCCAAACAGTTGTGTGGTTTTTGTGTGAGGGTACTCTAATTTCAGAAATTTTCGGTGCTCAATATTTTCGGTATGAGGGTAAAGGCCAGGTTAGGTGAACAGAAAGTTTAGGTACAGAGTAGCAATTCCCTATTGGACTATGTGTGTTAGTGTTTGTTTGGTGTATTGAAATTTTAGGTATGAAACAGACGCACCGAAAGTACCGAAAATAAAAGAACACCGAAAATTTGTGAAATTAGTAGTTCAAATACAGTACATGCAGGAGTCCGCGGTCACGTGAGGGGGGGGGGGGGGGGGGTGATAACTTTTTTTTCCCAGTCATCCTATACTACCGGTACTATCCTGAAACACACATGTAACGTGTGTGAAAATAACAGTACATCCTGCGTTGTGTGACCTGTGCAAATTACTAGTATACCTTGCAATGCCATATTTGAGGCCACAAAAAGTCCATGGACAGGGAAATAGAAATTCAGCCAGGTTTTACAAAATTAGGACAGGTACATTGTAACTTGTATGACCCTGTAGAGCCTTCAGTATTCATGTACTGTCCACCGAGACTATCCTCACAATGGTGACGAAGCTTTGAACCGACATTTCTGAGAGACTGCAGAAGACTATGGAAGCTTTGAACCGACATTTCTGAGAGACTGCAGAAGACTATGGAAGCTTTGAACCGACATTTCTGAGAGACTGCAGAAGACTATGGAAGCTTTGAACCGACATTTCTGAGAGACTGCAAAAGACTATCAGTAGTGGCTTTACCACCTGATTTTTTCCAATCAAGCAGAAGATATGTCACATCGGCTGGCGGTATTGATATGAAGTTTATGTGAAAATTGAACTTTGAACACAGCTGGTTTGATAGGAATGAAACTTTAGATCACGCAGTAGTTCCTCTGAAGTAACCATCTCAATGAAGTGTCCAGAACGTCTAGAATTGGTGAGATGAAGTTGAGTGGAAACTGATTGGACTGAAGGACCTCAGGATCGTCCTTCTCCCCTTGTCATTCCATTGTCTTCTGGTTGGTCAGCAATGTGCGCACCAAGCAGTCAGCCTGGGGCACAGTTTCCCCGCTGTGCACACAGTAGGAACCAGAATGTTCTCATGGACACACTTTCTGCACCAAGACATTTGACGGGTCGTGTGATCCTGGTATTGGTCATTGGCGTGTGCCAGTGTACTTGAAACAGAGCAACTAGATGTTCTTGCATTGTCAGGTGGCTGAAACGACATTGTCTGAATTCCTTTCTTGTACGTTATTCTTCGCAAGTCGCAAGAAGACCGAGTCGTACTGCATCTTCACTGACTGACTGCATCATGCTGCATGGTGCACTGCATCATGCTGGATGGTGCACTGCATCATGCTGGATGGTGCGGTCATCCAATATTAGTCACTTGTTCACAAGCATGTTGAATGCGAACATTCCAATCTGCAACACTAACTTATGGACTTGCTTCCATGGAGCCCTGCACGTGCGTGTATACGTAGGGCTCCCTGCTTGCTTCGGTATTGAATGGCAGTGCTTGTAATTCCTCACAGTTTTACGTTCAAGAATCTGAATTGCCATGTGGTCTAACAGGCCGGCTACGCATTGCGGGATGAAGTAGAAGTAGTGGACGCACACTTCCTTGGCAATGAATGGCATGGCCATCATCGCCCACAGATACGAAGACCGCTCGACTTTCGTCACGAGTCCGCTGGGCTTCTCTGGTTCTACATTATGACAAAAGGTTGATGCTGATAGGCTGAAGGCGTTGGTAATGGTCGCCATATGACAAGAATATACACATGCGTGTATATGTAGGGCTCCCTGCTTGCTTCGGTATTGAATGGCAGTGCTTGTAATTCCTCACAGTTTTACGTTCAAGAATCTGAATTGCCAGCTGGTCTAACAGGCCGGCTACGCATTACGGGATGAAGTTGAAGTAGTGGGCGCACACTTCCTTGGCAATGAATGGCATGGCCATCATCGCCCGCAGATACGGAGACCGCTCGACTTTCGTCACGAGTCCGCTGGGCTTCTCTAGTTCTACATTATGAAAAGGTTGATGCTGATAGGCTGAAGGCGTTGGTAATGGTCGCCATATGACAAGAATATACACATGCGTGTATATGTAGGGCTCCCTGCTTGCTTCGGTATTGAATGGCAGTGCTTGTAATTCCTCACAGTTTTACGTTCAAGAATCTGAATTGCCATGTGGTCTAACAGGCCGGCTACGCATTGCGGGATGAAGTTGAAGTAGTGGACGCACACTTCCTTGGCAATGAATGGCATGGCCATTATCGCCCGCAGATACGAAGACCGCTCGACATTCGTCACGAGTCCGCTGGGCTTCTCTGGTTCTACATTATGACAAAAGGTTGATGCTAGTAGGCTGAAGGCGTTGGTAATGGTCGCCATATGACAAGAATATGAGCGCCTGGCACTTCATGCCCCGTTATTACTCCATGAAGAAAGCTGCTGAAATCAGTCAGGTTGGTCTCGTCTAAACCATCGAGGATTAGAGGTAGGCAAGCAGGATCCTGATGTATGTAATAACAGATTGCAGTCTGTATCGGCTATAGAGTGACCGGGTGTAAGGATATATCGGCTAGAGTGATATCAGAACAAAATATCAAAAAGCAAAATGTATTTTTCCCAGTCAAAATAGCATTATATTAAACCAGTAACCGGTTGTAGTGATATATCGGATATTACGATGGTATCCTGGAATCAGAACATGCATTGCAGACGATAATAATAGTGGCTATAGTGATATACATGTACGTGGCAAGCAGGTGGATTGCCAGCCATGGGTGTGCATGTGCACCTTAAAGGCCTGGCATTTCCGCAATACATTGTGCAGTACAATGCCTTTTGCACGCACACATCTACACGGGACATTACCATGTAGATGTGGTTGCACACTTCATGTATGTGTAGTCATGTGTGCATGTGCATGTGCATGCAATGTCGCTTATAGTGATGCATCGGGTATAGTGATACAAATGCTGAAAACAAAAGTTTACGCTATAGGAGTATAGCCGATACGGACTGTACTTGCCCTTCAGGACCGTCCTTGATGCCCATTCCTTGAAGATGAAGTAGCTCACTGAATGAGTCAGCATCACGCACATCTTTACGACGGAGCTCCCTTGTCACAACCACTTTCTTGCGTTTCCACAACTGGCCCATTACCCATCGTTGAGGACAGTTGAGGTACAACCTGGGTACTGTAAATATACAAAATGTCGGCGCTGCAAAATTTCGGCACTTCACGGTTTTTGACATTTAGGCGGCGATTTATTTTCGGCGTGGGGTAGAGGGCATGGTATAGTGCGACAGATGCTGTGAAAATTTCATCGGCGTTTTAATTTAGGCGTTTTGGGTCGGTGCCGAATATAGCCGAAATTAAATAGCTGCCGAAAATTAGTATATTTACAGTAAACGCAAACGTCCTTGTCAAATATTTGGTCATGGACCACGAGTTGAGCGAAATAAATAAAATAAGTAAAAATAAGTACCTATCGTATTCATAGTCGTAGTGCGAAAGCATGACTGCATGTAGCTCACTGCAGCGGTGACAAGTGACATGATCACAATGCAAGGACCGTTGCTTTTGCAACAATCAACAATCTACACTACAGACATGTCTGTCTGTACACTACAGTGTGCAAGAAGTGTACGAAAAATTAAAAAAATTAAATTCTGCCAGCGCTCTTCACCACCCATTCCCTTTTTTCACAAGGATGTTTTTTTTTTTAATTTCGATAATTACGAACCCCTAACAACATGAAATGGTAAATCTCCTCTTTACTTTGCTGTTGTCGTTGCTGCTGCTGCCGCCGCTGCTGCTACTGCCGCTGCTGCTACTGCTGCTGCTGCTGCTGCTGCTGCTGCCGCCGCTGCTGCTACTGCTACTGCTGCTGCCGCCGCTGCTACTGCTGCCGCCGCTGCTACTGCTGCCGCCGCTGCTGCTGCTGCTGCTGCTGCTGCCGCCGCTGCTACTGCTTCTGTAGGGTGTACAATCTGTACAACATGAGACGGATGCGAAGCAGCTGCGCGGTCGTCTGCAGCAGTCTGAGCAGCAGCTTAAAGTCCGTGAGCAGATGCTGCTCAACATGGCGGCGGATGATGGGGGTGACTCGCTGTTGAGGAGAGAGTCGTCGCCAGCGCGCACCACGGCCGCTGCCAGTGATTCTGTACTGCAGATTTCACCGATTCGACCCAAGTCTCGACCAAGGAGTATTTCGGTAAGGTATTTAGAGATTAGAAAAAGAGAGAAACTGTCCACGTATGCGTATGCACTGTCGGGGACAATGAAATCCGGTGGAATGATCAGGGCCTTACTGCATTAGCGCATACATGCACTGTAGTTCGCTTACCCACTCTAAAAATTGGACCAGCAGTGCTCACGGCTGCAAGGCCAGCGCCCCGTGGCTGCTTGACTTTTCAAAGGATTTCAATGCCCACAACAGTACACATTGCATGCATTCACAGCTAACATCATAGCTAACATCTTAGCCAACAGCTCCTAAGTACACGGTATGTGTCACACTCAGATACCTCCTCTGACCTAAATTATTGGAACATATTAGTTCGACGAGCGATGTCTGGGAGCACTGCGTCAAAGCATTGCCGTATCAAACAGGCTGTGACATGGGCTGTTCTGCACTCTGAGTGTGCAATGATTGTATGACTATGGATCTCTAGCATTGTTGTCTCAGTGATGCCATGACTGCATTCCAACACACTGTGCACGTGTAAGTTCAACTGAACGATATCTGAATGATGCATCGCAGCCTGTTCAGACCCAGGCCTTTCAACTCAGAGCTCCACACTCTACTGACCCTATAGTTTCATTTAGGGAGTGGGGGGGGGGGGGGTTGCAGTGCCTTGTACTAGTACATGTATGTGATAAGTACTGTGTTACTGAAGTTCACTTGCTTCTTTTTCCTGGTCAATTTTCTCCTTGCACTTTGAAAAGATCAGCGGAATGTTACATCAAATGTTCAAACATAAAAATGATAAAATGGCACCGTTTAATTCAACAGCTCGCATTTGATTTTGTTGTTTGTATGTTGCTTAGAATCCTGACGAAAGTGGAATAATGTCGGCTTTGGGGTATGTTATGTGAGAGGTTGTCTACTCATCTGCTTGTCTGTGTCTTTATCTTGTACCATGCTGGCTTGTTGCTCTGCCTTGTCGGGACACGGTCATGGTGTGCGGCGGGTGCTGTGCCCTCTCCACGAGAAACTGTGTGATAGTGGTGGTGGTGGTGGTGGTGTGCGTGTGTGTGTGCGTGTGTGTGCGCGTGTGAGCGGGGGTGGAGCCTGGCTACGGGAACCTGCATGATGTGTATGACTACGCTTTGTCATTACTCTGCTGGAGATGAGTAGATGGGTGCCTCACTAGTGGACCCATATTGTTAGTGATGGATACTATAGCTTTTGTCTGCTGTAATTCCTGGTGTCTGTACAGGGCTCTGGATGCGACCTTCACAATACCTGGTCCTGAGCTGCTGAAGGAACTGGGCACAACAGCACCAACAACAGTACCCACATCTCGGCAGGCTAAGGTAGGATTGCTTGGCATGGGAGTTGTTCGTGTCTTCTCATGATATGCCCTTCCCAGCATTCTGTGATGACCGGGGTCTCAGTTAAGCTAGAACGCACTGCACAGCTTAGAGATTTGCTTGATATCTGGTGGTATGAACTGCATGTAGTGTAGCTGCATGAGTTCCACTGATGCCTGTGTGATCTGCATGTTGTCTCCGCCGCATTGTTCTTCATGAAGATATTGGCAGTGTGCAGTGTGGCCAAGTTGCTCTATTGTGTTGTTTGCTGCCCGTGCCTCACATGCTCCTGTTGGTGACTACTGGCGGATGGCAGTCGCGTCGAAAGACAGACGCTCAGACTGATCTGCTTCGCCATCTGAAGCGATTCTCCTCCCCCGACATCGCATTGTCATCAGATGATGCATGCAGTCCTATGACGTCACTGCCACCTGCATCCGATCCTATGACGTCACTGCCACAAGCATCCAATCCTATGTCATCACTGCCACGTGCATCCAATCCTATGACATCACTGCCACATGCATCCAATCCTATGACATCACTGCCACATGCATCCAGTCCTACGACGTCACTGCCACCACCATCCTTAGTTAGGAGTGATTCACAGCCATCTGCACCAGACACAACAACTGCAGTGGTTGGTTCTATACCGGTGACGTCATCGCTGCCACCAATGCCTATGGTTAGCTGCTACTGGTTCTCCCACTGTAATGCTGCATGAGTCGTGCATGAATCATGCATGAGTCATACTGGCTTCAGCATCAGCACCTGGCTGAGCTGAGTTGAGTCTACACTGGCATGGTGAATGCATTCCACAGTGCTGCTACTGCTGCTGAGAATTGGCCATTGCCACGCCATCGCTGTTGCATGGCCCTGTTCTGCAAGTGCTATCATAGTTGATCACCAATCTGCGAGAAGTGATGCATGGAAAGTCAAGCATGTTTACAGTCAGTGTGCACTGTCATCCCATACGTTTGCCCTGCGCATCTTCCTCTTGCCTCGTTGATCGGAGTGAGGGTGAGATTGAGACACACAGGCAAGTGCTCATTTGAATTGTCAGCTCACGGGATGTTGCATCTGTGTGTTTGTTCTGTGCAGTCGCGTGATGGAAGTGGCGGACTGTTACAACCGACATCGGTGTCGTTGAGCGGTAGTGACAGTTCGCTGACTACAAAGGATGATAGCAGCATGCTGCGACGGCCTCGCTCTTACACCGAAGATCAGAGAGCCTACAAGCAGCTTGGGTGAGTCTCCAAGTCGGTGTTCTTTAGTCTCCAAGTCAGTGTTCTTTTCCTTGTGTGTTGGTTTGTGATGTGCTTTATTGTTTGGACATTGTTTGTGCATTCTCCTGAGCGGATGAATGTGTGTCGATGGCTGACTGACTGGGAAGGTTGTGTCTGTGTGTGTGTGTGTGTGTGTGTGTGTGTGTGTGTCTTTATGTCTGTATGTGTGTATGTATGTGCGTGCACGCACTCTGTCCTTGTTTCTTTGTGCCCTTCATCTTGAAGAGTTTCTCCACAAGTCATGCGGAAGAAGGACTCGTCGTCATCGGATCTGACATCGTCGCTACCGGGAAAGCTGCCTGTTCGCAACTCCGAGGACGTGTTCAAGCGTCTCACCAACGATACGTCAAGTCAGCCGGAGGTTGTGCATGGCTCGTAAGTGGTCTGGCCTTCAGCGTGTGCATTGTACTCTTCTTCTGCATTGCTGGCATCACCGCACGTCGTGTGTGGTATGCTGCTTCTTTCTCTCTTCTTCTTTTTTTGTCGGTCTATTTTCTGTGCACAGTTTTTAACCTCCATACATGTTGGGTGTAGTACCGTTTGCATGCTTATGACATTGTGTTGATGAGATGAGTTTCTGATGGATATGCATGCACTTCTCGTAGTAAGTCTGTACAGTCAACCTTGCGAATAACCACCCTCGATGGTCCACGGGAACGTGTCGTTAGTCGTGAGGTTGAATGTATGCAGTCAAATGGTCACTAGATCTGAAGATTGTGTCGTTATCCGCGATTTGTTGCTATACCCGGGGTTGTCATTCATGAGGTTGACTGTATTTGGATGAAAGTCCCTGTCGTCTGTGCTTGTTTTGTGCCGTTCGTGTGCAGGCGTCGCCATGGTACCATCACGGCCACAGCACAGCGTCGTGGTGACAAGAGTCAGGTTCTCTCGTGCACGCACACGGTTGAAGGCCATAGTCGTCCAGTCACCGCTGTTGCCTCCAGTAGTACTGCTCTCTTTACTGGATCACAAGGTAACCACTTCTTTTTACTCTTTGAAATAGGTCATGTTTCAGTCGTTAATATCAGAAAGCTGTTGATGGTGTTAGAAATCCAATTTTTGAAGTAACACTTTGTAGTGTGTCTTTTGGAGCTGCAGGCATATCAGGGAAATTGGTATTTGAAGTACATGTAATGGTTTCCTGGCATCTCCTTTGTTCTATTCTTAATTCAGATCGCACTGCCAAGATCTGGGATCTAGGTGCAGGCAAGGAAGTAGTGTCTCTCGGAGGACATCCCAGTTCTGTTGTGTCCGTACGCTACGCTGACAAGAGTGGCCTGGTGTTCACTGCGTGCCAGTCGATTGTAAAAGTGAGCTACTGCTGGTGCTGCTACTGGTGGTGGTTTTTGAGCCAGTTGCTTGCTTTACTGTGTTATGCCTTTTTCTTTCCTTGTTGTGATTTTAATGGTGGTCTCAGTGGACCTGTGTGTGTGGTGGGTGTGCTCCAGTAATTAGTTCTGTCTCTTATGATAGGTGCATTTTCGTATTCCCCGTTAGTAGTGGCCCATGCATTGCACTATCACGTGCCAGTAATACGTAGGCTTCAACTCAATGTTGTGTTATTCCACCTCAAGGAGCTCTCTTCACCTGCACATGCAATGCATGTACGTACGTGTGTGAGTGCTAACGTCATGCTATACCCATCCGTATGTCTGTACTCTAGCCATCATGCGTGTCTGTGTGAATGGTTGTCTTGCTGTAGGTGTGGGATGTACGCGACGGCCAAATGAAGTGTGTCAAGGTTCTTGGGTAAGCATTGAGCAGAGACCAGTTGATTTCTCAGACTGCCCAGGGTGCTATTGTGCAGTTACTAGGGAGGTTTAGTCCCACGTAATCCGTGGGTACTTTACGTGTGTGTACCACGTGATACTCAGTGACCCACGTACAGACGTTTTCTGGTTCACGACATACCGTGTATGGAGGCTCACCCACGTTCTGAAAATCAGAATGGAGCGCATTGTGCGAGCTGTGAGGGTGCTCAGCTGAAGAAGTTTCCGAAGCACGAAATCAAAATATTGGATGAGCTTCTTAGGCCCGGGTAGCTTCGTCTTTGACCAGGTTTGGGCCTTTCGCTTCATGCTTTTGTTTGTTCCGTGTGACTAAACACAACATTGCAACGTAGGTGCCCTTCATCAACTTTACGTGGATCACCCACGTACGCGTTTCCGTTACGTGGGAACTAAACCTCCCTAATGTCAATAGTACTTGGTTACCAGGAACAGGGGAATTTTTTAATTCCGAGGATAACAACTGCCATAAGGGAGGTCTTAGATATAGCAGCCACATCATTCACACCGTTTTTGACTTCTTGTTGACATTGACTTTGTTGAGGAAGACAAAGAAAGCCCACTGCGTTAATCACAGTGTATGCATGTGGCTGGACTTCTCTGGCCAGTTTTGTAGTACATGTACAAGTATTGTGAAAGTTTGACAACATGTTACAAGGCGGAGGACGCACTGCGTTGAAAACAGTGCTCCTGACTTCAACCATCATCGGTTGGCAGAGCCCCGGTCTTGACAATCATTAGAACCGTATGGGATCTGGCCCCGGTTATTCTGTCAAACTGTCAGCATGTTATCTATCAAACAAGGCTTACTTCTTCTTTTGAAGTACATACATGATTGTACAAGTATGTGTCTATATGTGCATGTGTGAATGTGTGCATATGTGCATGTGTTGTGTGTGGCTGCAGTCCTGCAGGTAATAGCAGTGGCACGGCTACAGCAAGCAGTAGCAGTGAGAGTGTGAACGACATGTGCCTGAGCCATGACGAGAGCATCCTCTACACGACGTGTGGCAGTTCGGTGCGTGTCTGGGATGTCAACAAGTAAGACTTTGTGATGTTGTTTAAGAAGGAATTCCTGCCAGCGTGCTTCAAGTTATCAAACTCACCAAGAGACCATAATGCATTGTGTGATGGTCGCTTCACTGCAGTGAAGCTCTAGTTTGAGGTGAACCCTTTCTAGTCGTTTTATTAATGTACTGCTAGTGGCTGATGTTCATGTTTGAAGGCACGATTTATAGCCTCAGCCTATACACTATTCATGTGTTGCTTATCTTCTCTTGCCATGCGACACCAGTACATGTAATGTCAGTGCAAGACACGTAGCGTATTGTTTGCTTTCTCTTGTTTCCTAACCAGATTCCAGAGTCTTGGTCGGCTAGTTGGCAGCACTGCACCTGTTTCAACTCTTCTCCTATTGTCCGGCTCTCACTTGCCACGCGATGCTAGTACTGGCAGCATGTTACTGGCTACGGGTGCGCGTGATCACTGTGTTCGGGTACGACTGCATGCCACAGTGTACATGTATGCAATGTTCATCCTCATTTAGTCCAGTCTTCCTCCCCCGTGACGTGCACCTACCCATGGTTGTTGGCACTATTTTTCTTGTTCATGTCTGACTACTAGTATGTGTGTGTTTTGCAATGCAACGGTTCCTGCAGATGCGGAAAACACTCAATCTAACCGAGTCACACACAAACCATGAATTTGTTTACAAGTTGTTCAGGGCACACATGCCATTTCTAGCAAACTCCAGACCTCAGTTGGTCTATTTGATTTTTCTACTAGCTTCAGTACAGTTATAATATGCAAGTATGCATGCTTTGTTGCTGTCATTGGCTTTTTCTTGGGCAGATTTTCGAAGTCAATCCCAAGCTGGCTAACATCCAGGTATGTGTAATATCTCACTGTGCATCATGGTGTGTCCGCGTATTTAGTTGCTTTGCTGACAAACAAGATCACACGGAGTACTCTGCACTTTTATTTGATCTTTCTCATGATGTGAAGACTTCACTGTTGCCATCCATTATATGCATACAGCTTCTCACATTTCGAACAGTCTCTGTGCGACAATCATTTTTGCCCAGAGGCTTTCCTTTACTCTATGCTGTCGAATCTACATCTCGTGGTGCTTGGTGTTGTTGCTGCTTTCAAACTAGTGGTGAAACGAATATACCGAATATTCGAATATTCGTTCGGTTTGTCACATTCGAACGAATATTTCTCATGGCGAATATTCGTTAACCCGGTATACAGAGTTTGCCGGGCGACTTCAAACTTTCGTAACTTCGCGAATACTTGACCGAATCGCTTCATCAAAAGCTCTATCGGCATTGGAAAACTGTCAGCTGTCCAGTGTCGTCTCCAAGCAACCCGAACGCGATCCGAGGTTCTGAAGTGGAGTTACGGCGCTCGAACGAAAAATCACGTCTCAAGCTGGGGGGGGGGGGGGGGGTTAGCGTGCAAAATGCACTTCAGTTGGGGATTTTGTGAACATTGACCTAGAAATGATGGAGAAATATGTGCCTTCGTTTGTCATGCCTAATGATAGTGGCAATATCCAATAAAATGACTGAGAGGAAGGTGTGTGATGTCATCCGTGTTAACGAAAGAATATTCGTTCGTTTGTTCGTCAAGCCGAAGAATATTCGGCTACTGGGTTTTGATATTCATTTCACCACTATTTCAAACCATTCTGGATGTTTGTGTCTGTGCATGTGCGTGTGTGCGTGTGCAGACGGCTTGCTATCAGCTGGAACCACCGCACTACGACGGTGTTCAGTCGTTGTTTGAGCACGACGGCCAGCTGTACAGCGGCTCTCGTGATCACAGCATCAAACAGTGGGATCTGGCATCACGGCAACTTCGACAGGTAAGTGTGTGGCTAGGGCTGCTGCTGCTACTCTTGCTACTGTATCATTACATTGGTTTTTATTTATTTATTTTTATTTTATTCCAAGCAATACATGGCTGGGGTAGCCAATGACCACTTTGCGTGGCGATTGCAGGGTTTTTATAGTATTGCTTTCTTACATCACATAGCTCACTTTTCTTGTAATATCTACTACTTGTACATGTATGGGACACATGGTGGAGGCGGGTATGCATGAAGTGTTGTGCCTGGAGATTGGCAACGGGAGGATGGGAGATGTTGAGAGATGTCAGAGCACACTGTACTTGGTTTGCATGCATTCATCATTGTGTGTGTATGTGTGTGTGTGTGTGTGTGTGTATGTGTGTGTGTGTGTATGTGCCAGCTAGTTCGGTTGGTGGGTACACTTATGTCAGATAGTGTTGGGCCTGTTGCCAACGGGCTCGGCTGCTTGAAGGTGTATTGTTGTACCTACCACCTTTGTTGGTTTCAGGGTTCATATACTTTCTATTTGAAGTATACATACTTGTTAACCATGGACTACTTCTGGCTAGATAAACTCTTGTGTAATCAATGGTGCTAGTGAAGCTTTTATCAGATCCACTCTGATTTAGCCACCCACACTAGTACCAAGTATTACCTTCACTGGGGTCAGGGGTACCTGCAGTTGGATCCCGGGACGGATACCCTTATGCCGTCAATCCTTTTTCTGCACCTTGTCCTCACCCACTTACTGAGGTGTGGTGAGCCCATAAGTGGGATCATTTCAAGTCCACCCTAGTTTGGGGATTTCAGGGGGTGTCGGCCGTTGGGTGGTTCAATGGCCAATTGAGTCATCTTTCCAAGATTCCTTTTGAGTCTCTCTCCCCTCTCCCGGGGAGACCCACGTGACCAGTTTTGGCAGTGAGCAAGTACAAGTACAAGTGTGTGTGTGTGTGTGTGTGTGTGTGTGTGTGTGTGTGTGTGTGTGTGTGTGTGTGTGTGTGTGTGTATGGGTGTGTGCTCATCTGCCATACGTGAAATGGGAACACTGTGTGTGTGGCACTGGTGCTGTTCTAATAATGCTTTGTTGCTTGTGTGTGCATGTTGTGTCTTGCAGTCGGTGAATGGTGCGCATAATGCCTGGGTATGTGCCTTGCTCAAGGTGCAGTCATCTAGTGCTGGTGGCCAGAGTGGTGTCTTGGTCAGTGGCTGTCGTAGTGGTATGGTCAAACTATGGCAACTCGGCACCTGTGCTCCTAATGGTGAGGCAGTTTGAAATGCTTTTATCGGTCTGCTACCACCGTTTTATGCTGTGACCTCTTGTGTAGAGAGGTGTAGGAAGATTGAACATATACCCCTCCCCTATGCCGGTGTATATGACATTTTTGTGTCAGTTGCCTGACGATTGCTTCTGCAAGAAACTCTGGAAGGCGACGACTTTCTAATAGACTGTTTCTTCGCTCGTACATGTGGTGTTGTCATTGTCCTTGTTAAGCTTGTGGTGATTATACGGAATGAGAGGAGCAACATGTACAGCTTTGTACCACAGCAATGATTTTGTTCGTGTTGTTGTTGTTGTTGTCGCTGTTGGGTGTGGTGGTATGTTGTTCAGGTGAAATTGCTGCTCACAAACAGCCTATCAACGCCATGGCAGCTAACGACGGGCAGTTGTTCACAGCATCCAAGTAAGTAGGCATGGCTGTGATTGCTGTCCCTTAACCCCGTACACATGTACACTGAGTGTGACAAGGTAGTAGCAATGAGCACTGACTTCACTGTGTCCAGTGAGCGTGAAACTAAGAGCCTCATGCCCCTACAGTCAGAATTGGCTATGGCCTACCTTATCCAATCCTGAACCATTGTATTCCCGAAAACACTATTGTCAAATATTGAAATGAAAAGCTCACCGGCAGCGGCTCCAGAAGAACAAGCCCGGTTACTGGTGTGTAGAGCGGAGGAAATATAGTCGGTTTTGCTTCTTGTCTGTTCTGGCGTGTGTTGTAGTCATACTGTGTAGTAGTCACACTGCTGACGATTTCTCTATGACTCACTTGTCTTTGTGTGTGCAGTGATCGTACGGTCAAGGTGTGGAAATATCGAGATTGATTGTACTAACCCTGTCCACCCTGTACACATGCTACACACGCAAGTGTCGTTCAGTGTACTGACTGACGTTACCCCACGCTCTGCCCAATGTATATTTTTAAAGTTATTTGTTTGTATGTCGCAACGCTTGATGCTCTCAGCCTGCACTTGAGGCCTCCGTCACAGATAAGATATTTTTCAATAGCCATCTATCAGCAATCATCAGTTTTGAAAATTTGATTTCCTTGCAATGTCTTCAAGTTGCGGCAGCATCGTGTGACTGAGATCACTTTTTATTAACCATGTCATCCACCACTTCATCAGGAATTTCCAGCATTGAGTTGAAATTGGATTTTCTGTCAATGCTCCCTACTTGTAAAAGCATTCTGTGACCGAGTTCTCCGAACTCTGTGAACTTCTCTTTTTAAAAGCACAGCTTTCTATCTTCATTTACCAAGCTTGCAGTGTCTTAGTTCTTTTACTTAACGCTAATGAAAGGTGAAATCACCTGTATCTTATTTAACCGTTTCTGTTGTAACATCCACACAGGACTCTGGGTGAGAAAACCTCTCATGGTCTTCTTTTGTGGCAGTTTCCATGTGCATATTTGTGTAATTGTATGGGTGGGGGCTTGGGCGTTAGTCACCTGTTTCATCCTCCTTGCTGTGATACAGTTGGACCTGTCAAGGCTACCCCACCTCCCTCAGAAGACCACTGCAACTGTGACCAAAGTCAAGTGATGCTATTTTTAGTCAAATGACCGTGGACATGGAGACCACCTGTACACGGAGACCACGTTTGACTGTATATGTAGCATACCGTATCGTATTATTCCCTGGTGGCAAACCTGCATCATCTGCATTAATCAGTGCAGCGATAGTTTTTAGAAGAATTGCTATTTCGAATCATCAGTTTCATCACTAATGTTTCTGTTATAGATAGAGGCAATGCTCAAAGCTTGTAATTGGATAGGTGACATCAAGAGTTTATAATGTTATGAACTCTTGGTGACATTGTGTAAACAGTACACCTCAAATAGATCATAATAATTATTTCTAGTCATAATAACCTCTTCTTCACATTCTAGTCATAATACTGATAAATACTTCGATGAAGTAACATTTATAGTAAAGAAAAAAGGACCAATAAACTACAAGTTGCGCTATTATGTCCACTAACAACACCAGTTACTAAACAATCAGCTCATGCGATCACATTGCACAACACTGACCGACGGTGAAGTAACATTCTTCATCCCAGTCACCTGGTCACCGTGCCTGCAGGGTACAACTTACTAGCCTGTTTGACCTTTTTTGGGTGCAGTCTTTGTGGTCCACTTCACAACAATAACACACACAGAAGTCTCTGCTGTGAGCATGGTGGCTCGGCAATGGCTTTATTATTGATATTATTATAATTATCTCCTCAAACCAGTTAATATTAATTATCTCCTTCCTGATATTTTTCTTTCTTTTTTTCTTCTTTCTTTTTTCTTTCTTGAATAATTGTACGCATAGGGCCTGATAAGAAAAATTAGCACAAGACACTGCTGCTACTGTAGTCGCACAGCAAAACACACAGAAAACGACAAAATGTTACAATGAATGTAACAACACCCGTCCAAGCTAAAGGACCGACATCCCTGCCCCAGGACGGCATCTCGAAACCCCCACACGGTCATCATCCAGCTTCAGTTCAATCACTGTATTCTTCCCCTGCAGACTCAACCCCCTGTCACTAGCCATACAATCTGAAGCTGTATGTAACCATACAATGGCCCACGACGCACACACCACCCCTACGTTTTTTAACTAAAAAAGAAAAGCAGTCGTAACTGCAACAGCCACATGGCCAATAAGAAAAACCAATACGATATATCGATAAACACACACCCAGAAGTCAGGGGTGGGAGGGTGGGATACAAACTGCACCAACGAAAAGCCACTGCGAAGTGACAGGAATGCGGTCCAGCACAACATTTTTGCTGACGCAAAAAGTTGTGGGGAAATCCCAAAATCGGTGCGATTTTGCATGAGCCCAAATGTTCAAGTTACCCACAAAGACACAAGCTTTCCAACTCTCTTTGGCCGTTGGAAAGCGTACCGTCCTGTCACTCGAGTTGAACCTTGGTGTGAAAGTTGTCGCCTGCTGGCGTGGTGACCAGGTGATTTGGGCACCCAGGAGCACGTGACCGCTCGTTCAACCATGTTCGATTGGGAATAAAGGAGGAACGCTGCATCGCAGCCTTTTCGGACCAAAACCAGTCGACTCAGCGTCCAAAAGACTACAACATATGGGCCAATCGCGGTCATCCGTGCTTTTATAAGAACGACGTGGCGCTTTTAGTGACATTTTGCATACAAATCCCCATCTAGTAGGGCGCAGTCACCCAGTTTCGGTGGAAGTGCGCGAGTTCGATTGGGATTAAAGTAGGAAGGGAGCGTCTCAGCTTTTTGGACCAAGACCATTCGACTCAGCACCCTGGTGAAATTTTGATTTTAGCCTTTAACTCGGATACTGAGCCAGTACAATAATTAAAAGTCTTTCTGACTGGTTATCATCTTGTTACAGTCGTGGATAGTTGCTGCATAACTCGTTCTCATGTGTTTTCTTCTCTTTCTTACTTTTCAAAATGTGACATGAATTCTTGTACACAGTGTGAAACTACTGCTGCATGTGTTAACGGTTTTTGTGCTATTTAGATCATCTGAATGCGGTACCATTACATTCTCGTCAATGATTATAAGGAGTCAGGACAGTTGATGGGTGATGGGTGATGCAATATATTGGTTTCGACTTGTGGTGGTCAGCAGTGCAAGCCTACAGCTCGCTGTGTGCTCTACCTGCATCATTCTCCTCATCCTGATCATCTCCATCATCTCCTTCATCTCCATCATCTCCTTCATCGTCATCGCTTGCAGCACGCCTTGTGATTAGATTTTCTTCATCCAAGGTGACATCGAGTCGAGGATCATCGCTTTCAAACTTTGCCATTATGTCGGACATTCTGCTTTGGAACTCTTGCTGGCTGAAGGAGCCGTCTTTCTCTGGATCGACAGTGTCAAAAATCTGGTAATACAAAAGCAGACGCAAAGGACAAACAGGGGCGACGCTATCATGATCATGTTGAGGGGGGGGGGGGGGGGACTAAGTCCAACAGTACACTAACCACAGTGTGCGCAACTCCATCAGAAAGAACCCATGGCAAACTCGTTTCGTTTGTTGAAGTCGTAGGGACTCACCTTTGGCAGATTCATTGCTGAACCTCACACGTACCGGTTACATTTATTATCTCATCATATGAGTGTCTCGAAGCAGCTATGAAGCACATACACCTGTACTAGTATGAAGAGCCAGTGCCCCTTCCTCCCCATGTCTAGTGATGGTAATGAACTTCACTTGATCTCTTATTGTACTTTCTCACAGTTTGCGCACCGGTTCAAGTCATGTCAACCTTAAAATGTCTGGTATTTTTTGTGCAAATTAAAAATGCAACGTGGGGATAGAAATCATCACCAAGGAAGCAACGCCAATATGAAAGCAGCAGCAATAACATGTGCAGGCACCATGGTCGCGCAACACAAGATGGCAATGATGTCAGTACCTACCTTCGATCCAATGTACTCACTTCCTCCGACAATCTACACATAGAGCAGGCACATGTATACAGTACACCGACATACAGTACACCGACATACAGTACACCGACATACAGTACACCGACATACAGTACACCGACATACAGTACACCGACATACAGTACACCGACATACAGTACACCGACATACAGTACACCGACATACAGTACACCGACATACAGTACACCGACATACAGCACACCGACATACAGTACACCGACATACAGCATACTTTGAGTTGTAGATTACAAACAGGAAATGCACATCATCTACGTGCAATGGAGGTAGTACTCTAAATCATGCCGGCCAAGCTTACATTCCAGATAGCACATGGTGAGCTACAGTCTGCTCCTCTTCCTCCCAACTCCAACAGAACATGAGCCAATACAACACTAGGCTGTGGCCTGGGTCCATTGTTCAACGGTTCTCTACAAGTGCTATCCTCCACTCAGTCAGCCACAGTCCTCGCTGCAGCACCCATGTGCCCGTATTTTCACAAATACCTTGTAGACATTGATTCCATGATTATTCTCTGCTTCTGCCTAGTACTGGACATCTTGTTTGCTATGTTTTCAAAGTAACTTTTAAAATACAACGGACAGAATAGAGCTCTTAGGTGGGGAGAGCGTCAGTGGTCACATCTGCTGCTCTACAAATCCACCGACCCGACCAACAACTGTATTAGGGTGTTACTTACGCGTGTGTACACATCAATCCATTGCTGCCGTGTTATGCTCCGTTTCTTGGCAAAGAAGTTATTAAGAGCAGCTCTGTGAGGAATTGTTAGATCACCGTGTAACAATAACAACACAACAAAAGAGCAAAATACCTAAACAGTCCTAACCCACTGAGCTTTGTAAAGCATCACCCTGCCTAACCAAGACCCTGCCTAACCAAGACCCTGCCTAACCAAGACCCTGCCTAGCCAAGACTCATTTAGCTCGCCTGTGACCAGTCAAAGACAACATGATAGACAAACAAAGGCAAAACATCTACACAATCAAAGAAACTGCCTCATGCACAGTATTCACGCCTCTCAGTTCACCCATCACAGGTAGCTATTGTACCTACTGGACGTGTTCGGCTGAGATGACGGAATACTCGAAGTCGTATGTGTTGCTGACGTCAATTGGCTCCAATTTGAATATCAACTCCTTCCAAAGGGATACGGGCAGTGCATCCAACTCAGCCGTACTGAGCCACAGCTTTTTCCCAGGATTCAACACTTGAAACACCTGGAGGGTAAAGGCAATCGGCAAGCTGCTACATTATGACGTTGTTTGATTAAGAACGGTGTCAGTTTTAGATACCGCGACTGGTATATGCTGCACATATAGGTAAATGCAACAAAGAGAGCAACCCTGGAGGCATGCTACTTTCTGATCGGGAGAGAGGTTGCATAGAACGAGGTTTTGTTGCTTTCGAGGGAGAACGGCAACACCAAAAACGTCTAAGGGCTGTGACAATCTGCTTATTGGGAGTGCTCGCTCCGGCAACAGTGGTGATTTTTAAAGTTCCTTTCTGAGTATGAGAAATGGGTCTCAGCACTGTTCCGCATGCACATGGTCAGTGTAAGACAGCACACAACTAGCTGTATCACTGTGTAACAGTGCAGTAATGACAACAAAATGGTTTTCATTGTTGTGCTCTTTTTTGGTTGAAAGTTTAAAGTTTTTATCATTATTTTCGGCCGTAACGGCTAAACCTCAAGCTTTTTTGGTGTTGTGCACAACATCTTTAATAAGACGCAGTGATTGGATGGGATGCTTCGTAACTCAAAATGCAGCAGCAGTGCCGCACAATATACATGCTAAACAGCCCTGAACACATAATAGCAGCATTCAACATGATTGACTGCTGTCATGGTGATCAACACGTGACTATGTTCACAGCACAATGTAGTCCAGTGAGATACATAACATGCAGCTAGTGTGTGAACACAGTCCCTATGCTCACCAAACTGGATACACATCAAACGGGGGAATCTTGCCATGTGCATGGGCACACAAGATGTGTAGGTTATTGCCTCTTGTAATTTTTTTGCATTGTTTTTGCATTACTCAACTCGAATGGTGAGCCAATTAAATATTATGGTGAAAAAGAACCTCCAAGTTGGAAGGTTGTTGGTTTGCGCCTTGAAGAAATGTTGGAGCTAGGTGTCAGGTCGCCAAATGTCTCAGTACACCTTGTCAGTGTTGTGCATTTTGTCGCACTCGCTGACTGAATAAGATCTTGTTACGTTGGTGGACAGTTAGTCATAACTCGTAACATTTTGTCCTTCTCCTTTTTCACCATAATGTTTTTGCATTGTTTTTGCTTACTGCCATGGCTGGCTATCGCCCCCCCCCCCCCCCCTCCCTCCATATTGGCCTCAGTATATTCCCTGGCCACGGGAAGGTGAAATAAATAAATAAATATAGTTGATAAATATGGTGGTAAAGACACACCTGGCAATATGGCGGTAAACACACGCCTGCCCACACACGCTCTCTAAGCTGCAAAGTTCTGGCACAGAGCTCTCCTTCTCACCACCATCAGTTCGCGCCTGGCGCCTAGTCGATGCATGGTTGGCGGTATCCGACATAGCAGGCTGGTACATCAAGCAGCGCATGGCACATAGAAGACATCCAAGAAGAAGATTGCCTGAGGAGTCCAGCGGGGACGAAACGTACGTCACAGTCGAGCTATGTCGTTGCTGTGTCATCTATGTGCCATGCGCTACTTGATGTACCAGCCTGCTATGTCGGATACCGCCAACCATGCATCGACTAGGCGCCAGGCGCGAACTGATGGTGGTGGTGGTGAGAAGGAGAGCTCTGTGCCAGAACTTTGCAGCTTAGAGAGCGTGTGTGGGCAGGCGTGTGTTTACCGCCATATTGCCAGGTGTGTCTTTACCACCATATTTATCAACTATAAGTACAGCTGCAGTGGTGTCTTCAACTTCATTATCCCGAAAATAAATATAGATGACAACAATCATAAAGCTGCCATAGCGCAGTCTCTGCAACACACTATGCGACAGGGAGTCGTAATTTTATGACTCCCCACTATGCGCTCTTTAACCCTTTCAGCACGGCCAGGGTGTGTAACTGACCCGCGGAGCCAAAACCAGTGATTTTCGTGATTTTCCAAAAGTAGTCCTATTCACTCACAATTTTTTCTGCGGAATGCATAGGTTTCAGTGAGAACAATTCCCAACACAAAATTCCATATTTGGTCAATAGAAGCCAGTAAAACGAGTACAAAATATACGTATTTTTGATGAATTTTCGCATAAACACGGGTTGAACGTACCAGAGCATGCAGCTCATTTATACTAAAATGGCCAGGTGGATATGATGGTAAGAACTAGGTTTGACATAATTACGGTTTTGTTCTTGAGTAGATGATGACCAAATATGGTCATGTTTGCTGAAACCAGCTGAGGGGCGTCAGGAACTATTCAATGTGCATACGAATAGCTAGGCAACAGGTTCTTGCCGAACAGACACCGGCAGAGACATGCACATATTCACAACCATACAGATCTATCCAGCCATGCAATTCTCGCATTCACATTCACCCGTACACTCATGTACTCTATTGGACACATGTATGAAAGCGCCCCCCCCCCCCCCCCTCCCTCCACACACACACACACAAATTATAGAATGTAGCTCACATAAATTATTGAATGCAGCTCACACAAAGTAGCTGAGCGCTGCAATACCACTACAGTGAACTAGCAGGTAGCTAGCAACTACATAAAGCCTGCCACGATCCTCAAGCGGTGACCAGACCTGAACACCCCTGACACGAGCGAGTACAGCTCTATTTCCCTCGGTAAGACTCCTCGAAACACTGAATGCAATACGAATGGCTAGGCAACAGGTTCTTGCCGAACAGACACCGGCAGAGGCATGCACATATTCACACCTATACAGACCTATCCAGCCATGCAATTCTCGCACTCACATTCACCCGTACACTCATGTACACTATTGGACACATGCATGAAAGCGCACCCGAGGGCGCGCGCGAGTGCGCGCCCACACACACACACAAATTATAGAATGTAGCTCATACAAATTATTGAATGCAGCTCACACAAAGTAGCTGAGCGCTGCAATACCACTACAGTGAACTAGCAGGTAGCTAGCAACTACATAAAGCCTGCCACGATCCTCAAGCGGTGCCCAGACCCGAACACCCCTGACACAAGCGAGTACAGCTCTATTTCCCTCGGTGAGACTCCTCGAAACACGGAATGCAGTACCCAGGATTCCCGAGGCAATCAGCGCACATGGTGCGGACATCCTTCCGGTTACCCTTGCCGTAGCAGACAACACACTGTTTCTGCGGATTAGCCTTTTTCTCGGTTGCCGGGATGTAGCGGAGGAAGTGGCTGTCCATGCGCTTCGTGCCTGTGGCTCCACCAGTTGCTGCAGCAGCTGCTTCCGCGTGAGCTACCATCTCCGCCTTGCCTTCGGCGATGAGGGCTTTCAGGGCGCGCTTCACAAAGTCGAAGTGCGTCATGCGGTTTGACTTCCTGTGCAGGATATACGCGTTCAGGAGTGCTTGCTCAATCAGATGCACGGCGAGCTTCTTGTACCACTTCCGGGACTTGCGTGCAGCGGTGTAGAACGACAGCATCTCATCATTTTTGTCAACTCCACCCATCTTCTTGTTGTAGTCCTGTACAAGACGAAGCTTGCGGACTGGGCGGCGCTGCCGATCTCGCTTGCCAGTTGGCTCTACGTTTGCCTTGTGCATCGTGGACAGAAAATGCACCTCCTTCGTGTCCTGCAACTTTATAAACATCATGCCACCACCGCTCCGGTACAGAAAGTGGCCTTTCTTTAGCCCCTTGAAATTTGCTATACGCTTCGGTAGTCCGATCCGGTTCTTGCGAATGGTACCGCACACTCCCGTTGCGTTGCCCTTGAGGTAGGTGGCTATCGGGATACTCGTGTACCAGTTGTCCACGTACAGCTTATACCCCTTCCCGAGAAGCGGCTCAACGAGCTTGTGCACTACCGCACCGGACACGCCGAGCTCCTTGACCTTCTCAGGGCAGAAGGTTTCGTTGTCCTTCCCGACGTAGACAATCAGATTGAAGAGGTAACCGCTGTCTTCGCAGAGCGCATAGATTTTCATCCCGAAGCGTGCTCGCTTCGACGGAATATACTGGCGGAATGATATCCTTCCCTTGAACGCCACCAGTTCCTCGTCAATTGAAATGTACTCGTTGGGAGTGTAAACGCTCATGAATCGCTCCTGAAGCAACGTCAGAAGAGGCCGTATCTTGGAGAGCTTATCGTTGGGATCTTCTTCAGCGTTGTCCATGAAGTGCAGAAAGTTCATGATAGAGGTGAAGCGCTCGCGCGGCATCGTGCGGCTGTAGAACGGTGTGGCGATGATGGGATCTGTGCTCCAATAGTGGTCAAGCTCGGGCTTAGGAACAAGGCCCATGTTCAAGAACAAGCCCAGGAACACTTTCATTTCGGCTACGGTAACGGGTGTCCACGAGCGGGCGAGGCTGCGCCGGGCCAGTGTTTCAGCGTTAGCGTCGATGTATGCTCTTGCAAACCGGTTTGTCTCCGTCACTAGCATCACCCAGAATTGTGCAGTGAAGAACAGCTTGACATAGTCCAGTGGAGTTGGATCGTCCGGGAGAGGCATCTTGATCCCTGGCTGGCCAGTAAATGGCGGCACATTAGGTTCCACATTCTGTTTCACCCAGATACCTGCAGTAACAAAATATCCATGACAAATCCTATGATGTTCCCAGTGTCACACACAAATGCTAATAATTATAATAATTTGCATTGTACAATTCTGTCCGCTGATTGAGTTGTACATGTGTATGAATACTAAAAATATAATTCAAATTTGGAACTCACAACGATAAGCATTTGCAACACAATACACATTTACATGCATTGTGAATGAGGAAAAATGTCCGTGCATGATCATTGAGCGATCAGCTGAGTGACAAGATTTTTAGTACAATTATTTGAAAATTTGAAATTATGAGTACTATTTTCAGATCCATACGCACACTGACCTTCACTTCCATCGTCGCCCTCAGCCAGTGCTTCGACTGCTTCCACGTGCGTTTTAGCAGATATCCCCTCGTTCTCACCGTCACTGTCGCTGCTGGCGCTACCTACATCGTCATCCGCGGCGTCTCCTACGACATCGTCGTCGTCCAATTCATTTTCACTATCGCCTGGCGACGCTGCGCGATTTTCAGGCAGATCTCCATCTTCCTCTGACAGAACGATGTCGTCTTCAGACAATGTCGGCTCGACATCACTGTCAGGGTCGAGTACGACAAGGTCGAGGACATGATCGAGATCGTCTGCACCATATCGACGCCGCGCCATGACAGCAAATTGTCAAAATTTCTATTGTTCAAATAATTTCGCACGCGACATCTATGTAGGCGTACATAGCCGCACATGCGCGCGCGCCCGTCAGTACTATCGTAGAACTGTCGACGTTCATCCAGCACGTCACTGGTCCACGTAGGGATAAGATCCGTCGACCACGGATGTCTCGAGAGTACGTTCATTTTCACTGTACGCATCACGTATATATACGTGATCCGTGGGCCAGTTACATGTACCATCACGTACATATACGTGATGCGTGCTGAAAGGGTTAAAGGGGAAGTTAAGGCAAAAATTAAAATTTCACCAGTTGTAGTCTTCGGGGTGCTGAGTGGAATGGTCTTGGTCCGAGAAAGCTGTGACGCTCCCTTCCTACTTGAATCCCAATCGAACTCGCGCACTTCCACCGAAACTGGGTGACTGCGCCCTACTAGATGGGGATTTGTATGCAAAATGTCACTAAAAGCGCCATTTCGTTCTTATAAAAGCACGGATGACCGCGATTGGCCCATATGTTGTAGTCTTTTGGACGCTGAGTCGACTGGTTTTGGTCCGAAAAGGCTGCGATGCAGCGTTCCTCCTTTATTCCCAATCGAACATGGTTGAAGAAGCGGTCACGTGCTCCTGGGTGCCCAAATCACCTGGTCACCACGCCAGCAGGGGACAACTTTCACACCAAGGTTCAACTCGAGTGACAGGACTGCACCCAAAAAAGGTCAAACAGGCTAGTAAGTTGTACCCTGCAGGCACGGTGACCAGGTGACTGGCGTACGCAGGAGCACGTGACCGCTTGTTCAACCATGTTCGATTGGGAATAAAGGAGGAACGCTGCATCGCAGCCTTTTCGGACCAAAACCAGTCGACTCAGCGTCCAAAAGACTACAACATATGGGCCAATCGCGGTCATCCGTGCTTTTATAAGAACGAAATGGCGCTTTTAGTGACATTTTGCATACAAATCCCCATCTAGTAGGGCGCAGTCACCCAGTTTCGGTGGAAGTGCGCGAGTTCGATTGGGATTCAAGTAGGAAGGGAGCGTCTCAGCTTCCTCGGACCACGACCATTCGACTCAGCACCCCGAAGACTACAACTGGTGAAATTTTAATTTTTGCCTTTACTTCCCCTTTAAACATGGCCGCGTCACCACTACTGGAAACGGAGTGCACCCCAGACAGAGTCAGCAGTATTTTGCCCAACTGACCTTGGATACGTGTTCCTTGACGTCCGGGTCATCTTCTGATAGGCCCTCCTCTTCGTAACCTTCCGCTGGGGCAGAAATCTGAGCATATTAATTTCATTTGCACAAGTGAAAAGAACAATTCTTCTGGTGTGCCACATACAAATCGTCTACTGAGCAATCGTGCGCCAAGCTAGGCAAAACTCACAACTGCAGCAGGACAAGAGGGCTAGTGGCTGGAAACCTACAGAAGCTGCTCGTTGTTGGTGCCACATGTCAAGTTGCAGTGTAGTGTTTGTGCTGAGTACTTGTATATGGTACTCTGGCAATCATCGACAGGGTTCTTATAGCAGATTCTGCTGTGGTCCTTTGCACAACACTATTGCACTAGTAGCCGCTGCCAATGCTCGCCATGTCGCATCATAGAATCACCCCAGGACTGGCAGCGTGAACTGTGAGAAAGCAAATATCATGAGTGAATGATTATCAACCTTACATCAAGGTAGACCTTCATCATAACATCTTCAGTTAACCGGTCGTTGTTCGCTAGAGTAAAGTTGTGTACAACGCCTCTGAAAAGACACACACGGCGAGACAGCACAGACATCAAGGATACAATACATGTCTCCCATAAATTGAAGAGCGGATGATGACGGTGACACAATTGCTCAGTTTGGCAAAATAGTGACATAGCAAATTGTACTGATAGCCCAATTGTCTACTTAGCGTCTGAACTTCAGTCCTGTGTACAGCATTGACAGTGGGATAGACCAGACTGACGGATGCCGCTGAGGTTGGCAGCAGTACTAGTATATCAGAGAGCAGATGATGTTGCAGCTCTCAGGGCAGCGTGCACTGGCAGATGGGAAACACATCCTCTCACTCACCTGTACATCTCAATGTCCAATGAGCCCATGCGCATCAGTCCAGTTCCAGGATAGGGTAAGTACACGCCAGCCTCTGCCAGCGGCTTGGATCTTGCCTGGCCTGCTGGGCACTGGTCGAGCTGCACATAGCGCACTGCTTTGGAGAAGAGAAGCGAAACAGCCATGTTCCTGCCCCCGGGTGACTTGACCTGATGGTAGAAACCTGTATTAGCATACACATGGTAGAGCAAACAGTGTTAACAATGCGATATGATTGCTTGAGTGACATGAATCAAACTGCCGGGATATTCTTGTCGGCTACTATAATCTTCATCAAGCATTCCAAAGCTGAAGGTAGAAAACCCATTCTATTTTAACCAGTCAGGGCATATAGCTCAGTGGTAGAGCATTTGACTGCAGATCGAGAGGTCCTTGGTTCAACTCCGAGTGTGCCCTGTGATATTTTTTTGATCACCTTTTCTCAGGGCATACAGTGCAGCTTTTCTACTTTTTTGTTGCTTTTATCCAGCCTGGACTCAGTAAAGGGCAGTGGTCAAAAATGGAAGTTTCCGGAGGAGGGAGCTGTAGTTATCATCAACCCTCACCGCGCCCAGCTCATGCCGCTGCCGCGTGTCCTACTGCAGATGGTCTATACATTGCAGTCTGTGAACGGCTGGCAGCAAGAATGAATGTGTGCAGGTTGTGTCCTTCTTGTTCAGGCGTTCAGCATTCAGCTATTATCATCCATCCAAAATCCTCAACTGCATGTGGTCTTAGATGTTTTGCAGTTAGCTCCAACACGTGTTCTCCTTACCCTGTGGGATATATAAGCAGTCTCCGGCGTTGGCCGTCAAGAACGCGTACTTCACCTCGGCGAACTTGGGATACCTTTCCAGGTCCACAGAGTCCGGCTGCACCAGGGACAGGCCACCGAGTTCGTACTTGGCGCGGTGGATCACGTACACTTCGTCGTTATAGTGCGACTCCATGAAATACCATTCCTTTTTGCCGCTCAGCAAGCAGTTGATAGCATCGAACGCATCGCGGTGTATGGCACTGGCTGCTCCGCGTGACGTCATCCAGAAGTTCACCTCCTGTATTTTATTGTATATCGATGAACATGCCATGCACGGTAGGACATCTACATCCTCGAACATGGGCTCGGGCAACTCTCCCACAATGTAGCCATTTGCGTCCGCTTCCAGATAACCAGACAAGAAGTTCTGCAGTGTGTCCCTGCCAATGCCAAACTTTCCAGCCGGGAGACGGTCATTGGACGCTCCCTCCACTTTCTCCTCCAAGCGCAATTCTAGATGCCCAAACGTGGAGTTGAGATATTCGTCAGTCCATTTTGAGAACGCGGGCATATCTACTGCAGCGTTGCGGATTATAACTGGTCTCCTTTTCAGGACATACTCCTTGTAGAATGTTTCAGCGGACAGCGACAGCGATCCATTGTATTCATCAATTGTATCCTCAGGCCCTGGCCGATGATTCCCTAGCGGCTCCAAATGACCCATTAGCGTGCTGGAAGAGGCTGCAACGCCGCAAAGTAATGCCGCTAACGACGCCAGCTGCAGCAGGCCGCGATAAGCCATTCTATGGGATCGAGCTTCTTGTCTTGCACTATTTGTTGCGTCCATTTCCATCCAAGGATGGTGAAGAAGACTAGGAGAACCAAACCTTGCCCAACGTACAATCATGTAATAGCCCTTCACGTCGTTGAGTCAATGACATAGTCATTAATTTTATTTTCTTAGACTCAAAGTTTGAGTTTGACGTTATCATGGTGATACCGAGACTGGCGTGGTGGTGCGGTGGGACCTGGTGCACAATCATGAATCAGTGTGCCGCCTGTTACCTAGTAACGGCTCTCGATGTCTTCTTGGTTTCTCTTTTTCACGTAGTCATTTTGCCATTTCCCTTTCAATTCAAGCACATTATTATTATCCTGTCGTGGACGTCATTGTGTATTTTGCTCAGCCAATCTCAGTGGCAGGAATATAATAATTATGGATTACATGTATGTACGTCGAGTACGTACATGTACCACGCTACCAACCATAAAAAGCACTGCATGCACCTGCTGTAGACCTAGCCATAACTGCATAAGTTAGTTATCCGATAACCATACACAGACTCGGTCCGAGTCGTCTGGTTTGCAGACTACCCGATCTGCTAGATTTCAGCCCTACCGACCACGACAGAGCGGACCATCTGTCGCTCCCATGTAAAAGAAGAAAAAAATGGTCGACAATGACACTTGAGATGTATTGATAGTCCAGAAGGCAAGTGCAAGTGCCAAGAGTAGACTTACACAGACCATGATAAACTACAGACATTAGTCATAGCTACCGTATGTCAGTCTTGCTCAGGCCGAGACCCACTTTGTTCGGAAACAAGAAACACTTTTGCTGAAGGGCTGGAGCCATAGCAATGTGACTACTGCCGGAAGAGGTCCAGAACCCCCCCCCCCCCCCCCCCCCCCCGGATTGGGACTGAGAGTGAGAACTACCTGTACAGGTAAAGCGGCCAACCTGGGGCTGCTCCGGCAAGCATGGACCTGGCCACCAAGACCCCCTCCCCCTCCTCCATGGTACCAGCCCTGCGTCAATCAGATTGATTTGAGCTGGGAGTAATCAATGCCTGCACAGAATCACCTCCATTTCGGGTATACCCGTGATCCACAACACGCAATATCAGTGACGAGTTAGTTCGTATGGAGGATATGCATACAATGTATTACGGGTTCTGCGAGAAGAAGGAAATCTACAAGATCCCTATGGGCCCAAGTGAAATCAGAAAGGTATACATGTGGTGTCTAACAAAAAAACGGCAACAAGACATTCAGCTCAACTGCAGTTCTGTAGTTCATTGGCGCGAACAAGACGGGCAAGTACTTGTACAATGCACTATTCACAGCGGTCTGAATCGAACAAAGAGCATTTTGTGCCACAGAATGATCATCAAGTCGACAGATAGCAAATGCAAATGTAAAATAAAATAGTCAGTGAATTCTCTGAGGCATCAAGTGAAATTGTTTCGAGTAGCATATTATTAAATTCTATTTTTAAATTAAATAATACTTTCATCCTGCCTCTGGTCAGCAAATACATTGTAGCAAAAGAATAGGCAGATGAAGATCAAAAATACAATAACCCAAAAGGGCCTGCCATGTCATAACTAACTTACTATACATTCCAAAAGGATGTTCATGTTGCATTGAAGTGCATGAACTATTTACAGTTGTCAGATCATAACAAGTCCTGGTACCAAGTTCTTCAATTGGCGGAATTATAGAGTTTGTGTGTGCTGCCTAGATTATGTTTACATATAAACATTCTCCAGACCAGCGAGAAGACTCTCGTCTCCTGTTGCTGTTCCCATCTTTTCCAGGACCTTCTTCTCCTCGTCAGTCAGCTCGGTGTTCAGCTTGGCACGCTGGGGAATCGACACACCGTCACCAACACCCATCAGACTAGCAATGAGTGCTTCGCGGCCGGCATCGGATGTGTCCACTGCAGCTGCGCTTCCATCCTTTCCAGCGAGAACCTTCTGCTCATCTTCAGTGTAGTGGATATCGGCTTGCATTGCATCACGAACTGACACCTTGTGTTGGGCTGCAGCGCTGGCATTACCCGTAGCTGCAGCGCTGCCTTGGCTAGGCTTGCTGAATTCAATATTCATCTCTGGCACGTCCACCATGCCTTCAATGTTCTTCACCGCTGCAAGCTTCTGCTCCTTTGCCAGCTCACGTCGTCGCCGCTCTTCCTCCGCAGCACGTTTCTGTCGCTCGCGCCTTTCAGCCGCCATGCGACTAGCCCGTTCTTCCTCCTGCCGAGCAGCTCTCTCCCGTGCCAACCTTGCACGTTTCTCCTTTTCCTGAGTTGCTTTGTCTTGGTCTTGCTTCTCCTTGGCTTGCTTAGCCAGCTTGTCACGCTCTGCTTGCTGCCGTTCTTCTTGCTCTTTCTTCAACACGTCCACTTGTTGTTGACTGGATGGTACTGGTTTGGCTATAGTAGGTGGTGCCTGCTTGGGTGGTGCAGACACCGGCGTTGGAGTTGCCTTCAGTGGAAGGGACGGCGAGGGTGCGGCAGCTGGTGCCGAGGCGGCGGTCGGTTTTGCAAGCAGCGGGTTTGTGGGTCCAGTTGGCGTCTTCGGTTTCTTCCAGCTCGGTGTGGTGGGTGTTGTACCAGTGGAGGGCTTTTCCCACATGGAGAGGTCCAGCTTCCCAGCAGTTCTTCTTGGCTTCACCGTATCGCCAGGCACGCCGGTTGGCTTCTTTATCGACCCGATGGATCGAGTCGGTACAGGTGACGGAGCAGCAGCAGCCACATCAGCATGGCGGATGGGTGCTGGAGATGGAGCAGACACTACCTCTTGTCTACTACTGAGTACAGCTGAGGGTGGAGGTGATGCTGGTGCCAGTTCTGGCTTTGATGGAGTTGGTGTACTGGCAAAAGCAGAGGCTGGTGACGTTGGCTTTGGCTTGTTACTCTTAGGCATAACTGGCGGTGGAGGCTTCTTTGTCTTCGGGGCAACAGGCGGGGGTACTTTCTTAGGTTTTGGATCGGGTGCCGCTGGCTCTGGTGGTGAAAGAGGCTCCACAACTGGCGGGGCAGGCGGCACAACTGGTGGTTGTACCTGCGCAGCGGCTGCTTCAGACACTGGTGCAGGTTGCACACCCTCTTCTGGCATAGCTGCCAACAGGTCCATCTTGTGTTGATGGACTTGATCAGACTCTGATTGCTCGGGAACGCTGCCGCTGCCGCCCAATAAGTTATGCTGTTCTGCTTCTGGTTCAGTGCTGCCAGTAGGTGCAGGGCTGGAAAGTGGAGAGAGCTCAGACGGATCAGTCACCGAGTACGGAGGAGGTGGTGACATGTGCATGTGAGAAGCTCCACTAGACGGAGTGCTTGCGGCACTAGCACTGGCAGCTGCTGGCGCATCACTACTGCGAGCGTCTGTGGTGTCCAGGGATTGCGATGAGCGTGACAGGGCTTCTGAAATCAATGCACTCGGCGCACGGGGTGTTGGCGATGATGGCTGCGACAGTCTGTCTTCATCAATGATAACTTCGCTGCTGGACTGCCGCCGAATCTGGACAGGAGTTGCCTTTGGTGACTCATCTCCCATATCATCGCCCCAGTGAACACGACGTGAGGGTCGCAGCAGCTCTCTTGTTGGGCTGGAGTTGCGTCGTTGGTCTGTTGTTTCCCGCAAGAGGCTGACAGCCAGGGCGGAGTGCAGGAACTCGTACTGGGACACATTCTGTACCATTTTCGCGCGGCAATTCCTCAGGGCCTGCACAGTGCCGGGCAGATCCATCTCGCCGCAGTCATTGAACATTTCAAGCAGACGATGAGCGGCACAGAATGTGCCCGTGCGGCCAATACCAGCACTGCAGTGCAGCAGTATGGGTGCCTGTACATCCTGTGACTTGTGTCGGTAGAGGTCAATGAGCTGCAGGTAATCAACAAAGACGTCCGGTGATTGAGGAACACCGTAGTCTGGCCAGCTCTTGTAGAAACACTGGACGACATGTCGCAGCTCATCCGTACTGTCAGATCCGACAGTGAACTCACGCACGATGAAATTGGCATCCTCCCTGCACCGGGAACAAGGCAGAACCACAGAAAACAGTTGCTATGAGAGTTCGGTGTGGGGTGCCTACCACTCAGCACCCTTAGAGACAAGAGAGAACCTCGCTGATAGCAACAAGACCATCTGCTGAAAAAGCTCAGCAAACGACAGCATCCTAACATGCATGCATGGGTGTGAATATCCAGCCATTATCATGAACAGCAAACACAGTGCTTGTTTAGCTGATGTGCTGCATCATGCAGAGGGAGCTATGACATCATGCAAAGGGAGCTATGGCATCATGGAGACGGCAGCTATGACTCACCGTTCATCGGCGCATGACACAGTCACATGGCCAAACTGTTTGGTTTCCCCAACATCGGGCCAGTACCTGCAAAGATGCACAGCACAGGAGCACAACTCAATGCAAGTTAATGGCGAACTGTGATGAAATGAAAACATCAGGTTGTTGGCACTTCATGTAAGCAAAGGACATGATCAGCAGCAGAGAGAGAGAGCTAAACCAACAGCTTCACTACAGTCAAATTCGCTTATAACGACACTCGGCGGGGCATCAGAAAAGTGTCCTTATTCGCGAAGTGTCGTTATACCCGAAGTCTCATTATATGTATTACAGTTGGATGGGACTTTTCTCTGGGCATGAAAATTCTGTCGTTATTCGTAAATTGTCGTTATATCCGCAGTCGTTATTAGCCAAGTTGACTGTACATGCCTGCCCATAGCCTCCTCATGGAGAACAGGCACACTCTGTACAACACACAACTAGGCAAGTCACATGATCATTCAGGGTGTTGAATATCACCTTGGTAACCATAACCCTGCACGATCTGAGCGCATGCACACTTACTTTTCACACTTGATGCGGTTCTGCTCGACAAGGTTTGTCAACATGCCGACGACGTGGATGTTCTCGTGCCATATCATGTTCCAGAAATCGTCTATGGTGTTCTTGATCGGCGCCTAGTTACACACAGAGCACATGCAGTCAGACATTTTAAAATTGCTGGAGTGAATGTTTCTCCCAACCGTATCCTGCTACATGTAGCACTACCGGGCACTCCCCCAGAGCTCCGCTGACTGTGAAGTCTAACAAGGTCAAAACAGCTACATACTCGTATAGCTGGTCAGAGATTAAGTGTTCAATTAATACCTTTAGCAACAGTGTTCAGCACTGGCCCCACGCAAAGCTGCTCCAACCAACCAAAAATGGTCCGATTACTGCATCACATGTATGGATGCCATTGACGATTTCCACCCTCGTTCACACCTTCAATAGTACCAACACAAAGTTAGTCAACTAGATGCAGCGGCTCTAATTACATTATAAATCTTCAAGACAAAGTCCACCTGTTGTGATAGTTTTCTGAACAGCAGACTAGCAGCAGGCCTTAGTGCCCTACCTGAGATGCTATGTAGGCCTTCTTGTGATGATAGCCGTCTATGTAGCTAGCATTGATGTAGTCAGATTGTTCTCCATCCTGTCATGTACAAACACACAGCACACGACACATATACATTTGTACTACCTGTACAGGTTATCTGTGTGTGTGTGTGTGTCACGGTGGGGGGGGGGGGGGGGGGGGGTGAGAGACAGAGATAGAGAGAATAGAGAGTGGGGGGGGGGGGGGATCAGGAATAGTCAGTATGTCCAGTACACACTGAAGCAGGTCAGCATAATGTTGTTTGTTGTTTGGCTTTATTTAAAGTGGAGTTCCAAAACAGGCCTAAACCTAATGACAATGGTCCCACTGATAATAAGAGATAATGATGTCCCATACAAGCAGAACTATAGCTGAGCAGATGTAACCAGGAAAGCACACATACGTGCTTGTATTAATTCAAATCACAGGCCAATACACACCTATACACAAAGCACTTGCAGTTGATTAACATTGCCGTGATGTGGACTAAACCAGGAAAAGCACACACTCTAGCAGACTGGGTATTTTGACCAGTTCCTTTAAAACTTCCTTACCAGATCATCAGAGACAGGAAGTCTCACACGGGAATGATCCTGTGGAAGAATGTCACGATAGCGGTTACGCTGACGGTTGCCTCCATGTCTGCAGATGAAAAAAACAAAACAATAGAAATACAAGATCATCATGCTGTTTGTAAGGCCAATCTCACATACCAAGAACCATTGCATATCCATTATTAGTGAAGCAATTTCTTTTAAAAGTACATCATCTCTACTGGTCCTGGCTTGGAAATGGTGCCTGCAGCAGCTGCACTTGCCTTTCACGAGTAGGGTCCTTCCAAAACAGCAAAAGACAATGCATCAACCAGGCAGACAGATCCAAGTCTTTACCCTAATTCAAGACGGGTATGAATGAAGCAGAGTATCGCACAATGCACAGGAAAGATATACAGGTTGTCGAGGAAAGCCCTAGTTCTTACACAGCATCGTTGAAGCTGCCCTCGGCGCGGACCTTGGCCAGCCGCTCGAATTCCTGGTGAACCATGCGATTGTGGATCTTCTCCTTGAGGCGCGTTGCCATGCTAGTTCGGTTGTTCATCTTGACAAGTGCTGGAGGCGCTTCACTGGATGCTTCGGACCATTCATCATGGAATGATACTGGCGGTGGCGTGAAACGACGACGAGCAATGTCTGAATCCTGGGAGGACCCAGAACCAGGGCGTATACGCCGTGGCTGTGCATGAACAAGTACATGAAGTGAGCACATAGTGAGCACACAGTGAGCACACAATGAGCACATAGAAAGCACAATGTGAGAACAACAACAGCATCACCTACTTCAGTGCTACACAATACAATCGAACCAATGCGTATGCTGGAACACACAGATCTCGGAAGGCATCATAGAATTTATAGCCCATGTCACTGAGCTGCATACTAAAAACCCTGAACTCTGCCACGAAGCCTGCCGACACATACTGGTACTGTCTGCATGAAGAGTCAGATAATACTGGATAGATGCTAGGTGCTTCAGGGAACCGGGGAGAGGAATCTCCAAATTCATCAGTGGGTTCCGAAAGTGTTACTAATGCCTCATGTAGTTTACAAAAAGCCACACATTGAAACACGGGCACTACACCGGCTCAGCCACAGTTATGTTGCATACTCTGTAACCGTGATCACAATCAACAGGTCAGCCGCTTACCCTCTGTTCTCTGCATGCTTATGGACACCTATAGTTCATACAAGAGCATCTCCAAATGCCACTCTTGGTCTTACCTGGATAGTACTGAGGGGAGGAACCTCTTCAAAGTCATCGTCGTCGTCATCATCATCAACTTCAAGGTTATCAGGTTGACTGCTTGAGCCAGTGCGACTGCGTTGTTCAGTCGCCTCATCTTCACTGCTAACGTAGGGAGACTCGGGCGGGCCATCGGTTTGCGGGCCAGCTTCAGCTTCCAGGTTCTCACAACTTGCCCAGACTGTGTGAGAAAGGTCGTCGACAGACACGTGGAACTGGGAAAACTGCATTGATACAGAAGCACAGGAAAACAAAGCAACTGTCGAGCAGGTGGAATTTCTAATTTCACATAACGTCCTGAAGTGCTATTTACATAGTCTGAGGGAGTTGTCAGCACGCTATCAGTATGACGACCTTACAAAAGGGCTCAGTGCACAAAGGTATTGTTAGCCTTATCGGGTGATGCAATAATTACCCTCTGAGTAACAACCAATCTTTAGTATCCCCACCATTGTGAACTTGTGTAGTTTACCACTGATTTAGAATATGAGTGTTTGGAAGGGCCAGCACAGCTGTTCAAACGACCGGGGGGGGGGGGGGGGAGTCGGGAGGGGAGGGGGGATGTAGATGCACTCACCAGTGTTGATCCCACACTCTCGGGACGAGTTTCCACGGGAGCGTCCACAACATCTTGGCCAGTCGGTTCCATGAGGTTGTCAAACTCTCCATGATCTTCATCTCTGCCTTGAATAACTTCCTCATCAATCAGATGCTGTACATCGTCATCATCAATCTTACTCCCACGCTTTTGGAATGACAGCCTGCTTGAGCCCTTTGTAGACCTTTGACTATCTCTCTCTGTAGTCCTCTGTAGTTTCTCTTCTTTCTTGCGGTCCTTCTTCGCTTGCCGTTCCTGCTTCTTCGCCTCGTTTCTCTCCTTCTTCAATTCAACAGACTTCCTCCTTGAGTTTTCGCGTAGCTCCCTACGCTGTACGGCTGTCAGGAGACTTGCTCCATCGTGAACTTGCAAGTCATCTTCTTCGGCAATGGCCTGGAGTGTCAGTGCAAACACAAACACCTGGTCAGTCATCATGTCATCATGCACGACTGTAAGAACAACAACTTTTGTCTTTCAACATGATTTGTAGGTTTGTGTTCTCTTAAACAAAACTACTACTACTACTACTATTGCCATACACTTGAAGTAAGCAGCGCAGTCCAATAGCTATTCTCATTCAGATACACTGTACTCATGCTTAGCACTGCAGGCAGTAACACTGTTGTTAATGTGCACAGTATCCCCATTAGACTCTTTTTCCAACGTTGACAGTCACTGGATCACCAGTGCTGTACATGTACTTGCCACTCGGCCATCTTTCATCACCTACAACCTGCCACTGTGCAGGAATATGATGTTTGTGTTTACCAACTGCACCATCGTTCCAACAGTGCTCATCCCATGCTTTGCTTACTCTCTCAATCCTGCGTTCCATCTGCTCTGAGCTGCTCAGAACCCAATTAGATTGCTCGGGTGTGGGTGACTCCAGTGACATGGTGGATACCTGATCGTCTTCAGCATCTCCTTCATCCTCGCTGTAATGCGCCGGTCCGAGAATAGTATCCTTAGCGCGGATCTGCAGCTCATTGTACGGACTCAGCTCCTGTAAAGAAAGGTGACACACACATGGGCAAGGCAACACATTGCAACAACATGTTAGTTGCTGGTATTGCATGCAGCAGTGGGAGGGCAAGCACATGTTTGAGGCCGGTAACATTCCTGATATGATTGCACACACACACACACTCTGCATTGGTGTGCTGTATACACAGGGCAACTGAGCACAGTGTGTGTGTGTGTGTGTGTGTGTGACACACTCTACACTGTGAGTACACTGTGTGCATCACACTGTGGACCAGGGAGTAGTAAAATACCGGTATTTTACTACTCCCTGCTGAGGACTTTGTGTACAAGGTGTGCGGCACACAGAGGACTGTGGATTGCTATAGCATTGGTCAAGCAGTCTAACTCACAATGCTAGCTTCATCACGACTCCAGAACTTGCTGGCAAAGTCCTTGCTGGCGAACTTCCGCTCAAAGTGACGCTCTTTCTGTGCCAGTGACCGATGGGCAGGGGAAGCAAGTCCCGACAGGGCTGTTGGTTTCATTTCCTGAATAAGAACATGGAATAGCACCAAATCAAGCTAAGACACTGCAAATGTGATCCAAAATTGAGCCGAGTTCTAGCATGCATAACATTCAGCTACATGTACTTCAATCTCTATTCCGGGTATCAGCGGCCGTTGCGAGGTCCCTTGGAAACAGAGGCAAAATATCCCTTTTTGTTTAATGGTAGCCTCCACTCAGCATTCAACATCAGATTACTCACGATTTCAATCTGATCTCTTTTGAAGTCGTCAAAGTCTTTCATGATGCCGTATCCGGCTGACTTGCGGCGCCTGTGTGAGAGCAGTAGCAATAGCAGCAGCACTCCAAGAACAAGAACAATGGGAATGGCAGCCACAGCTGCGATGGCTGTCGATGAGGATGACTTGATCAGTCCTTCTCTGGGTGTTTCTGCAGTTAAAGAGGATCACCGATAGTGGGATTATTGTTAGCATGATGCGGAGAGAAAGAATTGGGGAAAGTACCAACGTCGATACAATGATCAATAACGGAACATGCACCAAGTTTTCATGAACATACTTCTTAGTTCATGCATTATCAATACTGTCGCTTCAATGGGTCCTGGAAGCAGACCGTCCATCCACTGACCAGGGATCAGGGAAGAGGAATATATAATGAATAGTCCCACTGAAATGCAGTTGTATAGAAGTAACACTGAGCCAAAAAACTCCACACACATACACTGACAATATAGCGTGCAGCCCACATGCAAGTAAACACACACACACACACACACACACACACACACACACACACACACACACACACACACACACACACACACACACACACACACACACACACACACACACACAGTGATGGGTAGATGAGCATCAGCACAGAGTACAGTAGTTACTGTGCTGTTCTCAGCAATGTTACCTGCACTGATGACTCCTGCACTGTTTGCTGCATACAGGCGAATGACTGTGGTCTCCTCGGCACCGCCAAACCAGACTGTTGAGTTCTCCAGACCTGTGAACAGCGTTCTGTTCTCTCCATTGCTAAAGATTGCCAAGACGGTAAAGGAGAGGATGCAGCCGTTGGGTTTGTTAGGCTGCATCCACTCGATCAGAAGGTTATCGTTTTGCGGTGTGACAGTCGGTGGAAGCAGACCCTCCGGTGCTGCAATATAAGAACACAAGAAACATGACATAACATGACATTGGTGCATAGAAGGTGGCTGCTCCAAACGTAGGAGCTCGCGCTTCCTGCCGACTGCGTAGCACACAGTACACGTACTATAGTGGTTGGAAGATGAGCAGAAGACGTTCGGCCTCAAAAGGCCAGTTCTAACGCTAGAACACTAACAAAGCTTGTGGTGTTGAAAGTATTGATAACTCAGACGGTTACAATGCCCAACCCTTTAACATAATAGCGTATTCACACATTAAAGTCCTGCTTTGTCTGTGCAGACGCCGAGACCACCAAGGTCGGCTGAGCAGCCGGGCCCAGCCACCACTTTCCGCATTTATTCGGGAGCATGGTAAAAAAAGAAAGAAAAAAGTGTGACATGGCACGTGTGAGTTGTAATATCCACAACAAGATGATACAGTGTCAGATCCCGATAAAGGGTTGCTCTTACGTGCTTGCGGCAGCTCGGCCACAGCCCATGCTGAAGACGGGGAGCGAGATGGCAGAAGAGAAGACACTTGAAAGTAGGTAGCAGTGTGCGGAGAGAGTACTGTGAGGCTTGCTTGTAGGCCAGACACGTCAAACAGCCGTTGCCTACACGGAGTAGAGTCATTCAGACTTCCAACGGCGATGAACTGTTGATCTTGGCAACCCGACGGTCCAACAGGCATGAGGTCACATTCCAGAATGGTCAGAGTTAGATTGAAAGTGTCTTGTAGTGCCTGCCTGGGGTTAGTGATGTCCCACTGTATGGTGGCAGATGTTCCATTGTGAACTTCAATCCGTAAGTCATCAGCCAGTAGCGGATTGTCAGAGCAGGACCTAGAGGAGAGCAAGTTATCGAATGTCATCAGCGGCTGCGATCTGGTTCCTGCGCGGACAGTGACCTTGTGACCAGCTACTGTTAGAGTGGCATCAACGCCCGACGATGGACTGCTGGATGCGTTGGATGTTTGATAGAAGTAGTGCTGTCGTTCCAATGAGGTTGTGCCAGTCGTACTCTGCGTGACTTCCAGCAGTGACATGCCTACGTTTGACAGCTCAAAGTTGGCATCCAACGCGAGCGAGAACAGCTGTTGATCCGGGCTGAATGCCGTCTCTACAAACACACCCGCGTCACCGGGCACTGCCAGCAGTTGCCCCTGCACTACCGTGGACTGATTGGTGAAGTCCGCTGCAAAACTCTGGTTCTCGTGAGACAGGTGCACGACAACACGAGTCTGACTGGAGATGGGCATGGCATTAGCACGTGCAAGCTTGACGGAAACAGTGAGCATGCACTGTGATTGCAGGCTGGACACTGGCACAATAGAGATTGGTGGAACCAACGCGTAGATGAAATCAACAAGATACTCGGAAAGGAAGCGTGCATCGTCGATCAGTACGGTACCATCCTCATTGGCATCGAGCTCTTCCACTTGTACAGAAAGAAGAGTGTTGGCTAAGGCTTGGCCTCGAGTAGTTCTGAAATCATTCCCTCTCTCAGCGAGATAGATCAACGTGAAGGTAACATCGTTTGCATCAAAGCTGCAATCGCCATTCGTATCTCCAATCTCCCTAGCAGCAGTGCATGTTGCACATGATATACTGGTGCAGGTAGATGTTGCACTAGCAGTGTTGCGACGATGTCGTTCTGCGATGACAGGCACCGCATTGCCGCTCGGACTGGTGAAGCGACGCCGGCGGTTTGCGCTGACCACTTGGAAGAAATCACCGGCAATAAACGGCCGTGGTGTTGGTGCACCGATGGTGATGGGATTGAGACCACTGTACGTAGAGATGGTATTCACCATGCCACTGACATGAGCCATTCCTGATGCCTTGGCCATGAACTCTATGATGAGAACGTTCAGAGAAGTGCCTCTCGGAGCACCCGAGCTAATGTCGGAGCACGTGGCACGGATCTCACCTGGATCACCGTAGTTGAGTGTGCAGCTGACTCGACTGCTCCAGCTAGTGCCTTCACTTACTTTGCTCACTGACAGCACGGCTGAGTCATAGATAACAAGACAGTCCAGCGTGTTCACTACACTGCTTCCAGAGTTCACACGCACAGCAGCGGTGAACGTCGTGCCAGTCCGTCTAACCGGCAGCGCCACGCCAGAGGCCTGCCCGATGTCTACATCGCCGATGGCGGGGTCCAGGTTGACGGTGAACGGGAGAGTATGGCTCGCCGTGGTGCAATTGCTGCCGCACTGGGGCGTTGGCATGGCGATGGCTGTGACTAGCGCTGCGTTGAGAGGAGAATTGATGCTTGGTGTGATGATGCCGGTGCTCATACCTGTCGTATTGAAATAGCTGTTACTACTAAACCTGAGCAGGTTAGGCAGGGCTGGACTGGATGCAGAGAGATAGTTCGGGTGCTGTGTGCTGTCTGAGAATGTTACAGCAACGGTGAGTTGGTGCTGGGTAACAAGCTGCACGCCTCGCAGTGTGTTCCTCGGCAGAGAGTGAATTCTCAAGGAAACCACCTCAACTGGTGTGGCTGAAACCTCAATCAACAAGAAGTTGGCAACATCTCCATCAAAGCTGGCTCCTATTGTGATGTTACCATTGGCTTGTAGTGACGGAGAGACACTTAATCGGAATTCATTACTTGATGTGCGCCTCAGTTGTGCCGAGAGCGAAGAGTCGGTGCTGTTTTCGACGTATACATCCGTGCGGCTGTGCGCACTAACATCGACGATTTGTTTGTCTGTTGTCACCAGCTGCATTCTCATGGTGGCCTGTTGGTAGATGCCTGTGTTTGCGAGAGGGCTCAAGACCGACACGTGATGTGAGCCGGATCCTGTGTATGATGGATACGGGTGTGACGCCAGCTGTACCACGTCGGTCAGTACAAGCTGGAGCGTGACAACAGCCGTCAAGTTAGTGTGTACAAAGGAGACTACCAGATCAGTGGTGCCGGTTCTAATTGTATCCGATGTTACCGACCCATTACCAGAGACTTCCACACTGCCATCGGCATTCCTGGTCAGAATGAACAGCGAGTTGCTAAGCGTGTAGACTGTGCGTGTGTCAGATGTCATAGGAATATTAGCTAGACCTGATGGCGTGCTGAAAACTAGGTTAGAGGTGATCTGTGCTCTGCTTTGCACACCAGTCTGCCTTAGTGCATCACCAGCCAGTGTTAGTCGTGTTGTACTGGCAATTAGCTCAGCTTGCACAGGCGCGGGAGTCACAATATTTAGCATGGCCGTACCGTTAGCAAGAACCCTGGCATCACACTGACCTGACGAGAGTGTTGCCAAGAGTAGGTCTCCACTACCTGAGCCACGAGTAGATATGGTGTGGCCTGCAACAGTCAGCACGGCTGTATTCAACGATGATAGTACCACACCATCGGCCTGAGTCACAATCTGTGCCTGACCGTCGCTGAAATGTGCAGCAACAATAAGGCTGGCCATCTTGCCCTCCAGGTTGAGGTCTTGAATCAGTCGGGTAGTGATGAACGGAGCAGCTGCTGGTACCCACATACTTCTAGATGTCGGTGTGTTCAGTGTAAGATCCAGCCTGCTGACAACAGATATACTGAGTCCCACAACAGACACTGGTGCAGAGGAGGTTACTAGCAACGGCAAGCTGGCAAGGGGTGGCCGACTGGGGACTGGGTTAGGCAAAGTCGCAGCAACAGATCCAGGCATGATGCCAGTTGCAATGGAGCCATTCAAAGAAACTACAGTTGGCTTGTCAACACGCAGATAGGACTTGGCTGTGTCAGTGATGTCAACACCAGGGATGGATACTTGGCCATTGCTGAAAGTGCATGAAACACGCAATGCAGTTTGTTGATAGCGAGCATTGCAGCCATCAGCAGCATTCCGCCATGATGATACCAAGGACAGCTCATCGTCATCTGTGGACAACTGGAAAGATGTTGGATGCCATACAATAATAGACACGCTAGTTGTCACACTTCCAACGCTAACACCGATGCGGGCATTATGCGACCCGGCTGTCTCCATGCCGTTAAGAATGACATGCGCACATGAAGCATCAACAGATGCAACACTGGTAGAGTTACTGGTACATGATGCTTGACCTGTGGTGCCAGTAGTTCTGCCTGATACGTATCCAGCCACTACAGTCATAGTACTGAGAACTGGCTGACCAGTCACTACAGCTGTGTTGACCAGTTCACTGGAGTCCACATCACCAAATACGGCTACAACAGCATCAGCATCGACAGACACAAGACCAGCCGTGCTGCGACCAAACTGTCCAAATGTGATGGCAGCAAACGGAGATGAAGCACCGCTGGGCTGTACTTGTCCTAGCTCTGTGACAAGACTGCTTACACTGCACTGTACAGAGGTGTTACTGCCCAGGCTTGCTGACTGCGTTACCGTCAGCTGCAGTGAGAACAAATGTGTTCTGCCGGCGGTGAAGGCTGGACGAGAGGTTGCCGTCGCGGGTATGAATGCCGGGATTGACAGAGATGCCCCGAATTGTGACGTTTGATAGTCCCAAGCCTGGTCAATGATGATGCTGGAAGATATCTGCAAACCTGGTCCACTCGTACACTTGATGTTGAAACCCTCCACTCGGTCGGCAGTCTGACTGCTCACCCTGACTTCAAACGCATCGCCACGGTAAACTGGTTCCCAAGGCAACTCAACGAACACATTGTTATCTGTTACTGAGTATGATGGAAGAGGTTGGAGTTGAACAGTTCCAAGACTTTGTGTGAGCTGCTGTGGCGAAAGGCCAAAAGAAATGCTAGCAGGAGCTGGTGATGTTCCAGCTGTTGGGAAATCCGATTTCTGCAATGTTATTGTGACAGTGCATACACCTGGCAGGGCCACAGACATACAGCTTGATGTCTTAGCTGTCAGTGACGATCCCTGTATCCTGACGTACACTGGGCTGCGGATCAATGTCTTGAAGTATGCCGTCTTCACCTGGGCAGCAATGGTGATAGCCCCGCGGCACGTTGAGCCAGTTGGTGTGCAAAAGACCTGAGTCGAAGCGCTCAGCAGAGTTGCTTGCACGGTCGCTGGAGGATCACTCGCATAGCTAAACGTCCGGGATGCAGACAGACTTCCGAATGTGGTCCTGACTTCACCGCTTGGTCCCGTGATCAGGCCTAAATAGCTGGTGTAGCTCATTGCACTAGTGTTAGAGACAACACCCTGTACAACACTTAGACCACCGGTGGCACTGAGTCTGGGAGTGAGAGCTAGTGCAGCTACGTGGATTACTATCATTGCTGTACTGGATAGAGCAGGGCGACCTTGATCACTCGCCACAATCTGCACACTGAACTGGTCTACGTTCAGATCGTGCAGAGATGCCGACACTGTCAGTTCACCCGAGGTAGCATTGACCGATACGGGTATCTGCTGAGATGGCAGTGATGAAACGCCCAGTGAGAAGACGACCGTGCCGTTACTTCCCAGGTCCGGATCGGAGGCCATGAAGTGTGCCACTGGTTCACCCACCACGGCGGTATCGTCCAGTCTGGCAACCAATGGTGCTTGATGGAATTTGGGAGCGTTGTCGTTGATATCCAACACAGTTACCTTCATCACGCCATCACTACTCAACGACGGCATACCACTGTCAGCGGCAGATATATTTGCAGTGAAGAATGGAGTTGTCTCGCGATCAATTGACACGAGATTCTCCACCACCCCTGTAGAGGCATTGATGCGGAATGTTGTGATCAAGTCAAGCAGTGTGAACGATACCAAAGAGTTTTGCGGCAATACATCGCGATCCGTTGCAGATACAGTGTGTAGTACAGAATGCAACGGCGTGTTTTCAACAATGGAGAAGTTCAGTGTGTTGCTATCAAACACTGGCATGTTATCGTTCTCGTCCAGCACACGGATATTCACAGACACAGACGTGCTGAGATTGGACTGTGTGGACAAGTCATACGCTGCTGCAAGCACCGTGAGGGAATACGCTAACACCTGCTCCGCATCTATGTTATCCTGGAAAACGGTGATGTTTCCCGTGAGCGGCTCAATGCTGAAGGAGCCACGTTCGTTGCCGCCGATGATGCTGTACGTAACCGTTGCGTTATCACCCACTGCCAGCACAGAGCCGACTGGTGTAGATACTGCACTGTTCTCCGGGATATCCACCATGTACTCTGATTGATCAAATGTGGGAGCATCCACTGCATTCACCGTGATGTTGACCGTGATGTCATCGGTTAGCGAGGGGTTTCCCCCATCACTCACTAGTAACTGCAGTGTGTAATACTGACCACTAGAGTTAAGCAGAACACTGTCTGTGCTGAGTATGCCAGACTGAGAGATAGTAAAGAAGTGTGGCGGTGCACTGGTAGCTAGAATGCTGTACGCCAGCTGACCTTGCAGACCGAAGTCCTGGTCAGTGGCAAGGAAGTCTCCAAGAACAGTTTGTGGCCATGTATTGGCCTTGATCGATAACACTGGACTTAAATCGGATACATTGAATACTGGTGGCTCGTTGATATCAGTGACTTGCAGGAGAAATGAACGGCTGTTGTTGGCCGCCCCGAACCGGTCCAAGCCAGGCCTGGTTACATGCACTGTGATGTTGTAGACTGGTGTTGTCTCATAGTCCAGTGCACCAGTCACTGTCAGTTCTCCGGTGGTCGCAGAGATCTGCACAGGCAGTGGTTGCAAGGAGCTGACGTAGTAGACCTTGGAGAAGTTGCTCCGAGTGTTGGCTGCGAATGTAGCAATAATCAAGCTGAGTGGACTGTTTTCAGGAACGGACAGAGACTCGTTGAACATTTCGAATATTGGCGGGCTGAGCACATCAGGAACATCTGGTACACTCACAACAATCACAGTCGTAGTTGCAAGTGAGTGGCCTGAAGATGGTGTGTCAAATGCTGTGATGTTGACAATGTACACATCTTTCTCTAGCAGTAGATCAGTGGTGTATACCTGGCCATCGGAGTCAATTCTGAATGCGTTGCTGCCCGAGAGGCTGAAGTTGAAGCGAGCATTCAGTGAAAGGTCTAGATCGATGGCACTGACGTTGAACACAGGATCGCCGGGTGGGGTGTGTGCGCTGAGCGTGACGTTTGCTGGTGTACCGACGGTCAATTGCGGTGCGTTGTCGTTCACATCCAGCACTGTAACTAGTACATTGGCATCAGCTGTCAGCAGCACACCATCAATGACAGTAGATACAGAGACAGTGAAGTTGAATGCTGCGATGGCTTCCCTGTCGAAAGGTCGAATTGTCGTCAGAATACCCGCCGAAGCAGCGCTGCTGTTCACAACAAAGTGTGACTGAATAGCTGCATCATTCGGCAGAGTGAAGTGCAGTTGATACGGAGAGGATGGTGGAAGGGTGCTGTTAACTGAGACATTGAAAACAATGGCAGGAAGAACAGTATTCTCCAGTACAGTCTGTACAACAAGAGCAGGTGAGATGACCAGTACTCTTGTAGCTTGTACACGACACAGAGCTGTAGTAAGGGTGTTGTTCAGCCGAGCTTCGGGATTGAAACCGTTCGACGCAATGAAAGATACACGGACGGAAGGAGCTGCCATGATGTTGAGAGAAACGGGTGTGTTGAAAAGGAACGGTGGAGATGGATTGCCTCGGGTGACCAACTGCCGATCTACACTGCTACCGCCGAGAGCATCAAACGTTACTTGAAGCAGACTCACTCCAATAGTCTGAGAGGTGAAGTTCACCGGGGAGCTAAAGCGGAATGTCCCATCACCTACAAACACTGCAGGAAGTACAGCCAGAGATGAGCCTGACACTTGTGAAACGTTCAGTGCATACGATGCAAGCTGCACACCCAGACCTATTTCGTTACTGGCCAACAAGAACGCAACCGTTGTCTGCCTGCCGTCAACAGGCACATCACCTTTGTTCAGTAAACGCACCTGCAGTGTCAACGAGCAGTTAGAGCCGAGTCCTTGCACGGGTAGGATGTGGAGTTCTCTCATGAAGCGAAGTAAACCAAAGTTGACTAACAGCAGATACCGAGCATCACTCACATCAATGACACCATTTCCATCGGCATCCAGTTCAACAAGCCGATCCGACACGGTATCCAAGCCAGTCTTGATCGTGGCACCATTGCTGTCCATGAAGTTCTGGGCTTTGCTAGCCAGGTACTGTTGAACAAACGTTACATCGCTGACGTCAAACAAGCAGTCACCATTAGTGTCACCAAGTTGACGTTCTCCACCAGTGCATTGAGATGCAGGACATGGTGGAACAGAACACGCTGTAGTCGCCTGGCGTTTTGACCTGCGATGGCCAACAATGCCGGTTGTTTGCGGGAGCAGGTCTTCTTCAACTGACCGTCTTCCCACAGACGACGACATCACGGCAAGAACAAGGCCATCGGCGGCAGCACTTTGTCGCGGTGTTGCTGCACCAATATCCCTGGCTGGGACATCCTGTGATTTGAGTGTCACAACTTCCAGAGCAAGGAAACTAGTGCCACTGGCAATGGCCGTCAAAGTCACAGTAGCGAGATGCAGTCTGCTTCCAACAACAGCAACAGACACTATTGAGCCTCCAAATCTAACTTCACTAACAGGGTCATTAGCCACACCATCGAACAGCGCTGCACTCGGCCAGTCATTTCCACGTGTTATGTCCGATCTTTGGGCTACTCTCACCAGGGTGGAGTTGAAGGAAAGGCGAAAATCCCATGATCCAAGCCGCAGGTTGGCTGTGTTGACATAGATAGGGATAGAGTAGGTATGGCCCACAGTGACAAGTGAGAGTGCCAAACCATTCCGCTGTCCCATGTCGACATCACCAGAATCAGGATCAAGATTGCATGGGACGTCAATGGTGTTGCTAATCGCAGAGCTGGTGTCCTGTGCTGTTATTCTGACAGGTGATAGCAGTGAGTTGCCAAGCAAGACTACCGCACCAGTGTCGGTATCAATGGAAGCTACACTTGGATGGGACAGTGAGAGGTTCAGCAGGCCTGGCAGTGGGCGGATGGATGTTGAAAAGACAGGATACTGTGTCGTGTCATTGAAGATGACCTGTACAATCACCTGTGTTCTTGCTAGGGTCCTGAGCCCGGTTAGTTGACTGGGATTGCTAGTCAATGAGAGACTCTGCACTACTACAGGTGTTCGTGACACGGTCAACACCAGAGGCATGGCAGATGTCAGCTGTAACAGCGTAGCATTGATTGTCACTGTACCAGCGGGCACTGTGTGATCCGTCACCAGGACACGGCGTGATGACCCACTGCCCGTAATGGTGACATTGGAGTCTGGTAGCCCGACTGTGTGCTTGGAGTACTGAACAATGTCAGACACAGAATGGGTGCTACCGTCGCTCAGGTGTAGTACAGATGCAAGCAAAGCTTCTTGGAACACACCCGTACTTGCAATGGGGTGAACACTGTGCCTGATGAGGGACGATGATCCGGAGTATGTGGGGAACGGGGAAGCAGTTGTTGTTATTGCCGTTGCCTGGACTACTGTGAAGGTTACGGTCCTTGCATACGATGCTGGCAGATGCGAAAACGCAATGGTCAGTGTAACTGGACCCGAAGCCAATTGAGTCGGCTGCACTACAAATCGTCCACTTTGCACGCTGCCACTGACCAAGGTACTACCTGATGTAAAGTTAAACAACGTCCGAGAGTCAGCGACCATGTCCTGTCTCACACCGCTTGCAAACACCAATGCTACTTGCAGTGACATTGCTGTGGGTATGTTGCGCCGAGTGGATGGATCACCAGAGAAGGTGATGCGACTGACCTGGCCAAGGATACTGACTGATGTAGGCAGTGGCAGAGTGACATTGATAAATGCTCGGGCTGACAATAGGACATTGTCAGCGGAACAGTTTGAGATCAGGGCAACGTCCAGCAACTCACCAGCTCCACTGCTCTGCTGAACAACAATCGTGTCTTTGGATGAGCCAGGTACTACAACGAGTGTGTCCAGAGAACTCACTCTCAGATCCTCTGCTGCCAGAATTTGCCGTGTGTCATCACTGAACACTGCTGCGGCATGAATAAAGCCAAGCTGTCCTTCAAAATTAAACATGTGTGACCAGTCAAATGCCAGGTAGCCAGCAGACAAGGGCGCATTGACAACACTGGCGGAAGACGAAAGAGCCGTCAACACAGCCACGTCGATACCAGATATTGTGATGCTACTATCTAACACGCTGCACATCACTGAGGCAATGGTGTGTCCGCTGGCAGTGCTTAGTTGCAGAGCTGTTTGGCCTGGCGCTACACCTTCCAGGATACCAGTTGTACTGTTCAGTACCATCACTGATGTGTTAGTGATACTCAAACGGGAAAGGACCCGCTCCAGGACGTTGACAGTAATCGGACTGTCAATGACGTTGGTGAAGTTTGCAAGCACTTGCTGTACGGTAGCAGTTTGGTAGCGAGCACGACATGAGGGCAGCTGCTGCCAGCCATCGATCTTGCTCAGGGTGGTTGTAGAGAGAGTGATCTGGAGTGGGAACTGCGGCTGCCAGAGATGAACAAGAAATGAGCTGCGTGCAGTACCGGCAGTGACATTAATCAGTGCTTGGTGCTCAGACATGCTGTGTTGATCTGAAACAATCACAGACCTGCAATCACTGGCTACAGTCAAGGAGAGTGACGATGACTGGCACGTGATGGATGATGTCAGCACGCGGACTGCAGCGGAACGGAACACGCCCCGTGCCACAACACTGTATGTTTGGTTGATACCTGTGAAGGCGGCCATGTTGAATACTGGATTGCCGTCAAGATAAGCAAACACTGCAACTAGATCATTTTGTGCAATGTACACTCTTCCCACAGGGCTTGCCGGTGATAATCGATCTGCAAACCAAACGAATGTTGGAACAGCTCGGCCACCTGGCTGCAAGCCATCGTTGTTGATGTTCGTCAGAGTCTGAACAGTTGCAGTGAGGTTTGCAAACATGTTCTCCGCGGCGCTCGCTCGCACTCTCAGCTGCACTTGGAAGAGGCGTGTTGCTCCCGGTGGTGATGACACAGGCGATGGTAGCATACCCGGCTGCAGAACAGCATTCACACTGACACTGTCAGCAGAGGTGCTGATTACGGACTGTGCAGACCACACACTATCCGTGGACACTGAGTGTAGCACTTCTAGTGCGCTTCCCACCGACAGAGTGATGTCAAAGCCACTAATGGCAAAGGAGTCGTGTGCGAATGCCGACACCGTCAGCGTGTCACCTCGGAGATGATCGTACGTGGGGAGCTGGATCAGGACATCATTGCTCAGCGTGACACTCTGCTGTGGATGAATGATGATTGTTTCCGCAACTACTGCTGATACACCGCCGGTGTCGAGGCGAGCAGACAAGCTGGGCGAGCGTCTGGCTGTGAACCAGTCAGCAGTAAGCACTAGGTTAGCAATGCACTGGCCAGAAACCAGCTGACAGCTGCCACTCTGCTCCATTGCTGTGCCCTGGGCAATGGTGACAGTACCGGTTGCACTACTGATCCGTGAGTCACCAAACATGTCCATAGCGTGCAGTGACACGCGGACACGCGGCGAATCAAAGTAAACATCGTCCGTTAAGAGCGTTGCAGTGAGACTGGTTGCTGTTAGGGGCGGCGTTGCTTGTCGCAGTGTGAGCGACGGCACTGAGCTGCCACGGATGGCCACAGTTACCTGTGTTGTATCGGAATAGCTAATGTAGGAGAGGTTGAAACGGGATGTGGAATCCTCTGAACTGCTGATAGTGTTTTGAACCAGCAAGCCACTAGTGGAGTAGGCCATGTCCTGGTGACGGAGACCAGCCAGATTGGCTGGCAATATGGTCACTTGTACAGTGGTGTTTGCACTGAGTGGAGGAATGGCGTTGTCCACTGCAAGCACACTGAATGTATGCTGTCCTACATGACTACTATTGTACCCACCACGGGCAGTAAGCACACCACTGCTTGCATTCATCACAAACAGTGACAACGTCACTGGAGATATACTAAACGCGATGGCAGGGCTGTCACGATCTGTGGCAGTGACTTGCAGCACAGCATAGCCAGGCTGAACAGAGGCTGACACAAGTGCAGTGTACAGTGCCTGGCCAAACCTTGGACCATGGTCGTTGACATTAACCACACGAATAACAACAATGGCAGTGGCCGAAGCAAAACGGTTAGAGTTTGGATTGAACGCTGCAATTTGAAGTGTAAAATTGGGCGTTGTCTCCGTGTCGAGCAGAGCATTTGTAACAATAGCACCATTACTGGGATTTATGGCGAAGTGTGCCTGACCAGACCCGCCAGTAATATTGTACTGCACACTACCCGCTGCACTACCTGTGTCCAGGTCAGTTGCTGTAACACGTGTGACAAGTGTACCCTGTGTTGCATTCTCCAATACGCTGACATTGTACAGCGGTGCTGTGAACATCGGGGCATGATTGTCACCATCCGTAATCACGACGGATACATTGACGGACGAGCTAAGAGCCGGGCTTCCAAGATCGGTGACAGTCAACAGTAGAGAGCATTGTGTGAAGTTGAGGACATCCAGTAGCTGTGCTGTGTCGATGTTCACAACCGTGTTATTGATGCTGGTGCTGGTGCTGGCCACACGGAATGACTGTGAGCATGCTGGCTGTGATGCAAGACTGACTACAACAGCAGCATTGGTACCTGCGTCACCATCCTGGACTGTCAGCTGAGCTACCACACTACCCACGGATACACTGTCCAAGACAGTTGCATTGTACTCACTGTCCGTGAACACTGGGGTCTCATCATTCACATCTGAAACGTTGATGCGAACTGCTTGGTCCGTGCTCAGCGCTACGCTACTGAGGGAATTCTGAGCATGCACAGTTAGCATGTATGACGGCACCAGTTCACGATCTAATGGTGCGCTCACACGAATGACACCAGAGGAAGAGTTGATCGTAAAAACACTGGACAGTGGTGATATGCTGTACGTGATGTCTGATGAGCGACCGGCGAAGTTGACAAAGACGGCCTGAACTGTACCAATGTCAGATCCCAGACTTGCATTCTCAGAGACTGTGTAACTGGTTGGTGAGGTGAAGACAGGTCGCTGATCAACAAGACGGTTGCTCACTGACACCTGCACAGATGTGTATGCCTCGTATACTAATGTGCTGTAAGTAGCCGTGGCACGGACTAGAAAGGTGTATAGTGGCTGACTAATGCCAATAATCGAGCGGTTGAGAGACACCAGACCAGTAACAGCATTGACACTGAATGGTACAGTGGCGTCTCTCAGATCATACTGAAGCTGGCCACTACTTGCTGAAGCAGCAATGCTCGCATTCACAACACTGAATACAGTGCCCGCAACAAGTGACTCGTTAATACTTGCACTGTATAGCACAGATGAGAACTGTGGTGCCAGTGGAGATTGCGAGACAATATTGATCATGATGTTAACAGAGGTGACCCGGCCAGGATCACCGGCGTCAGATGCAGCCACCAATAGAGAGAACACCGCTCCTGGACGATCAAGTCGCTTGGCCAGTTCCAAAACACCAGTTTGGTTTGTGATCTGAAACGTGTCATTGGTGTTGCCACTGACTAGTGAGAAGGTCACCAGGGCATTGGTACCAATGTCTGCATCCGAGACGGACAACTGGATTATGGGTGAACCGACTGGTGAGCTGAGGGACACATTCAGTGTGTTAGTGAACTGAGCGAAGACAGGCGAGTTATCATTGACATCGGTGATAGTGATGGTGATGGTAGCATTGGCGGACGATGCACCGTTACCTTGGTCCATGACAGTAGCCGTCAAGGTGAACGTCACCATGCTCTCTCGATCGAGTGAGTCAGCTAGGTAGATTACCCCCGTCAGAGTATCAATGGTGAATGTAGCATTGTCATTGCCTGCTGTGATTGCGTATGTCAGATTGCCGTGAGTGCCAGCGTCACTGTCATTGCCCTGCAGCTGCAGTACACTGGCACCAACGGTGGTATTCTCCTGCACTGATGCGGTGTAGTGAGCCTGCGAGAACACAGGCCGTGCTTCGTTTGCTGGGCTGACGTTCACAATGACCGTGACGTCGCGTGACAGTGCTGCCACGCCAGCTGATTCGCTAGCTCTGACCGTGAGGTTGTACTGTTGTGTGATCTCATAGTCCAGTGGCCTTGCATTGGTCAGCAGACCAGTGGTGTTGTCAAGTTGAAACTCACCAGCCGAGTTCCCGGCAATGATCTCATACGTAATTGAAACACTCGACCCATCGGGATCAGATGCCATGAGTGAGACATTGAGGCCACCGATGGTCACACTCTCTGACACAGACACAACATATGATGGCTGCGAGAACACCGGGTGATGCTCATTGACGTCACGAATGACGACAAGGAGATCCCGAGTTTCGGAAACCAGTGACATCGGCGAGTATGGTATGGGATTTGTGGCACGGACAGTCAAGTTGAATGCTGTTTGGCTCTCAAAGTCCAAACCTTTGCTCAGCGTCAGGATTCCAGAACGCGAGGAGAGCAAGAAGGTTGAGTTATCATTGCCAGAAACAAGCTGATAGACCACCAAGGATGCATTGCTAGACTGATCAGCATCGGTGGCATTGAAGGCATACACCTGTTGTCCAGGCGTAGTGTTCTCAGTCAGGAAGACTGTCTCAGTGCTAGCAATGGGTGTATTGAACACGGGCACATTGTCATTGAGATCTTCCACGGCAATGGTGATGGATGCGTTCACGCTATACGCAGGCAAGCCGCCATCGGCAACACTGAACTGTACACGGATACTAGAAACTTGCTCTCTGTCCAGTGGCTGTAATGTGTACACCACCCCAGTACTGTTCACTGACACCCATCCTGCTGGTGTGGAGGATATCACGGTGAATGTGATCCGGGCATTTGATCCAATATCACCATCAGTAGCATTAATATCCAGTACTATATAGCCAGCAGGGATGTTCTCAACCAGGTCAATACGGGCAGGTAGGTTGTGTAACACTGGAATGTTGTCATTAGCATCGGTGATGACGACCGTGACTGTTGCAGTGGCTGAGAGGGGATTGTTGATACTGCTATCAATCACACTAACCGTGAACTGATAGCGAGATGACATCTCTCTATCCAGCGTGCCATTCACAGTGATCAGGCCAGACGATGCTGATATCACAAACGGGACAGTCCGGTTCGAGATGATGGAATAGCTCAACTGAGCATTGGTGCCACTGTCGCTGTCTACAGCTTGAGCAAGCAAGACAGACTGCCCTACTGCACTGCCCTCTACCACACTGACAGTGTACAAACTGGAATTGAATTCCGGGCGAGTGTTGACGGAGCAGTCAGATGATTTCAGCGTGTTGTTGACGGCGGTGAACGGATTGAATCCCACGTTGGTGGAGAATGAGATGCGCTGGCTGAACACGGTAACATCCACACCGAACGGCTGACTGTGTGCCAGGGGAGGCGTACTGCTGCCCAGGAAAGCAAATGACCTTACAGCACCAGTGCGGTTGTTACTATCATGGGTGACTTGCAGGAAGCTGATGCCAATGTTGCTGACATTCACTTCAAACTGGCCTTCCATGCCAAACGTACCATCGGAGAACTTCTGCATCTGTACCACACCGCCTTCCACTGCTATCGACTTTGAAGAGGACAGGAGAGTTCCCTTGAGAAACACCGATCTATCAAACTGTTGCTGCTGGCTATAGGTGGGATCGAATGGCAAACTGATGTCCACAAACACATCGGTATTGTCAGGTAGGCTGCCATTAGCAGTTTGAAAGGTTGCGTTGACGATAAGCAGACATGGCGAATTCACATCTTGAACTGGAACGGTGACTGATGACACCAGGAAGTTCAGTAGGCGCAGATTCACACGCTGTATAAAGTACAGGTCACCCGTGTTCACTGCCTGGTTGCCGTCAGCATCCAGGGCGCTGCGTTGATAGTTTGTTAGGTTACTAACCAGTGCTCGGCCCGTGGGCAGTGCAAAGTTGAAGAGGCCCTCGACTAGGTAGCGCTGTAGATATGACACATCAGCACCGTCAAACTCACAACTGCCATCGGTGTCCGCTGGCGATCTACTACCTGGGCACGTATCACACGGTGGTGTCGCGCATGCAGTTGCTCGTCTGAGTCGCTCATGTACCGCTGAGTCCAGCATGGATCGTCGACGTCGTCCACTACTCACACTGTTACCAACCAGGAATGACACCTTGCCAGCTTTGGAGAATGAGAAAGGCCGTGTCAGCTCCACAGGAGAATCGCCTGTGCTTACAAGGCGATCAATTCGAACATTCACATCCACTTGCCCAGCGGCTAGAGTTTGAACAACAACATTCACAACATGAACCAAACCAGAAGCTCTTGACGATGGATTGCTAGCAGTGATGCAAGTCTGACTGCCGCGTGGGCTGAGGTTCACGGTAGCACCTGACCAGGCCGTGGCTGCTGTGACTGTATTGAATTTGATCAGTAGGGGATCGAATATGAGACAGACTGACATATCGCCCAGGCTATACGTGCCGGTGTTGACGTACATGGGCAGGACAAACAGCTCGTTCACAGCACGCCTGTCCACTGGCAAGCCGGTACTATTGCCAATGTCAATATCTCCAGCCTCGGCATGGAGGTTACATGCAAACAGCAGCATTGCGGTAACGCCTGAACTGCCAACAGCACTTGCTGTCAATCTGACCAAGGAATGATGGTTGGCTAGAAGAGATACAAGACCGGTTCTGGTGTCCACAGAGGCGGCACTTGGCGTGTCCAATGAGAATGATATGCTGCCAGGCAATACAGGCACTGAGCCACTGAACAAACTAGCATACTGTGTACCATCCGAGAAGACAGCTGATAGCTGACTCTGTCCGGTAGCAAGCTGTGCGCCAGACAATGTGAAGCCAGAAGATAGTGTCATATTCTGAAGTTGAACGATACGAACAGTTGACTGATTGAGGTGCATGCGCACTGTAGCCATGTGCTTTGCTACAAAGCTTGCTGTCAGAATTACAGTGCCTTCCGCAGCGGCTGGCACTGGGCGCACGATGTTGGTGGAGATGGAGATTTCAGATGGACGGTCGGACGATATGAGCGTTAGATGCGTGGAAATGTCAGCGGTGGAGTTGTCCAGGAAGTGAGCGGTGACGTGCAGTTCAGCCTGTTGGTACGATGACGGGCTTGTACTTCCGATCCTGTGCAAGCTGTTTATACGCTTGTTGCTAGACGTGTGGTATGTAGGATAGGGTGATGCGAATACTGACACATGACTCAATCCGGTCACGGTCAGTGGTAAACTGGCCGTAAGATTCAGATGGTGGAAACGCACGAGCAGTACAGTGGTACCAAACAGACCTGCGGTGTTTGGTAGAACGCTGGCAGAACCACCGCTCACTACCACAGTGAACAGGCCAGCTGCCAATGAGGTGTCATAGACAGTGCGGCTATCGGCGGTCAGGTCCACTCTACGTCCATTCTGGTAGGACACCGTCACAGTCAGGCTGCTTGTCGTTGGCAGAATGTGAGATGCCGAGTCTGTCGGTACGGTCAACGTGGTGTGCTGGCTGACAAGGCTGACCTGTATGGCGCGTGGCAAGCGCACGGCAACGCTACTGCGGCCAGAGGCAATCAGGTCAGACGAGCACTGTGGAGAGGTCGAGGACCATCTAGCTTCAATAAGCTCTCCACTGCCGTTCAATACGGCCGACACAACATTGTCTCCGATCACCTGCACTACAGCGGTGTCCAGTGATCGCACAGACAGGCCATCCCTGGCTGACAGCTCGTACAGTGAATTATCAGAGAGAACGGCTACAACCGATGCTGTTCCGTTGACTCCTTCAAACGTGAACTCTTGTCGTACAAATGCACTGGCTCTCTGGCTGGATATACTAGTGTACGGTGATGGAGGCAGTGACAGTGATACACCAGTTGCAACAACAACACTGAGAGAGGTTACTGAGACGTTCAGGTTATCATCGACGATGACCGAGTGGCTTGCAATCTCCATGTCGTCACTGTACGCACTGACTGTACACGTGCCAGGGTTCACGGCAAGTACTTTACCATCGGTAGCTGATACAGTTGCAATGGATGTGTTGGATGACTGGAAAGACGCAGCCACCAGTGACAATACAGACACGGCCTGGACGGACACACCGTCGTAGGTGAACTGAGCGCTGGCTTGCATCTGACCTGACTGGTACCGCTGCACACAAGCACCGGCCTCGCTCTCGAGCCAGCCGTTGATCTTGCCAAGCCGCGCAGGGCTCATTGAAAGCTGCACGGGCTGCGACTGACTCACTACGCTCCATACCCTGAAGCCGAGCGTTGCATTCAGACCACCGAATGTCACAGAGATACGGGTATCAGCACTTGGCGTAGCATTCACACTGAGCTGCACTGCGGAGCAGCCCAGCAACAAATCAAGTGAAGTACTAAGTGAAGAGCACTGTGCATTGGCCACTCGTTCCTGGGAGTTATCTGAGTAAACAGCGAGCAAGTCAATGGATGCAATGGTGGATCTTCCACCCACAGGGCCCAGGTCGACAAGCTCAGATTGATTACTTGTAGCAATGAGACCTCGGAGTACGCGTGTACCAATACGCAATCGCTGATTCTCTCCGCCGCTGATGGTGGCACTGACTGGTGACTGTAGACCACGCGGCTGGAGTTCTTGACTTCGGATGTTGTTCACTCCATACACCGTGCAGTCAATGGTTGTGGAGCTTGCCATGGCCTGTGTGGCGTTGCTGAGTCGTAGCTGTAGTGTCAACAGTGTGTCACGCTGTACCACGCTACCTGAAGCTAGCTCCGGATCTCGCAGCACTGCCACGATGGCCAGGCTAGTGGAGAGATTCTGACGACTGTCAGTGGTCCAGAGCGACGTGTCAACGGATGCTGACACGATCTCCACACCAGCCGAGGCGTCACAGCGCAAACTGTAGGTAGCCACGGCGTAGACAGCATGTGCGTAGACTGGCACGGCAACTGTTTGTCCGGCAATGACGGGAAAGTCCGGCAGCACGGCCACCACATCGTTTCTAACCTGCACTGGCTGTGTGGCATGCAGGGCTACCCGACCAAGGGATGTAGTCGTGAACACCGTCTCAAGACGATAGTCCACAGTAGCATGCTGAATAGCTGATGGCAGTCGACCTCCGTCAAACCAATCTGCGGGCAGTGTTAGAACACCCTCGCAACGACCAGCATCGTCCGTAGTGCATATCAACTACACACAGAGAGTTTGGCAGAACACAGCACATGTAGAAAAAAAAGCAATCAGAAGAGAAAAGCGGAAAAATTGTTTTAAAAGGCACTTATGGGGTCTTCTTCTCAGCAAAAATACTATTGTAAAACGGATTCAGCAGGCAGCTTCAAAATGTTTAGTTCTTTAGTGTATAATTTAAAATGGCTATCATGGCTGCTCTGAGAACACATGAATAGTGACGAACAAAGCCATGGTGATTCGTTCTGGACACAATGAAATCATTCACTGGTGTTCATAAATATCTGATGTACTCTGCGAGCACTGACCTGCTGATCGATAGCTAGGACAAAGCCCAAGCTAGCATCTGGTATGACACGGAACACTATCCTTGCCGGTGCAGTGTGAATACCATGGGTGGTATCATATGCCTGCAGTCACATGTCAACAAACAGAGGAGATATCACAAGACACCCGAACAACATAAACATCTACATTGCAGAACTAGTCGCCATGCTATAATATATTTCAAGAGCATTACCATCACATGCTTGCCAAATCGCATTGCATCTTATTCATTCTACACTCAACAGCCACATCCATAATCGAATCTACTGGCTTGAAGAAAGAACTCTTGGGTGCTCGGCCAAAGCTAGCATTGTTCCACAGGACCCACAGTGTATGGAAGACGAGAGTAGACTGTGCGAGGGGACAGTGGGGTTTACCTGTGCAATCACATGCATCTGTCTTGCATCGGAGTAGAACTCGCTCTCCACTAGGACGGCTCTTGCTGACACCGCCGCATGACGCTGAACGCTGAATGTCTGATTCACCTCAAATTGACCAAGTGAGGCCTTCACTGTACCCTGACGGCCAACACCGGCCGCACCGGCAAAGAAGCCAAAGTCGTGTGTAGATCCCGGCACGGATGTGGGCAAGCTGTATCCCAAACCGCTGACACTGAAGTCAAAGTATGCTCTCTGACTGGCTGTGATCACTGCAGTGGCAAAACCAGACCTGGGCGGGTTTCCGTGATCAGATGCAGTAAAGGCTAGTTGATACGTTTGGAAGGCAGTCGGTATGGGCTTAACCAGACTCAGAACACCAGAGTACGGTGAGAGTGAGAAAGCATTTCCTGGATTTTCTGATGTGATTGCAAACGTCACGTTAGCATTACTGCCTGCATCGGCATCCGTAGCTGACACGGTGAAAAGAATGGCTGGTACTGTGGAGTTGTCCACGATTGTCGCACTGTACAACGTAGGAGAGAAAACTGGATTGTTATCGTTCTCGTCCAGTACGTCGACAATGATTGTGGCAATGGCTGGCACTACTGTCTCTTGTGGTCCGGCATCTTGAACCTCCACCTAAGTACACACAAAACATATCCAGTGCATGATCATGGTCACATCCACTGCTGCCTACCTTCCTGACTATCAAATATACACACACACGCATGTACTCACACATACACACATACACACACGCATGCATGCATGCACACACACACACACACACACACACATGCACACACACACACACACACACACACACACACACTAACAAAATTCTCTGCAAACATCGTGGTTGCAAACAGCTTGAAATTGTGGAATACTGCGTGTTACCCGTATATTTTCAGTGTGGATAGAACAACGGGTAGCAGTACCAGTGCACACTAATACGACAAACCCCCGTATCCAATACACAGAGTGGACACTACTCACACACAATCATACATGTAGCTTAACTCACCGTCAATGTGTACTTGGCAAGGGTTTCTCTATCAAGACTGGCGTTAAGACTGACCAATCCGGACGTAGACACTGCAAACTTGCTGCCGACATTTCTACTGGTGATCCTGTAGACAAGCTGGGCATTAATGCCAGAGTCTGCATCGCTAGCATTCAGCTGGGCAATGCTAGCAGCCACAGAATTCTCCGGCACAGATACTTGTAATTGAGACACCGCCAATCGTGGGCTGTTGTCGTTCAAATCAATAATGTCAACAAGAAGTGTAGTGCTGGCCGATAGAGATGGCATTCCTTCATCTTGTGCAGTGACAGTTAGGTTGTACTGATGTGGACGGCCATCATAGTCTAGTGGAGTCAACGTACTCACTTCTCCAGTGCTTTCATTCACAGCGAACTGTCCCAAACCTCCAGTCAGGGAATACACAATCTGTGCATTCCTTCCTACATCTTGGTCAGTGGCTGCAAGAGAGGCAACTGGAGTACCAGCAGGCTCGTTTTCCTCAATCCGAGCTGGAAAGAAACCAGTGCTAAACTGTGGAGCATTGTCGTTCACGTCAAGTACCGATATGACAACATTTAGAGTTGAGAACAGTGGTGGAGTTCCAAGATCCCTCGCCTCAATCACCAGCAGATATTGACTGATGCGTTCTCGGTCCAGCATGGACACCACCTCCAGCCATCCTGTACTGGTGTTGATGCTAAACACAGACCCGTTGTTGCCGGTGAGAATGCTGTAGTGGAGAAGGGCATTAGAACCTTGGTCACCATCACTTGCCAGCAGCTGTGTGACCGGATGTGGCAGCACAGCGACTCCTTCACTCACGTTGGCCTGGATGGTCGAGGCAGGGAATGCAGGCCGCTCGTCATTGAAGTCCAGTATAGTAATCTCTAAGAGAGTGCTGCTGTTCAACGGTGGTATTCCATAGTCCTGTGCACGAATCTCCAAACGATAGAACGAGCGGGTCTCAAAGTCCAACTGTCCAATGACTGAGACCTGGCCTGCTTGATCAATACTAAAGCTATTTCCGATGTTGCCGCCAATGATGGAGTACTGAAGAAGGCCGTTGAGTCCGGAGTCTTGATCGCTTGCAGTAACATTGATAACTGCACTGTGCAGCGCAATGGACTCGGAGATGCTGGCGTTGTACACGGCATGACTGAACTGTGGAGCAACGTCGTTCACGTCAAGTATACTGATGATCAGCCGGGCAGTGGAGCTCAGCACGGGCAGGCGGTTAGCATCTACGGCAGTGACCGTGATATTGTACATGGCTATCTGTTCATAGTCCAATGGTTGGGCAATACTCACAACACCACTCTGAGCATCAATGCTGAACACGCTGGAGTCTATGGAGTACAATATAGCGTTGGAGTCTACATCGCTGGCATTCATTTCAACAACGGTGCTTCTTACTGGTGCAGATTCAGACAGGCTGACTGTTACTTCAGTCGGATCAAAGACGGGTGGGTTGTCGTTGACGTCAATCACTCGAACAAAGACAGTCAGCACTGAACTCATCGAGGGCAGTCCAAGATCGTACGCTTTCACACGCAGTGTGTAGTTAGCGTCCGTCTCGTAGTCCAGTCTTGATCCAATGGAGAGTTGACCTGATGTAATATTCAACTGGAACAGATTAGCACCAAAGCCAGGCTCTAACATGTACTGCACAATGCCATTGATTCCACTATCGGCATCAGTGGCATAAGCCGTCAAGACCACCGATCCAGTGTCCCGCGACTCCGACACGTTGACATTCACAGATGCATCCATGAACGAAGGAGAATTGTCGTTGACGTCCAGTAGCGTGATGTTAGCCATGGCTGTGGCTGTAAACTGACCATCAAACACACTGATCTGCAAGGAGTACTGGCGTGGAGGCATATCATAGTCAAGCAGACCCGAAGTACTCACAAGTCCAGTGCTGCTGTTGATAGCAAACAAGGTGAAATTGTCCACCAGTGAATAAACAAGAACTGAATCAACATCAGCATCGGTTGCCGACACCTGCAGCACATGATGGCCGACTGGAGCATTCTCCATAAGCGGCACTGTCTGCTGTGCTGGGCTCACCACTGGTGCATTGTCATTGACCAGCATGATTGCAATGCTCGCACTCGTGTTCTGACTGAACGCTTTGCCATCGCTGACTGTAATGAGAACTTGACGCTGTGCACTGGCGTCAGGCTCTGGTGCGCTGTTGTTGTATCGCAGACTACGCAGTACATCGGTCATCTCACTCGATGATCTTGCAACAGGATTGCCCAGGCTATCGGCAAAGTAGAAGGCAAACGACGCCGGTGGAATAACCAGTCTTCGCGTTATGCTTGCAGAGCCTTCGATGGTCTCTTGTGACGAATCACGAGCATTTACGATGGTGACTATGATCTCTAAAATGGAGGAGTCTGGGTCAGTGATGTTGGCTGCACTGGCAATGTTGACTGCTGGGCTGTTCTCCGTGAACACTACGAGAGGCAAGATGGAGGGTGACACAACAGGGCGGTCATTAACCGGTGTGACTGCGATCTCCATGACGGTGAGGTCGCTGGAGAGCTGTCCGTCAGATACTGTCAGGAAGAGGCGGCGGGTTGCCGAGGTTGGATTGTCGCCTGGGTTCACATACTCCACACTGTTCAAGGCTTGCTGATACGCCATCAGATTAGCAGTGCCTGATAATGTCAATATGCCACTGGATGAGAAGTATTGGGTGCGTATTCCAGCGGGCACAGTAGCTATGTTCAACCTCTCACCGGCGTCAACTGGTGGAGATGAAAACGCTATTGTCGCTGACACCAGGCTGACCGAGTCGGGATCAAAGACCAGTAGGGAATTCCCCGTCACTGACAGCAGGCCACTGTCCTCCGAGAAGGACACAGCGTAGATCTTCATGCCTGCAATGCGCACCGTTGGTGCATTGTTAGTCGCAGAGAATGTGATGATTGAGGTTGCCACGCTACTATTCAGCTTACCATCACTGCAGGAAACACGCAGTCTCCGGATGGTGCCACTCTGCTCCAGACTTTCAAACGTTTCTCCAGTTTGGAGCGTGTACGAAAACCGAACAGAGCGCAGAGCCATCAGATAGTTTGTCGGCGTATCGGCACCAGTGAAGACGAGCGAATCTCCGTGCTGCTGGACAGAGATTGCCGTTCCGGTAGTGCTAGCTGTTAGATTGTCCGACGTTGCTTGATAGCTGGTGATCTGCACTATCATCTGGGCTAAAAGTAAGTCATCGCTGTCCGTAATACTGGCATTCGTATCAGCAATGCTCACACCGGATAAAGTTTCATTGTACACGACAACGTTGTCAGTGAAAGCGCCCAGACGGAGCAGGGGCGCATCATTCTGATGCAGCAAGCTGATATTGACACATGCCAGATTGGTGAAGAACATTCCATCAGTGGCCAGCATACACACCTCTCTCCATGGCACACCTGCCAGCTCATCAGCAGTGTTGATGTACGTCAGGAGGCGAAGCACACTCTGGAACTCACTCAACGATGCAGGGCCAATCAGATTCAGGTACTGATCTGTCTGCGCTGAACCGCGCTGCATGGAAATGGACGGAACCGACCCTACGCTGAGCGCAATCATCTCACCAGCACCATTAGCTGCATTCTTGATAGTAATGTTGAGAGACTGGATAGTATTCATTCCTCCGTCTGTATCACTCAGCACTGCAGCGGGTGACACAATGCTCACAGCAGGTCCTTCCTCGGTGAACGATGTGGAATAGTTGATGGACTGGTTTCCCAGCTGCAGCTGCGGCGCATGGTCGTTGACATACACGATGGAGATCGATACAGTACTGATGGGGGAGTTGGATAGGCCATCATTGACACTAACTGTGACCTTGCGTACAGTGGACAGGGGCTCATCAGCTACACTGATAAACTGGATATCTTGTAACAGACTCTGATATTGCACCACACTAGCCACACCACTGATTATTATCTGGTGACTACCTGAGCCGGAAACCGATAACGTGGCCGGAATGGTGCCACTCAGCCGTAAAGAGTCTGATGAGGGAGCTGCAAGTCCACTGTCGAGCATCAGCCGAGCAGTCAGACTATACAGTGGGAATGTGTCCTCATCAGACACAGTCAGAGTACTGAAGATGGTCACCGGTCCTCCGTTCTCTCTAAACACAGTGCTGGCTTGTGTGGGTGAAATGACTGGTGAGTTGTCATTGACATCCTGAACAATAATACTAAGATTAGCTCTGCCATTACGCTGCGGTGTACCGTTGTCTTGAGCTCGGAGAGCCAGCTGGTACGAAGCAGTTGTTTCTCTATCCAACTGGCCCAGCAGTTCAACAGAACCGCGTAGTGCATTGATAACAAAGTGTCCCTGTGCATTGCCGGACACTATGCTATAGGAGAGGACAGCATTGCTGGTGTCATCATCATCACTAGCTGTGACTGTGATCAGAATGCTGCCAGCCGTGGTGTTCTCTGGGACTGTGATACTGTACTGGGCTGGTTCAAACACTGGTGAGTTGTCATTGATGTCCGTTAGAGTCACCGTCACCTGTACAGTGCTGTTGAGTGATGGAGAACCACCATCCATGGCTACAGCGTTGAACACAAACACGGACTGGGTGTCGTAGTCCAAGCCTGGTGCAGCCACAGTCAGCGACCCAGTCGTGGCATTGATACTGAATGGTACGGACGTGTTGGTGAGTACGTACGTTATGACAGCATTGCTGCGAGCATCTCTGTCGGTGGCCTCCAACCGGCCCACTTCCAAACCAGCTGACAAATCCTCCGCTACAGTGTATGAATAGGACGACTGCCTGAACACTGGAATGTTATCGTTCACATCTGCCACCGTTATGTCCAGCATTGTGCTGCCGCTCATCTGTGGTATTCCACCGTCCACGACTGCAATGGATAAGCGGTAACTGGCAACCAGCTCACGGTCAAGGAGACCAACCAGTACAATGTTGCTGCTAGTTGGCTCGGTATTGAAGCGACCCAAGACATTGCCACCTGTGATGGAGTAGGTGAGCAGAGCATTGTTACCTACGTCAGCATCAGTAGCATGCAGCGTGTACACCACAGACCGTAGGTCGATGTTCTCCAGAACGGTGACAGAGTAGAGCGTCTGATTGAACACGGGTGGATTGTCGTTCTTATCATCGATGCTGATTGTTACTGACACGACTGAGCTTGCCGGAGGCTGGCCCTGATCTGTAGCACGCACTGCAAATGTGTATGACGGTGTGAGCTCTCGATCTAGACTTCCATTCACAAAGATGTCACCGGACACAGCACCGACAAAGAACGGTGCACTGCCAGCAATGTCAAGTTGGTATCTGATGACAGCATTGCTACCTAGATCATCATCGATGGCAAGTAACTGCAGAACAGATGTACCAGCAATGCTGTCCTCCAATACTGAACCGCTGTATGATGGCAAGGAAAAACGAGGTATCTGGTCATTCGAATCCAGCACAGTTATACTCAGCGTGGTGCTGCCGACAAGCTGGGGAATACCCCTATCGTGAGCGTCTGCTGTGATGGTGTAACTGCTAATGTTCTCCCGATCCAGTGAAGAGACTAGTCTCACAGTACCTGTTTGCTGGTCCACAGAGAATGGTGTCTGGCCACGCAAGCTATACACTATCTCAGCATTAGTACCAGAGTCAGCATCCATAGCGGTGATGTTCAGTATGGCCATGCCTGTGACAGCACTCTCAAACACTCTAGCCGAGTACTGCGGAGAAGAGAACACGGGAGCGTTGTCGTTGAAGTCATCCAGGAATACTGCTACTGTGGTGTCGCCGTGCAGAGGTGGTGATCCACCGTCAGTGGCCCGAATGACAAGATTGTACCCGAACGGGCGTGTGTCGTAATCCAGTGACTCGGCCACAAGCAGTACACCGGTGGAGGGAGTGATATTGAATACATCACCGGTGTTTCCCCTCACGATAGTGTACTGGCTAACTACTCCGCCGACACCCGTATCAGCATCCGTAGCATTCATCGTGATCACAGGATGGCCAATGATGGCGTTCTCCAACACCCGACGGGTATATAGTGCTGCACTAAACGCAGGCGGATTGTCGTTGACATCCATCACAGACACCGTGATCAGTGCCCTGCTGCCCGGACCAGTCACACCACCGTTTGATGCCAATATCTGGAGACGATACGTCGGCTGGGTTTCAAAGTCGAGAGTCCTAGCCAAACTGAGAATTCCTGACATTGCCTGCAGCTGAAACACATCTCCTGTGTTGCCGGATGTAATGCTGTATTGGATACGGCGAGGAGATAGTCCACCGTCTGGGTCGGTGGCCAGTACAGACAAGAGCGAGGTGGCAAGGGTAGCATTCTCCGCCACATCAAGTTGATACGATGCAGTCACAAACACTGGTGGTTCATCGTCGATATCAGTGATGTTGATCAGAACAGTGCAGTTTGCAGTTAGCGGGATAGCTCCCATGTCAGACACCGTCACCAAGAGTTTGTACATTGTCAGCGACTCAAAGTCAACTGGTCCTGCCAAGCGGATGACACCCGTAGTAGCATTGATAACAAACGTTGAGTTGATATTGCCCGAACTGATGCCGTACGTCAGCTGCGCATTCTTATCGATGTCATTATCCTGGGCGGTGACTGACAGCACCAACAGACCAATCGCTGACCGTTCTGCAATGGATGCCGAATACACAGGGCTGGTGAACATTGGTGGGTTGTCATTGGCATCGAGGACATTCACAACAACCATCCCATAGGCGATGAACACTCCGTCTGTCACAGAAACATTGAGTATGATGGAGCCCACTGATTCCCTGTCAAGCTTCATGTTGAGCCGAACATTACCTGATGAACTAACCAACACAGCACCAGGAACGGATGAGGAGACGAGATTGAACATTAGCGGTGATACAACTGTATCAACATCGTTGGTGACCAGTTGTCCGATTGACACAGGAACTCCACTTGCCTCACTCACATTGATAACTAAACGAAGTGGTGACAAGACTGGTGCATTGTCATTCACATCACCAACAACGACCGTGACGATAGCTGTGGATGATAGGGTTAGATTCTGTAAGTCTCTGACTTGAGCAACCACGGTCAGCACGACTTGGCGATCAGCTTCAAAGTCCAGCGGACGCTGCAGAGTCACTACACCACTTGTCTTGTCTACACTCCACTGTCCTGTGAGTGGAGCACCCAGAGAATACGTAACTGGACCTTTGATCAGTGGATCACCGCTGACTGCTTGCACCATCACTACAAACGCACCTACAGTGGAGTTTTCCAGTAGCGTTGTTGTGTAGGGCAGACTCTGGAAGATAGGGGCACCATTAGGTTTTGGCAAGACATTGACTAGCAGTATAACCTGGCTTGCCATCACAGTGGTAGTGCCTTGGTCTGACGCTGTGACAGTGAGGCGATACAATGGAGCAACAGAGTAGTTAAGATTCCCTGAAACAGTCACCAGTCCGGTTGCTTGGTTGATCATAAACGGAGCCGAGGTCACTGCAATGCTATAGACAACATCACCATTGCTGCCAGCGTCGCTGTCTGTAGCCGTCAGAGTAATGAGTGGGTACCCTATGCCAACATCTTCTCGCAGCGATGCATTATAGTCGGGCTGGTCGAACACAGGACGGTTATCATTGATATCTGTGATAACGAAGACAAGCGTGGCTGTGGCGGACATGCTGGGAACACCACTGTCCGTGGCTTGTACCACTGCGGTGTACAGTGCTGCGGTCTCTCGATCAAGTGTTTGATTCAGCTGCAGAACTCCACTGCTGCTAACGGTGAACACGCTACTACCATTCCCAGAGATTAGCTCAAAGTCAGACACAACAGCGTTGAGACCCGAGTCGTGAAGATCAGATGCTGAAACAGATCCAATCTGCGAGCCAGTTGCAAGGTTTTCCGGAACTGGATACGTGTAAATTGGCTGGGAAAACACTGGTGGAAAATCGTTGATATCCAGGATGGTGACAGTGACGGTGGTTGTGGTTCTATTAGCGGCAACGAGAGTGGAGTTGCTGTGACTCAGGGCTGCTACCGTGAGGTTGTATGTAGACTGTGACTCGCGGTCTATGTCAGCAAGTACAGCGATCACTCCAGTCGAGGAATTGATCGTGAAGAGGCGCTGATCTCCAGTAACAATACTGTACGTAATGGCAGAGAATGGATCGATGTCTGCAGCTGAAACAGTGACAACGGGCGTACCGGGGCTAGAATGCTCACGCACACTAGCTTGGTACAGAGACAGTAGAAAGTGTGGTGCATGGTCGTCCACATTGGTTACATCAATGACAACTGACGTCGTGCCTGTCATCCTGGCTGGACTGCCATTGTCCGATGCTCTCACAGTGAATCGATGCTGCACCTGCGACTCAAAATCCAATGACGATGTGGTAGATATTGTGCCTGTGGTGCTGTTAATGCTGAATGCCATGCTGCTTGAGGATGGTACAATCTCGAACAGTATACGGGCATTCTCACCACTATCAGCATCAGTTGCCTGCACTTGGAGTAGAGACGACGATATTGCAATCACCTTGGGGCACACAGACAAGAGAACGACATATCGTATTTTACCGGTTGTAAGTCGACCCCCGTATCCAAAAGTCTCAATTCTGCGTTTTAACGTTTCACCCAAAGAAGCACTACTGACCACTCCCTGCTACTAACACATCAACAAGTCTTGTAAACATTTCTTTTTGGAGGGTATAACGTCCCAATCCTTGAAAAAGGCCAATAAACTGGCAAAAATGTGTACACATGGTGCACTCGTGCATGCAGTGCAGGTCATTTTTTGTAAGATACTGATAGTTCCCGGTTATAAGTCGAGTCCCGGTTGTAAGTCGACCCCCACCCTTTCTCCTTCTATTTTTAGTCGTAAAAGGTCGACTTACAACCGGAAAAATACGGTAAATATCATCGAGTTTTAGTAGAAGCCAAGTGACAAAAAAACCTTTCAACTTTAGTACTACAGTACACTATTCCGTGCATGTTGATTTGTCACATGCGTGAGTTAGTTGAGTGTACACACACTGCGCCAGTATCTTCTATATTAAAACAGTATCACTCATTTCAACCCCTTTCATTCAATATCTGCTTCTCCTCCGATGATTTCGATATCTTAAGATGGAACGAAACAAGACTTTTCAGCGGCAACACGACGACATCTACAACACAACAAAAAAATTAAAAAAATCTACATCCTACCAACCCCTAGAGTAAAGAGGGTCCGAGCCTGGGTTTTCCCAATATGGTTCAAATGGTCGCAAGACCGGGACCCTGCCAACCGGGTTATGGTTGTAGTCAGGAGCACTATGCGTCCTCGCCTTGTAACATGCTGTCAAAATCGAAAAACATGTTAAACTACCAAGCAAGGCTTCTTTATACAAGTAGCAACTTCTAGCTGTTGTGGAGTGTGGCTGGTGAACTGTTCGTGCTGGTGTCTGCCAGCGTTGTGTGGTCTTGTCTGGTCACAAGACAATCTACCACTGCTGTGAATTGACGGATCAAAATTAATAAAGGTGGCATTGAAAAATTGGTCGCTGCTTGAATGACGACTAGTGGTTAGAGTATCGCTGGCATTTAGTGAAGGGCCCTTGTTTGAGTCCTGGTAGTGATCTTGTCTTCATCAGATTTTTCTTTTTCATTCCCTCAAACTTATTTTATACTAGCATAGTAAAATTAATCCTGTATCTTTCTCGAGAATGCCCTACAGTATATGTGTAAACAATGCAGAGCAATGGTGCTGAGCCAACACACAGAGCCATTGAACACTCACCTCTGACACAGAGACATGATACAGAGGTGCTGAGAACCGAGGTGGGCTGTCGTTCACGTCGAGAATGTCTATCAGCAAGCTCTCGCTTCTGTCGTGTGCCGGCGTGCCCGCATCTCTGGCCTGTACGAGCAGTGTGAATCTGGCCCGTGTTTCGCGATCCAAACCATTGCTGACTCTCACAGCACCAGTCGCCGGGTCAATCTCAAACGACGCGTTATCGTTGCCACTCAGTATGGAGTAGAGAAGAGTACCATTGCTACCATTATCCGTGTCTTGTGCAAACACTAGTGTTACCAGCGTACCTACTGGACTTGCTTCAGACACATTGACAGTGCTCAACGCAGGGACGAACCGCGGGAAGTTATCGTTGATGTCCAGAATGGCTATGTCAATAAAGGCAGGAGTGACGGCTTGACGAGATGGTGACGCCATTTCAGTAGCATGGACAAAGAAACTGTACTGGGTTGTAGTCTCGCGATCCAGAGGCCCGGACACTGAGACGATTCCGGTCGAAGAAACTTGGAACGGGACAGATGAATTGATGCTGTACACCACATTGTCACCGTCACCGTCCGATGCAGACACCTGCACAACACTGTGACCAACCCTGGCATTCTCATCAACAGCTAGACCCGTAAACACAGTCCTAGTAAACATAGGGAGGTGATCATTGACGGGCACGACTGTGATAGTGGACTGTTGCAGCCTGCTCATTACCAATCCATCACTCATAGATACCTGGACTTGGCGTGGCAGGAGAGAGCTGGGCTCCAGCGCCAAGTTGTTGTAATGTAGACCCTGCAAGAACTTGCTGGCACTGCTGAGAGGCAGACTGGGAGAGAATGTATACTGCACGGATAGGCCAGATATGGAGCGTGCTGTGTTTGTCGTTGTGGCTCGGACTGCTGGGTCGGATGCAATCAAGACCTCACTCACTCCATCCTCCACACCCGTTACCTGTACAAAGACGGTAGCAATGCCTGGACTATCAGCGTCATATGCAGACACTCCAGTGGGTAGAATGACAACGGGGCCCTTCTCCTCAACAAATGTGACAGCAAATGGAAATAGCCCAGCCGGCTGGATCTCAGGAGGATCATTGACAGCAATGACTGTGATGAGAGCTTCGGCTGAGTTGCTACTGGTACCTTTGTCATCAAACACATGCATTATCACCCGCCGTAGTGTAGTATCTGGATTTTCATTGGAGTTGTAATAGACAATGGTTTTCATCGCCACAGCGTACTGATCCACATGGGCCTGTCCCAGGATTGACAATGTGCCGCGTGTCATGTCATAGTTAAATGTCAATGCACTGTTACTGATATTCATGCGTAGACCTTCCGTTGCACCATTGGGACGTGGAGAGAGGCTGAATGTAGCCTGAGTCATGTTAACGCTGTCGACATCTTGAAGGGATAACTTTGAGGATACAACCGCAACACCACTGTCACCTTCTGTGAAACTGACTAGGTATCTACGGGTAACGCCGAGGCCGGAGATATCAAGGAGCGGCGCATCATTCAGGCTTCTCACTGTCACAAAGACAAGGATACTGCTGATAGCGAGTCCATCACTAGCTATGATCAGTACGGCGCGGACGCCAGCTGTTGGCATTGCATCATTGGTGTGCTGATACGTCAGAGTTTTGAGCACGTCCACGAAATCGCTTCGCAGAGCCGGGCCCACCAGAGATAGAGTGTTGGTGCCATACTGAACGCGAATGCCAGGCCTGTTTGCAGAGACATTCAACAGCTCCATTGCACCATCGGGCGAGGTCTGAAGCGAAATCGTCACGGACAGTGCAGTGGTGTTGTCACTGTCGGTTAACGACAAACCTGTTGGCAGTAGCAGAAGTGGTGGCGAGCCCTCTGTGAAGGTGAGGTTGTTCTCCCCACTGAGTTGTAGCACTGGCGGATCGTTGGTGTGCATGATCGTGACAATGGTGGACACGGCAGGGCTGAGCAGGGTGCCATCGCTTGCTGAAAAGCTGATTTCGCGCACGGCTGGCATGCTAGGCTCAATGGCAGTATTGTCATACTGTACAGTTTGCAACACCTGCTCAAAGTCAGCGAACAGTGCAGGACCAACAAGCCAGAGCGAGCTGGCTGAAGTCTGGATAATGGAGACTTGCCCACTAGCAGTTGCGGACAATTTCTCATTGGTACCATCACGTGGCAATACCACGGACACATTTACATGGTCAATACGCAGCACACCAAAGTCCGAATCAGATATTTTCACAGACGCCGACGTTGCCCTCACTGGCCCGTGGTTCTCAATGTACAGTGTGGCAAAGTTCAGACTCGCATTGCCGTCCGTTGAATCAAGATCAATGACTGGCCGTCTATCATTCACAGCGACAATCTGCACGCTGGCGACTGCCATGGGACTGTAGAAACGGCCGTCGTAGAGCTGAATCTGAATGCGACGTGTAGCAAGATCAGGCTCTGCTTGTGCATTGTAGTAACCGGTGGAGCGTATGGCTGTTTGAATGCCGACCAGTGTGCTGTCAACGTATTCTACTGTCCCGCCTGCACTAGATCTGCTTGCCGTACGGGTAGATGACGAGGCAGAGTTAGCCACGGGGACTAGCCATTCATCACAGCTGCTTACACATGCCAGGGATGCCGCGGCTACAGCATGCGGGGCATAGAAAAACCCAGACAGCTCGCCCAGGAACGTGGCGGAAATGCCGGAGCTAAGACCATCTGAGCCGAGGTGCAGCAGTGCATTGCTTGGCAGAGGTTGGAGTGGGCTAGAGAGTGTGGCTGTGGCAGATGGCAGCAGTCCAGTTGCACCATCGACATGGAGGAACACATTCGGGTACGACATCACAACAGCAATGTGCTGCCACTGATTCGTTCTCAATGAAACGGCAGGGAATGTTACTGTAGTGTCACTGCTTGATCCAGCTCCTCCAGCTGTTTGGTATGTGATGGTCATGGTGGATGCTGGCGTGTCGATACGCAGAGAGAAATACTGCTTTGCTCCATCAGACAGGGAGAACAGTGGCGCAGTCACATGACTACTGATCTTGATCCACATACCAATAGTGAATGAGTTAGTCAGTTGTATAGAGGCTGCCGCTGTGTTGGCTGATTGTCCCTGGGCGGCAAGCCGTAGAGTAGCGGAGTCAGCAGTTAGAGCTGCACCAGCAACAAGTCGAGCACTGGAAAGAACATTCCCAGTACTAGCGTTAACATTGCACTGAGCAAGTTTGTTCCATGGCAGAACAGAGTGACCACACTCCAATCCAGTGTACGGAGACACCACAACAGTACCGCTCCGTTGAAGGGTGAGAGTCGCAGTGAACTGCTGGTGAACTACATCACTGTCTGACAGTGTTAGCGATCGAGCAAACGGCACAGCAGCTCCGTTCTCGGTGAAAGACTCTGTCAGGGTAGTTGGGGAAATGACCGGAGGATTATCGTTGATGTTCAGCACAGAGAGGCGAAGAGTTGCAGTGGCCGAGTTTTGAGGAGATCCACCATCGGAAGCAATGATGCTGTATACATGGCTCATAGCTGTTTCCGCGTCAAGACGCGTCATCAACACAACAACGCCTGAGTCGGAGATGGAGAGTGCTCCTGGGGGTTGAATAGTGTACGACACCTGACTGTTCGTACCACTGTCAGCATCTGATGCCATCGCCACCGTCACCAGCGTGCCACTTGTTGAGTTCTCAAGTAGAGATGCACTGTACGACGATTGAGTGAACACGGGACGATTGTCATTCACATCATTGATTGCCACTGAGATAGTTGTGCGGGACGTACGCGCGGGACTGCCCTCATCAGAAGCCTCAACATCCAACAGATAACTAGGAATAACTTCCCGGTTGAACGCAACGTTAGCTCTGAGAACTCCAGAGACAGGATCAAGAACGAATTGAGATGAGTGAGCTGATGAAACAAGTCGGTATCTCACCCGTCCATTGCTACCGGCATCCAGATCATCAGCTGTGACAGTACCAATAGCAGCACCTCCAGCATTATTCTCGGTAATGTTGAATGTAAACAGGCTAGGCGAGAACAGTGGACTGTTGTCGTTGACGTCCAGGACATCAACTGTCACGTTGACGGACGTCCGCTGCTGTGGGTGCCCTTGATCGGACGCCTCCACCACAACGTGATAGGCATCAACTTGCTCCCTATCCAGAGGGGGTGTAACAGTCAACTGCCCAGAGGTGGTATTGAGTTGAAACCTGCCACCACTGCTAACGCTCAGTACCGAGTACACTATGGCTGCATTACTGCCCACATCAGCATCAGTTGCCAGTAGCTGGACAAGTGCCATCGACGACGATATGTTTTCATAGACAGACACTTGATACGCTGGTCGCGAGAACACGGGTGCATTGTCATTCACGTCTGTGATCAGTATGGATACATTGACAACGTTTGACATGGGTGGCTGACCCTCGTCAGACGCATCAATGACTAGATTGTACTGGCTTGCGACCTCGCGGTCAATTCTACCCGCGGTCGTCACCACTCCACTGTCATCCACCGTGAACCTCCCTGCCGTATTTCCGGACATAACAGAGTAGATCACGGTACCGTTGTTGCCAGCATCAATATCAGTTGCAAGGGCACGTCCAACTTCACTGCCAGCGCTGATATCTTCAGTAATAGAGAATGAATAGCTTGAGTTAGCAAACTGCGGCCTGTTGTCATTGACATCAGTGACCGTACACGATATTGTGACCATTGACATCATACTGGGAGAGCCCAAATCATACGCAACCGCTGTCACTGAGATTGAAGGCGCTGTCTCACGATCCAGTTCATTGCGGATGTTCAGCACACCCGACGTGCTCAGAGAGAGGTAGTTGTTCGGTGTCTGAAGACGATACTGCACAGTACCATTAGCACCGAAATCAGCATCAGTTGCCGTCACTTGCAAAATGGTGTCACCAACAGAACGACCCTCCGACACATCAATGGAATAGGATGATTGAGTAAACCGTGGAGCATTGTCGTTGATGTCGAGAATGTTGACGGTGAGTATCTGAGTTGACTGCATGGGAGGAGTGCCACGATCCTGTACGTCAATCGTGAGCAGATATTGGGACTGCTGCTCTCTATCCACACTGGCAGTACTTACCAGGGTGCCAGATCTTGAGCCAAGGGCAAACGGTGCGGGAGGAACATGTGATGAGACAATGTAGTAGCGCACATCAGCGTTGACACCGCTGTCACGGTCCGTGGCTCGTGCAAACCCCAGGACGGTTCTCAGAGCGACGTTCTCTGTGACGTTGATGACAGATGGTGATGTTATGACGGGAGCATTGTCATTGACATCCGTGATACTTACTGTTACAGTCACAACAGGTGAACTCAGAGCAGGTGATGCGAGACTGTTGGTGGCTTGTATAGTGAACGACGGCTGGAAGAATATGATCTCAAAGTCGAGAGGAGCAGCTACCACAATAGCACCTGTGCTTTGATTGATAGCAAACAAGCTGGCAAAGTCTCCGCTGACCTTCCTGTAGGTGATGAGGCCATCGACTGCATACATGCCCAATGGTGAATCAGCATCCGTAGCAGTTATAGTATCCACCGTGAAGCCAATCTCAGTATTCTCAGCCACCGTCAAGCTGTAACTTGTCCTGGCAAACACAGGCGGATTATCATTGATCAGAGTCACGTTGACATGCGCACTTTGCTCATTGCTCTCCAGCAGACCATCCGATACACGGATGCGGACGGTGCGGACTGGCTCCGGCGTTGGCTCAACTGCAGTGTTGATGAAGGCCAGACTCGAGAGGAGTTGCTGGAATGTGCTGGCCGACTGAGGCATTGGCGATGCAGAGAAGTCATAGCGGGCGCTCATCGTTCCATTCTGAACCATGTTTGCGAGTGTGATGCCTGATGGTAGAATGTACTGTAGCTGCTCGGAGCTGCCATCGGGAACAGGTGATACTGTCACAGTACATGCTGCTAAAGTCATGTTGTCAACATCACTGACCCTGACTTGGCCAGGTACGACAACCAACACAGCACTGGATTGTTCAGTGTAGGTCACAGGTAGTGGCTGCCGGGATGATGTCACAAGAACCGGTGCATCGTCAACACCAATGATTGCAATACGCACAGAGCGTGTGATGCTGGTGGAAATGGAATCGTTGACCGTGACGGTGATGACTCGTTGAGTCTCTGTGGGAGCTTGTGCCGTGTTAATGTAGAGCAAAGACTGGATGAGCATGGCATAGTCACTCAATGTTGCTGATCCCACGGCGTGCAGTTCAGCTGCGGACACTTGCGTGACAATGATGGACGAGGATGGAGCCTGTGCTGATAGAGACTCGCTGCTTGCATCGAGTGGATTCGTGAGAATGATGTGTGCCGAGACCAGATGGGTGTTGTCGGCATCCAGTACCCGTGCTTGTGTACATACCGGCAGCGCTGCATCACCCTCTGTGAAGCTTGCCGTGACATCACTGCCAGTCGCACGCCCATTCAGATCAACCAGCGGTGGATCGTTCACTGCGCTGATGGTCACGAATGCTTGCACGGCGTTGCTGGACTTGACACCATCGGACACGGAGAATGTAACAATGCGCTGACCGTCGGTCGGATTGCTACCCGTGTGCGTGTAGTATAGAGATTTCAGCAGTTGACTGTAACTAGATATGGTGTCCACACCTGTAAACATAACAGCAGACACACTGGGTGTAGCTCTTATCAAGCCACTGCCGACAGTGTAGGTAAGGAGTTCCTGACTGCCGTCCACACCACCAGTCATGGTCACAGTGGCACTACTTAGAGATGTGTTATCGTTATCCGCTAGCTGGAAGCCAGAATCCGAGAGCTGGACAGGACCACTTCCTTCGCGATAGCGCAGCGCAATGTCCCCATTCAGAGTTAGCTGCAGATTGGGAGCATCGTCGACAAGATCTATGTTGATACGTACAGTGACTGCCGTGCTGTTGTGAAGCCCGTCGTTTGCTACTATTACAACCGAGCGAGTTGCGGGGTTGGGCTCTTCGGCTGAGTTGAAGTAAGTCAGCGAGAGCAGGGCTGTTGTAAACACTGCAAAACTGGCAGGTCCAGTCAGTACCAGGGAATCGGCAGACGAGGATATGACCAAACCATTAGCCATGCTCGCCGTGATGTTCTCCTCAATGCCATCGCGCATGCCAATCAGTGATACATACACCGATGCCAGGTTCACAGCTCCCGAGTCGGGATCAGAGAGTGACAGTGCAGTAGCTGCCAGCACAGGTATGCTACCGGTGCCCTCTGTGAAGCTGACACTGGCAAACGCCGGACTCGCTGCTGATAGGGACACTCTAGGTGGATTGTCATTGATAAGATTAATGTTGACACGGATCACAAGCGGCACACTTGCTAGTCCATCATTCACTTGCATGATGACTTGCCGTGTGTCTGCCGTTGGTTCATTCTCGACATTCCTGAACAGAACGGATCGAAGTACTGCACCATACTGGGCAGCAGAACCTGCACCGGATATCACCATGACGCGGCTTGAATTCTGTAGGGCAACACTCAGCCTGGTTACTAGACTAGTGGCGACAGACAGTTGATCTTGATACGGTGTCAGTGTGTTTGTTGAGGCAAGTTGAACCGTAACTGTGGCCGATACTATATCAACCAGATCCAATTCGGTGACTGTCAGCTGCGGGGCAAGGTGAACTGCCGCTCCGGCCTCAGTGAATGTTACACTGGTGCTGGGAGAAGCTAGCTGCGGTGCATTGTCATTCACATCTCCTACCTGCACAAACACGGTGACCGTTGATGACATAGCTGGCCGCCCACCGTCCTTGGCTTGAACGGTTAGAATGTAAGACGGCCTGGACTCCCTGTCCAGCGGGGCTAGAGTTGAGAGATTACCCAGCAAGGGCTCAATGCTGAACACGCCAAGGTTATCCAGCAAAGCGAAGGACACCGTGCCGTTGGAGCCGGCATCCGGGTCATGAGCGAAGACGTCGAGACCACTCACTATACCGGCCGGTGTATTCTCAGTCACGGTGACATTGTAGCTGGTCTGTGTGAATGCAGGCGCATTGTCATTCACGTCCAGTAGCGTGATCAGAATCGTCGAATTGCCCGAGAGCTCTGGATTGCCAAGATCGTGCACAAGTAGCGGAACAGTGTAAGATTTCTGTGTCTCGCGATCAAGAGACCGTGCAACGGTGATTAGTCCAGATGTAGCAGCAATGCGGAAAGCAGACACACTGGGGTTGAGCTGGTAACGAAGCTCGGCATTGGTAGTCGAATCAGCATCGTCTGCGGTCACAGTAAACACAGACGCGCCGGGTGATATGCTTTCACTGATTGAGACCTGATAACCGCCCTGTGGTGACACAAACATTGGTGCATTGTCGTTGTTGTCAAGCACTGAGATGGAAACTTGGGCAAAACTAGTACGCTGTACAGCTGCCAGGGAGTTAGATAAGGAGATGTTTAGCGTGTAGCGGGATTCAGCCTCATAGTCCAGACTTTGGGCCAGTGTCAACACTCCTGAGATGGCGTCGATGGTGAAAACTCCCACGGCTGAGCTGGTTGCAATAGTGTATCGTACCACTCGGTTCACACCGCTATCTGCATCTGTTGATGACACTGTCAACAGACTGGTGGGGACTGACGTATTCTCGGGAACACTCAGTGTGTACATTGCTTGATCAGGCACAGGATTGTTATCATTCACGTCCAGGACATTGACAACGACTTGCGCGTAGGCAATGAACGCACCATCACTGACGCTGACATTCAGTGCGTACCGCTGCGTGGTCTCAAAGTCTAGACTGGCTGCAAGTACTATGCTGCCCGTCGCACTCTGCACAGCAAACACACTGGGTACGCTAGCGCTTGCCAGGGCATACGTCAAGGGAAGCTTGTCGGGATCGTCGGCAATAACCAGGCCAACGTCAGTGTTGACTACCTGGTCCTCGGCTATGTATAATACATACATGGTCTGGTTCAGCACAGGGGCTTGGTCGTTTACATTCGTCACAGCTATGCGTAGCTCAGATGTTGCTGTTTTCGGAGGACTACCACCATCACTAGCTGTCAGGATCAGCACGTAATTCATGCGCTGTTCGTAGTCTAACGTCATAGCAAGACTGACGGCACCGCGCGAGGAAACGCGAAACCTCTCCGATCCAGATCCACTTAGGGTGTAGGTGAGTTGACCAAACGTTCCACTGTCTGCATCCGTGGCGGTGATAGTCCTGATCACAGTGTTTGCTGCCGTCGACTCCGCAACTGTCAGCGAGGTGACGGTTTGCTGGAATACTGGAGAATTATCATTCACGTCTTGAACGTTGACATCCAGCGTGGTGTTGCCAAGCTGCACTGGCACACCGCTGTCCATTGCTAGAAGCACCAGCTTGTATGCAGTACGTGTCTCATAGTCCACTAACTTTGCCAAACGAACGAGTCCAGACGTCCTGTCTACAGAGAAGACATTGTCAGTATTGCCGGTGGAGATTACGTAGGTCAGTTGACTGTTCACACCGGGACCGTCGGCATCCCGTGCAGACAGCTGCAGAACCTGTGAGCCCACGATTGCAGACTCTGCCACCATTACAGGATTCATGTGTGCTTCAAACACTGGAGCATTGTCATTGGCATCGCCGACCAGTACGCGCACTGTTCCATTGCTGCAGAGACGCGGAACCACTGGGTTGCACACGCTCACAGTGAGATCGTACGATGGAGTGGTCTCATGATCCAGTGGTCTGCGCGTTGCCACTACTCCGGCCACGCTCACTGCAAAGTCATTGCCATCATCACCCGCGACTAGACTGTACTCTAAGAACGCATTGAAACCGGTGTCAAGATCCGAAGCTGAGAGTGTGGTTACTCGGTGTCCTGCTGGTTGATTCTCGGGCACAGTGAACTGGGAGAACAGTGGTGTCAGCACTGGGGCATTATCATTGATGTCAGTCAGCGACACAGCAAGGGTAGCACTTGCACGAAGAGCACTCGACAAGTCTGCGCCGTTGTCCGTCACATGAACCAACAAGTCGTACGCCGCCACCCACTCTCGATCCAGAGTGCGCGCCACCGACACAAACCCCGACGCGTTGATGGCAAAGTCGGCACTGTCCGTGCCGCCTAGCGAGTAGGCTAATGCCCGTGACAGCAATCTCTTGTCGGTCACCACTGCTCTTGCAACAGCCGTGCCGACTGCTACTGGCTCCGTGAACGTACGTAGTGCTGGGCTGGCCAGCAGCGATAGGCATGTACCGGCACAAGCCACACACTCGGTGCTGGAGTCGGGATACTTGTCAGCGGGGCAGCTCGCCACGCAGGCTCCACTGTCCTTGAAATGCGTACAACTCTGCAGAGAACAAGACATGCACAGCATACAACACTATGTAACTTGCGTACACACCAATACATGCCATGTACCAGTATGAGCAACATGTCAGCAAACTGGTCTAGAACATGGTAGCAACACAAACGTTTTGGCCTGCAAACGTTCATGCATGCAGGGCGGGGGGGGGGGGGGGGGGGGCAATCAGTCATGTTGTGTAGACCAGGCTAACATGTGTGGCAGTCAATTCATCAGCCTTGCAAGCTGTTGAACGGTGTAATCCCAGCACAAGTTGCTTTGTCTAACATAGCTTGTTCGCTATCATCGCTTCAGCGATGGGCAGGTGTACGTGTAAGTGCGTGTAAGGGAGGGGGAGGGGGGGGGGGGGTATATAATAGTCAACTTCGCGAATAACGACTGCGGATATAGCGACAATTTGCGAATAATGACAGAATGTCCATGCCAAGAGCAAAGTCCCATCTAACCGCAAACATTTTACTTAGGATACAACAACTATCTGAGTAACAACAAATGTAGTGCTACCAGCTTCCATCTAATACTTCAACTTATTTCACCACAGTCCTGAAGAATGGTACACAAATAATGTAGCTGGAAAATTACATAATGATCCAGTCCTTACCACACATGCACTCGGTCCTGCACCTGAACATCCAGCTGAAGAGCACTGCGTATGACACGGTTGACATCCCCTTGGATTGGCGAGGTCGTAGAATCCCGTCAGACAACTCTGGCACTGCAGACCATCCACATTCGCCTTGCAGTAGCACTGGCCGGTGAGCGCTTGACACGAACTGTTACCAGCGATCGTACCAACTGTATTACACGAACAAGCTTGACAGCCGTCAGCATTTCTCAAGGCCAGGTTATAGTATCCACTGGTGCATGTATCGCATTGCCGACCGGTGACGCGGGATTTGCAGGCGCACTGTCCAGAGTCGGCCGATGCCAGATCCCCACGACGACAATCACCGCCATTGGTTATACCGGCAGCAAAGCAATTGCATGGCTGACATGCAGAGACGCTGGTGAGATCAGTGGAGCTAGGATGGTAGTAGTTAGTGATGCAGGACTCGCACTGTGTCCCGGTTGTAAAGTGCTGGCATGATTCACAGGCACCGCGACCCAGTGCCGAGCTGTACTGGCAACTGCTGGAGTGATTGTTGCAGGCGCACGCCTCGCACGGATTAGACCGTGCAACGGTGCCCGCTAGCCATGGCCGATTGTTGTAGAGTGGCTGGCAGAGCTGGCATGACGATCCAGCCGTGTTGTGCTGGCAGTTGCACACCGATCCGCTACAGGTGCTCGCATGGCCATTGCACACACACGGATTACCAGTCACAACCCAATCACTGACAGCATAATACTGGTCACTCGTGCACGTCGAGGTCACATGACTAGTGAGCAGTCGTGCACGCAAGTGTGTCGCTTGTGCAAACAGCTGCAGCCCAGTGTCCTGATCAAACCGTGTGGAGTTGGGCCTGACCACACTGTTGAGCAGGTTGAACGTCACCACACCGGATGATGCAGCCGAGAACAGATTGCTGCACTGAACGCCCGTGCTGCTTGCCAACACGCCGTTGTCACGTAGGTTGAAACTAGCTACACAGTCGGAGGCATAGTATTGCAGTGGTGACCATGTCAAGCCGTTGTCCGAGGACTTCTCCACAACCATGGCCTGAGGTCGCGCCGATGTAAATGTTAACTGAAAGTATAAGACATGTCTCACGCCACCAAGACTCATCGTGATGTCTGCCTGTCTTGTGCCGATCGCAGATATCCACGGTGTGCTGGCACTGTCGTCGTTCAGAAACCCAGCATCCCTGGACGCGGCCGTCAGTCTCCGCACAGAGCTGGAGTCGTCCAGGCTTTCACAGGTCTGTGAGAGCAAGGATCGGATGACCGAATGGGACGGTGGGCAGCGGCATGCCGGTGCAAAGTGTAGAGGACCATTGTCGATCCCGGCAAGCAACTCAATGTCAACATTGCTCAAGGCTTGCGGGTATACACGTAATGAATGCAGGTCGCCTGCGGAGACAACACAGCAATACACACAAACACACATAGAGTGAACGTGAAGGCACTACACAGCTAGGAACATACCAGTAAGCCAGCATTGTGATGTTGTACTACTGCTAACGTAACTATCCACAGTAACACGCCACAGTGAGATTGCAGCCAGCAAGCACTACAGCCGTGTACTCGTATCCTTATGATGCCGGACTCAACAGATCTAGCCTCACAAGTTAGTTCCAGTATCCATCGACCAAGCTTGACACCAGTGCCATAAACAGTGGGGTTATGTTCAAAAAGTGTCATGGCAACCCAGTAGTGATACCATGATTCCTGGTCCTAGTCTCTTGAGCTTACCACTAAACTCAGAGCCAGGCGTGACGTTGCTCAGGGCTAAACAGACACACAGGACAGGTGAGAAAATATAGAAGACTTCATTAGATGAGTATACAAACCAAGTTCCATGTCAACCGGGGACTATCATGAGCTAGCTGTCCAGAGATAGTGCGAAGCTCGCTGTGCATACCGCAGTTCAGGCACTCTAACATCTAGCTGTCTGAGATTGATTGTAATTAGTGGTACGGTAAAACCCCTGAATGGTGGTAGTGTCACATAGTACATGAACTACAAATATTCTCTAATGATGCTACTGGGCTGACAAGTGCCCCTGTCTTGCAATAGACACTAAACTGTGCTTTTTTTCTCTTCTTCCGTGGTTGGTCTCACCCTCTCCTCAATTCAATTGGCTGTCTTGACATGCTACGAGGTGCAGATATAAATAAACAAATAAAGCAGCCAACCAGTACCAACACATTACACATAGATTCAGGGCATATACTACACAATCAAGCTGAAGACAGCGGCTTGCGGCAAAACGGTCGCACAGCCACGCATAACTCTTATGATAACACGCACCGTTCACCAACGTACCTGCTGAAATCGGTATCATGTATCTTGCACCAGCAAACAGGTGATCACCGGGACGATCGATGTCACCCATGTACTTTGGCAGAGTATGCCGACTGCGCCGTGCTCCGTTTACATACAAGACCATGTCCGTTGCATGGACAACGACTGCCAAGTGGTACCAAACATCCGGCAGAAACGCAACACCGGACACGATGATATCCGTGGACCCGATCGGCCTGCCGACCTCGCGGTACTTGAACGTCAGCTCAGACCGTGCCGCATCGCTCTGAATCGCGTAGAAGGCAGTCAGACCGGTGGCCGAGGTCTTGGCAACAATGTACCTGCGATAGGTGGTGATATAGCAAAAACAAACAGCAGGTCATGAATGAGAGAATAATCTTAGCCTCAGTGGTGGAAACAGAGTAGTTCCCAATACCTACATGTACATATAGTCAAGCTACTGCTTGCCTCACCCTCCCCCATGTCAACACTACATGACACTACACACTCATACCCATACCCATCGTACTGTACTGCATATTTTATTTTATTTATTTCACTCAACTCGTGATCCATGACCAATTGGCACGCAAAGGGCGAGAGAGGGGTGAAAGCCAACCACGATATATACACTTGCACTCGCTTGAAGTGTATCGCTTCCAACTGCATGCCTCTTAGGGGACATGCCAGATGAATATTGACACCTCGTTGAGACGAAGGGAGGAAAAGCACACAGGAAAAGGTGCCGGACAGCCAATCTTTCCACAGTATACCCAGCATACAAGATGCTCAGTTCATCCTTCCGTATACACTTTAACTCGAAAGATGCAGCTGAACGGTCACAAACACCAATCGGTCACAGTCAAACAGGTCATGACTTACCCAGTATTGTCTGCATTCTGTTTTAGCCAGCAGGCTATTGTCAAGCCATTCACATTGATGCCCGTTGATGACGGCCGCTCTGTTGTTTGCACATATGTATCAGCCGGACTGTCACGGAATTGCCACACCGTTGTGCTGGCATTGGATGTATTTGCGACAACCTTGAGCGCAGAAGGACGAGAACGTAACAAACAGCCCAACGTCATCTTGCCCATAGTACTATTGCATGGAGAAACTTAGCCAAACCCCTAGTCCAGGACACAGAAGTCATAGCCTTTGGCCTAGCCAAGCAGTGTGTGTGTGGGGGGGGGGGGGTGCGTGCGTGCGTGCGTGCGTGCGTGCGTGTGTGTTCCCAGTACTCAGTAGCCGAGGCTGGTTGGTAAAGTAACTCCAATTTCACTTCAAGGTACCAGTGCATCTAGTGTCTACTTCTATCAAAGCAGCGTGCTGTCTATACTGGTTACCCCAGCAAGTGTAGGGTGTGCATAGGTACCGTAACTGTCTTGGCCGTTTTATGCCGATGTACTCCGTGTGGTGTAGACTAGGTGTGCATTGGTGGTCGACTCACATGGCTTCGCCAGTTGTGTGGATTAGACAGTTATCTGGCGCAAGTCTTGATCTGCCTCATTCAGATCTTGTTCGCTATCGTTGCTATAAGAGAAAATCTGTGGGTGCACATCCAGTGCATTTGCAGATTTGCGTGCTTCTCTTGCGACGGGCGTATACATGGTACATGGTACATGGTGTGTGTGCAGGGGGGGGGGGGGGGGAGCAGTATGGATTACAACATTTACAAGACCCTGCACTTGTGTTCATGAATACTAAAGTATGGGTGCTGCCAAGTAACTAGTTTAGTACAATGCAATGTCATGTATCGGCATAATCCACGTACACTCCTTCCCATTGCATAGTCTTCATTTTTTTCGCAATATGAGTCGACCAGCAGCATCACATTATCAATATTGCTGCATTCATATATCCATGGTTATTCTTCCTTCCCACAATACACGTACGCCTAAACAACCACAATGATCATTTCATTGAAATTGTGTCAACCTCATTCAACTCTTATAACCGCTTACCCCGTGTAATGACGAGCCCGGTCCAGCCAACACATCCGTGTACACCGGTGCAGCACTTCCATAGCTACATTCCGACTGGCACCTGGCGGCGCTGCTCGCTGCAGAACAACTGAAATCACCCCTGGGCTGCTGGCGGTAGGTGACTAAGCCATTGGAACCACACGTGGAGCTTGCCTGCACTGGGGTATTGGTGGAGAAGCTCGCGAAAAGGTCTGCGGCTGGGAACAAGCCCTGGCCATGACTGCACCAAGGCAACACTAGGCAGACGAGCAGACAGAGAGCTAGAAGTCGCGCTGGTCGTGGATTCCAGGAAATCTTGGCCGCTGTCAGCTTCATTGCTAGCGTCCACCCTTTCAGCAGGTTGCAGCGCCTCCCTGCACTGGTCCGCTCATGTCCGGACTATCAGCTATGCACAAGAAGAGGACGGCCAAGCAGGGCAGATCGCCCAGTGGTTTGTCGATGAAAATTCCCAAATTTCAGAGTAAAAGCAGAAAACATTGGTAAGAGAAATGCCTAAAAGTCGAAATGGCCAAAGTAAAATGAATTCAAGGTCACGATTGGAAATGGAATGATTCGGTTCACTCTGCAGTGTAGACATGGTAGCTGGATTTCCCCACTGTAGTGTAGACTACTGTGTGCGGTGTCCGATAGTGATCTGTGTGCACATGACTGGGACCTTCCAAAGTGACCGCCTTATTTCTACAGTCCACTGACTGCCTGAGTGCCATGCATGCATGGTGTGCAGCAATGAGACTGAAATGTCTGTTGAGAGCTCTAGAGACGCATGCAAGTATGCGCAATGCGTGTGTCCAGTATACTGGCAATAGGCAGTGCGGTGACACCCTGCCAAGAACGTGTTAGTTCCAATGAAAATGGCTTTTTGAAAAATACCTTGGCCATGATCATGATAATGCATGCTGTCATTGCTGAAGCTGAACTGAAGCCTGAAGGTCCCTAGCCCTGACCTGGGACCAGGTGACCTGTCTCACCTACTTGTCTTTACATGATTGTACACGCTGCGGCCAGTAACTGTGTGGAGTGGGGATGCCAGTATGCTGGGTGGAGTGGTAGGTCTATGTGGAGATAGATCTACAACACTACAAGTACGAGGGCGGACAGCAGGCTGGATTATCCCATCAGATACACGAGACCAACGCATATGGCCGATTGGTTTGCAGGCCTGCCTGCGAATCATGAGGTCCCGAGTTCGAGACCCGCGCTGGCAGCAGGGAGCGTGTAAAAAGACTTTTTACGCGTGTTGAACTGCGCCGACACCCACGGTCACACGGCTGTTCAGCTGCGGCCATCTATCAAAATGGCGTCGAATTCACTGGAAAATCGCAAATTTGCACATTGCACGTTCGATTTATGAACTTGGTGTGTTTTCAGGTGGATCCTTTTCGAATCAAGTAGAATCAACTAGGTAACCCTATGTAAATTGGGTTTGTTAGACCTGACCAAATAATTGCAAACGCGAAGATCAAAGCAACAAAATAAAAATTGTAGCAGAAGGAGGACGAAGAAGAGCAGGACTTAGTCACTATGGAGTAAGCTAGCCGAAAGAGAAGGATTATAGTGGATGCTGTTTTCCTCCATGCCTTAGCTACGGCCACGGAGTGGCCTGGACATGGGCAGCGTTCTTGATAGGCGTTGCGATTGCTTCGAGCCGTTTCATGGGCGCAGGAACGCTTCACTCTAATAAGAGTGGGAGTTGAATTCCGCATGGATGCTCTCTGAGCCTTGCTCAACTAGCAAGCCAAGGCCACATGGAGTCGGGTTACAGCTGGCACGGCGTGCATCTCTAAAAGGTGCAGATTAGGGGTAACATGGCATTTGTTTCTCTTCACGATCTCGTCTTGAACGAGCTCATGAAATGTTCGATGTTGCTCAGTGCTAAGCCATCATCATTAACCTGCAGAAGACAATGGAAGCGAAGAAACAGTGCAAGACTGAATTTTTAGTCCGTGGTTTTGTCCCAGGAATATCTATTGGAGCTCGGAATACAGCAACCAGTGTAAAACTGATCCAACACGGCTTCTTACAGTTGGTATTACTGTAGTATTATTCCGCGCAACGGCGTAAGAGCACCGCACAGTATTAGCAGTATGGATGAGCTACCTTGTAGTGATATGATGGGAGTGAGCAGGAGATTCAGCAACAAACTGTCGCCCGAAATTGTCAGTCTGATCATGCAATGCTGCCTGCGACTCCTGCTGGATTTAGTTGCCGGCACAACCTCCAAAATGCTGCCGGTCTCACACTGCTAATGGCCTTGCAGAGCTAAGTAGCTGGGCCAGCCTTAAATGCGTAGGGCTTTCTGCTAGGCTGCTTCCGCGTCGGCTATGCATTGCTGCAGCTTGGCATGTAGTGTGACCAATGCTGTGTACTGCTCGTTGCTGTTGCCATTGGATGCGGCTGGCGTTGTGCTTATCGAGCTGGCCGACCTCTGCCAGCATTGATGCAGCGTAGATCCAGGGATGGATCCCCAGGTCAAGATGCAAAACTGGCACAACGGTATGGCTGATCTCGACCAGCAGAATTCGGGACCGGATAACAACGCTACTACACATCGTTGTGAGCGACGATCAGCCTTGAGTGTCCGCAAGGTGTGTGACTGTTTGCCCTCATCTGACACGTCAGCAGGCGATGGATCCATCATCCTCTTTGGACAGTGGCAGTGTGTAAGCATGGCTGCACTCCACTTAATCCCGACAGTCCATAGTTATTGTTATCTCCGTGCATGGTTGTTTCCACGAAGAGTCTGACCCAGGACATAACACCGTCCTCAGCTGAACTTTAAATCTAGTGTCTTTTTTCCATTATTGAGTGGTAGTCATACACCACTGACGTATGTGCTCATTTTCCTGTTCTTATTGCAGTGTAAATTTTTCAGTGCCGCACATCGGTATTCATGTTGTGTGTGCGTCTGGGTGGGTGCGTGTGCGCGCGCACGTATGCGATCGTGTGTGTGTTGTGTGTAGCCAAGACTATGACTATAGTATGAGTGTGCTTTTGCTGTGACTTATGCCGGTGCAGTCTGACTGGAGTTACACCCAGTTTGTCTGCCTGGTAAATATGTTCTCTTCCAATTGTGACATCTGCCTTCGGAAGTTGTGCCGTTACGCTGTGAATATATAATTGATGGCATGTACATTGTTGTAGATGACTTGTTGTAGGCACGTAACGTTTGTCAGTTGTGGCTCAACACAGGAGTATGCTGCATGCATTCTACTGTGCTATGCCGCTACCACCAAATCACGGTGCGAGCGTCTTCCAGGACGGCGGCTGCTGCGTACTCGTGCTGTGCATACCTTTGATCGCGTGGTAGTTTCTAGTCATGATGTATAATGTTTGTACTCAATTCAACACAAGGCACAGCTATCACTGCTTAGTAGTGCGACTGTCATGTGACACAATTGTGCACAATTATCATGATCGCAGTAGCATGATGTTGTTCAAGTAAGTCCTCCGAAATATCAACTCCCATGCCCTTGAGGCCATTTTTCATGCTCAGATGCAAAGTACGTAGTACTGGAAGGCTAATCAGCGAATTTCTGGCCACCGATCCAGCATACAGATGCAAGACCATCCATCGAGCCCTAAAAATCACACAAAGTGCAAGAACATCTCCACCAGCTTCCAAAAAAATGTACCAGCTTCCGCTCACGAATTTATGTTTGTCGGATGGCCGAAGCCTTGGGCCAACCAGGAAAACTTCCTGAAAGCACGGGAAAACTCCAGCAACGCTTCTCTGGGAGCAGGAAATACGGCTACACAATAACATACAACAATAGTTACGACGAACAAAAAATGGCCCAATTCTCTTCGACGATCGGGACCAAAACGACGCTCGTCGTCGAGCGAGGTATCAAACGATTCGTCTTTCCTTTCTCTTCTGGAAAATCGCGAGTTACTGGTCAACAGGCTCGGAGGAAGCCGAAGATATCGTCGTTTGCTACGATAAGTTTAGGAAAAATGCGTATCTCGAGCAGAATTTTCAAATGACTCATGCTCAAAGCCGACGCCATCTTAGATGTCCGCTGACGTGATCATATGAACAGCCGTGGTCAACTGGGTACTCACAGCTCGAGTGAGAATAACAAGGATGCAGTTTACAGGGTTATGGGCCGTTACACGCCCGATTGGTTGAGAGACTCACCTCCTCTCCCCTGATTCACTTGTGAGGTCTGCATTCGCCACTAAGGTGTAAAGGCATAGTGGTGGCCTGCGGAAGCGAAGGCTATAGCTTGTGTGTTTCTGAACATTCAAGTGATGCTAACGCGGATCCCGCGAATATTTATACATGTACTACGAGTACCCGCATTACTTTCCATGCCGGAGTGTATGGCCAGTGGCCCCAGACGACGCGTCCAAGACTGACCACGAAGACTGCTAGGGAGTAGGGTGGGCAGCATCACTGCATGGTTGGTGCATGTCTCTCACAAGTCTCACTCTCAGGACTGTCAAGGTCGTGCTAGGCAGAGGAGGCTACCTGTCAATTTGACAGGTTTGACAGGTAGCACCGGTTACTCCGCTAGCAAAAGTAGCATCCGCAGTGATCATCTGAGTTCATCTTCAATGACTTGAGACCCCCGCCCGGTTGTTGAGAGATAGGAAACGTGCATGTGTGCGTGTGCGTTTGTGTGTGTGTGGGGGGGGGGGGGGGGGTAGCAAGAGGCCGGAAGGTTATGGCATGACAAGCAGTTCAATTCCCAGACCATGCAGAGTGAGTGCATGGTCTGGGCATTGAACCATTGCGGGACCTATCCTTTCAATGTTCTAATCTTTACTTTTCCTCAGTGTCCACCTGGACTCCTCCTTGGCTTCCCTTTTCTCTCTAGCTCTTCTCTTGTACCTTCTTGCTATTATTGGCGCTTTGAATAAAACAAGTCGACGAGTATGCAGAGCAGGGAGTCGTCAAATACGGTATTTGACGACTCCCTGATGCAGAGTGAGTGCATATTGCCACTACCGGTACATCAGTACATGCAGACAAGACTCGTAGTGTCTCGGTGCCAAGGTGAACGGGTCCATGTTCCATCACACACACCCCGGTAACTAGTGGTCATGTCAGTGAGCAGCAGGTCGCCGCCTGCAATGTAGATCCTTTGGCTTTGCCTTGGTCATGACAGCGCTGACTATTGCTAGTATTGGACCCACTTGGATCCAATTGCTGTATGGATTCATACATTAGACATGGTTAGCATTTTACCGTTCACGCCAACTTCGACCGTCGGCCTGTACCATTTTTGTGTGTGTTTCAAGACATGGTTAGCATTTCGGTTTCTGACACAACGATCAGCTTGTGACATCACCCTAGTTGGAATCGTACCGTTTCGTTCTCCCGGTAAACAGAGCCTTCTATCATTGAAACGATGCCAAACCGACGGTATTTGGGGTGCTGGGCACGAGTACCGTTGGATTTAGCGTGAACGTTAAAATGCTAACCTTGTCTATTGTATGGATCATGTGTTGTGTGGTTTTCCTTTGCAGTGACCAGTAGTAATTGACCTGGACCCTCAGGCCAGGGCTGGGGACCCAATCCTGGTATAAGTTAGAACACACTGCATACCTTCTGAATTCATGCAACACGAGAGACCTACCCACCACATAATTATTGTTTATTGTACTTCGCTATGGGCAGAGTGGATCCAAGTAATTGATCCAAAAGTCGTTATTTGTTGACTCCTGGCATCATCAGGTCCCATACAGTACTGTGGCAAAAGGATATGGGCTAACGATCACTGAGTGTGAGGCATGAGCCACCTGTACTGTATATGGATATTAGCAGAGAGTTGACCCTGAGGGTAGTGGGCACACAAAGACAGACTAGTGGAAACTGTCAGCAACACACTATCACACACTGCTGCAGTCACACATACTCTACCACCACCACTGATGATTCACAAGAGGAGCATTAGTGTCACAGGCACATTATTCGATTCGAAATCTGTTGTCTTGAGAAAACCAAGCTAGCCTTTCGAGATAAAGCCGTCATCATCATTGCAGTGAGTTGTCAGGCTGAGAGTTAGAGACAAACCTACTCTGCCTGGCAAGATGGATGCCATGCAACTGCCAGTAGGGCATGCACAGGGACTGACACACTTGGAAAATATTGAAAAAGGTATTGTAAACACTCGGGAAGAGATTGCTACAGTAGATAATAAATACTACCGGTCAAGATGAACTGCTGGCGTGTAGAACACGGCTCCATATCGACAGCTCGTGTTGATCACGGCGCCCAGGACAATTGCGCTTCAACGCACAGTTCCGTCATTTGTCAATCTTGAAAGCCACTGACTCCATTCATGTACAGCAGAAGCAAACCTGCTTGCCGATGCCGCCAGAGTAACGTTTGTTCATCATCATCATGGAGTCACATCAAACACTCCTACAGATCAACGACCAAGGTTGCTGTGAAAGTAAGTCTGATCCAAAGGAAGCCGTCTGATTGAGAGAAACACCACCGATGCACAGCCGGTCCAGAAGCAAAACGCATACACTGACATCGGAGCGGAGTATGTCACCGTGGCAGACAATCTACAAAACAGCCTTACCGTGACAGGATAGCAGGTATGGGTCATCAAGTTCCATCGAAGTAGAGTCATATCACACAAACACGGCTCTGTTCTTATGATTTGCCAGGGCTTGGTTGAACTCCAGCAGCAGCAGTAGCAGCAGCATCTTGGGCAGTGTTTGTGATTGGGGCCTCAGAGTGGCTAGAGCGACGTCTTCTTCCCTGTATTGAACATACCAACACACAGACTCACACACACACACACACGCAAACACACAGATTCACACACAGACACACAAAAACACTCATTCACACACACACATATACACAAAAACACACACACATACCATTGGACCATTGGACGCCCATCGCCGGAGGCGATGATAGCGATGCTACAACAGAAGCCATAGCAGCTTGTGCTGGGATTGCACCGTTCAACAGCTTGCAAGGCTGAAGAATTGACCGCCACTATTCAGCCTGGTCTACACCACACAGCTATGAAGTGGCTTTTTCTGGCCAGTGAATCCCTACTTTTTGGTCTTTTTATTATTATTTTTTCCGCACACACATCACACCACATACTCCGGCATGCACTGGCTGTTGGTAACCACCCAGGAGAATGAAAGAAAAGTCAGGAAGAGTCTGAGAAAGAGAAGAAAGATGTGTGTGACCATAATCGTCGGGAATCGAACCCGCAACCTATCGATTGGAAATCGCTGCACATACCACTGCACCATATGGGACACACGCACACACACACACACACACACACACACACACACACACACACACACACACACACACACACACGGCTATGCGCATGCAGGCAAGCACATACAAGAACAGAAAGAGACAAAAAAACCGGCGGCGTTCAAGCAGATTACTATGCCAGAGTACAGCTGTCATCACAACATATGGCACGGGCTTGGGTTCAGCAAGTTAGTGATAGCTGACATAACACAATACCTTAGTTCTAAGATACATGTACCTTCTCGGTGTCCGCCAAGTGATTGAGTGAGTGAGTGAATGTGTGTGTGTGTGTGTGTGTGTGTGTATAGGGGGGGGGGTATATGCGTGAGTGAGAGGGAGGGAAAGAGAACGGGGGGGAGGGGGAAGAGAGAGAGAGAGAGAGAGAGAGAGAGAGAGAGAGAGAGAGAGAGAGAGAGAGAGAGAGAGAGAGAGAGAGAGAGAGAGAGAGAGAGAGAGAGAGAGAGAGAGAGAGAGAGAGAGAGAGAGAGAGAGAGAGAGACAGAGACAGAGAAACAGAGACAGAGAGAGACAGAGAGAGACAGACAGAGAGACAGAGAGACAGAGAGACAGAGAGAGACAGAGAGAGAGGGAGAAAGAGAGAGACAGAGAGAGAGAGAGAGAGAGAGAGGCATCTCCTTGGATCTGCCTACAATCGACTTCGCTCTATCAGGACTGGCACCACTGGTACGACATGTACGGCCATGGTCGTACCATTTTTTTTACTAAGTTAACTCCGGCGTTCATGGAATGTGCAGTGCGGAATGTTCATGCGGAAGTGCTAACAAGCTATCCCAGTATTCTCTAACTCAGCTGAATGAGTATTTCATATGATGACCCAGGTAAAGAATGAGCAGAGCGAGGGTCCGGAGCTGGCTCTCTTATTACAATATACAGCTCTATGGCAGTGCAACCTTAGAAAGACAATAGCAGACTGCTAAGAACTCACCAGACCAAGCAGCGATCCAAGACCAAGCAGCGCTAAGCATCCGGAAAAAGCAATTACAAATCCATAGAGCGCAGCCTTGGTGGCCAATTTCTGTGGGTTGGGGTGAGCTCCAGCATAGCGTGTTGTGCTCGATGTTGAGCTTGACTGCACTATCTCATGCCGCATGAATGGTGGTGTAGAGTATTGATAGCGTGGCATTACCGCTTCAACACTCTCCAGCTCCAGTGGCTTCGGCCTGCCGCCGTCGAGCTGCAGTGTAGCCGGACTGAAGCCTGCAGGCAGCTGCTGGCGCACCGCAGCACGGCTGAACAGAACTCCACGTTGCTATCCGTTGAAGAACACACACAGGCACCACACACACACGCGCGCACGCACGTTTTAGTCCAATGCAGGACAATCCAACTCAGTGCAGGACGGTTGGGCAGCTTGCGTACTGCAATTATAATCTCATATATATTGGGCAAAATAGAAGAAAACACATGGGAATGAGTTATGAAGCAACTATCCACGTATGTAATAAGATAATACCGTATTTTCCCCATTAAACGTACACGTCTCCAATTGTAGTACAGTCATGTTGAGTGTGGATCAAAAATATAAAAGGACACGTCTCTAATAATAGTACATGCCGGAATGATGTGATGGGCAGTACTGAGGTACAGATACCAGGGTCCACCTTACTTCGTTTTTCTTACCCGTTCATCATCTTCGTGTCTTTGTACACTGATTCTTACCATGGTTGGATGTATTTACAGCCATACAGCAGCATTATCACGAGTTGTTTGCCACCCAACCCAGGCAATCAATCTTTCCAGAAACAATAAAAGTACACAACTCCAATACTAGTACAGTCTCCTATAGTAGTACAGGTCTGACCACCTTTGAAAAAATAAAAGGACTACATTTATTGGGGAAAATCCGGTAAGCAGTCAGAAAGTGCGATAACAGGGCACAAAACTGACAAGCTACTGAGACATTCAACGTCAGTTTTGAGCCCTGTTATCGCACTTTCTGACTGCTTATTATCTTGTTACAGTCGTGGATAGCTGCTTCATAACTCGTTCAATGCGTTTTCTTCTATTTTACATTAAATTTTATTACTGGCTTAGTATCCGAGTTAACATATATTGGTCACATTGTTTCATTCAAGGACCTCTCTCCACGAACGGATGCCTGACTGGTTATCACTTTATCAATTTCGTGACGAAATTATGTACATGTCGTGTAAACTGACCCAACCAACATAATGTGATCAAGAGTACATAACCCCCCAGAGTGTGCAACGCCAATCCAGCTCTGCATAGGGTCTTGGTCGAGCGGAATCGGATCTTCTGATGTCATGCGTACACTCCACACCAGCGCAAGGCCGGTCTCGAGGCAGGCCTGAGGGTACCATTGTTTTTGATCCAAGAGTACCCGCGACTCCCCGGGTTCCCCTTAGATGTGTACGGTATTCAGTGGTATTATGACGCAAAGATCCGATTCCGCTCGACCAAGACCCTTTGCAGAGCTGGATCAGGCGTTGCACACTCTGGGGGGGGGGGGGGGGGGGGGTTATGTACTCTTGATGTGATGAATTACGTACAAAAAAAGTTTGGAACTTTCATAGCTCCCCCAAAAGCAGCTGCAATGGACACGATTGTAATGCGTGCACTTTATACAAGTCTCCAGAATGTTCTCAATGTCAAGAGTGCTCTTGGCCACATGCTTTGAGTTCAAACTACGACAATTTGATGGCATGCCCTGAAAACAAATAGAAAAGGGATCATTCTCAGACTCACCAGAATAGTTTTCGCAGCCATTATCTTGGCAACTGCTATATCACTCACCGCCGCGACGACAAAAGAGATCGATTATCAATTCAGGCCTCTCAGGATAATCAGCAGGTAAATCATTGGGACCAAAAGTCACAACGACTGAACGAGATCTTCACTGTCTTTCAAAAAATACTCTGGGACTGGAAGTGGACACCAAACTAACAAAAACAAAATTCGGGGATTTCCCCAGGCAGCTTCTGGCCAGTCGAGTCACGTGTGAAGAGCCCCCCCCCCCCCCCCCCTCACAAGTGTAGCTCTACTGCTGCATGCTGGGATCCCGCGCCACAGCTAGCCCTCACTATGATGAACCATGTCACGTCAGAGAGTCTGTTTGGCCATGCCATGGGTCCGACTCCCTAGACTGGAGTCCTTGCCGCAATGCACTGAGCCCGGCACAATGTAGAGTGAAGTTAGTATCCATTCAACACGATACATTATCCATAATAAAACCAGGGAGTAGTACAATACCGTATTGTACTACTCCCTGGTGTGAGCGGTTCAGAAAACCCTTTACTGGTGCAGCCCCGTCGTAAAACTATGAAATTAGAACTGGCCCATTATCCCCCCACTGTGAAATGATCCACTTAAATAGGGGATGACGGGACCCGAACGCACCAGTAGCTCGAGGTCGGGAGGGCACAGGATCATAGCAATATCATAGGGTTACACCACCACTATCAGCAGGGGCGTGCTTGGCGAGGGGCACAGGGGGCAAGTGCACCCCCCAAAAAATATTTCGACCGGGGTTTTGAAAAGTCACCAATGTATTGCGGAAAGCCCGAGCTCGCGGGAGCACATCCTGCACCTGTGTCTTGTGTACTACCGGTAGTACAGTAAATTGTAATAAAAAGATAAACAACCGGGTGTCAGACCGATTGGGATCGGAGAAGAGGCCCGTCGCATCATCGGGAAAGCCATCCTGCGATGCGCCTCATCTTCAATACAGAAGTCAGCTGGCTGCCTACAGCTATGTGCGGGTCAAGAGTGTGGCATAGAAGCAGCAATACATGCTATGCAAACAGCATTTCAGGAAGACGAGGCGGAAGGCGTTCTGTTTGCACATGCGTCAAATGCATTTAACGCCCTTAACCGTGCTGTCTCACTGCACAATATCCAGCACACCTGCCCCGCCATTGCTCCGGCACTGATCAACAGCTACCGCAGCCCGACTCGGCTGTTTGTGGATGGTGAATGTCTCCTGTCTTGTGAAGGCACCACGCAGGGAGATCCACTAGCCATGGCTATGTATGCCCTGGCGACCGTTCCTCTCATCCAGGAAGTGTCTCAGAGCGGAGCACTCCAGTCGTGGTATGCAGACGACTCCACTGCCGCTTCCACCATTCGCAAGCTGCATCACTGGTGGTCACTGCTTAAGCAACGAGGCCCAGCATATGGGTACTTCCCCAATGATGCCAAGTCGGTCCTTGTGAAGCCGGAGCATCCTCAGGAAGCAGAATCCCTGTTTGCTGACACGGCAGTCCAGATTCGCACGGATGGCTGGCGGCATCTCGGTGCGGTACTTGGGTCTCCCGAATTCTGCAAGCAATATGTCACAGAGAAGGTAGAGACATGGACGCTAGAGGTTGGACGACTGGCTGACTTCGCCACCACTCAGCCACAAGCGGCATACGCTGCTTTTATTCATGGCCTCCGCCACAAGTGGTCGTTTGTGGCCCGGACGGTCCCAGGCATCAGCGGACTGCTAGACCCGCTGGAGCACTCCATCCGACAGCGGTTCATCCCTGCTCTAACCGGTCGCCCCGCACCCGGTGACGAAGAGCGCGCCATACTGTCCCTCCCGTGTCGGGAAGGTGGTCTTGGTCTCATTGACCCGAGGTCTTTGACGGACCAATACAATAATTATGTCTGTCGCTGTCACCAACATCCTCGTGAGCCGGATACTGGACCAAGACACCAACATGGACGAAGTGCCCACCACCATCCATGCTGCCAAGCTAACTGCAGCAGCAGCAACCAGGAGAGCCGCTCGAGACCAAGCCAGTCAGCTTCTGGCCACATGTGATGCGCCCACCAAGCGAACCCTGGGGATGGCGGCCGAGAAAGGAGCGTCCAACTGGTTCACTTGCCGGCCCCTGAAGCAGTTCGGGTTTGTCCTCCACAAAGGCGCCTTCAGAGACGCACTCTGTCTGCGGTTCGGCTGGGTCTCTCCCCGCCTGCCATCCACTTGTGTGTGTGGCAAGGCGTTTAACACCAGCCATGCTCTTTCGTGCCCAACTGGTGGATGCCCGGCTCTCCGCCATAACACGATCCGCGACCTGACAGCCGACCTACTGCGTGAAGTGGCAATGGATGTGAAGATAGAACCTCCTCTGCAGCCCTTGGAGGGTGAAAGGCTCCGGTATCGCTCTGCCATCTTGGAAGATGGTGCTCCTCTTGATGTGGCGGCATCCGGTGCCTGGGGAAGTCGTTTTGAGCGCACGTTCTGTGATGTTCTTGTGCGCTCAAGTTATGAACTCTTTGTGTTCCCTCTGTTGATGCTTCAAAATCGCTCTATTGACACTGCAAAATCGCTCTGTTGACGCTACAAAATTGCTTATCATCTCCCTCCCTCCCTCCCCCCCCCCTCTCTCTCTCTCTCGCTCTCTTTCTCTCTCTCTCTCTCCCCGTAGCTCTCTCCCTTTTGAAATTCGCTTCCATAGAATTGGGCACCATTGCCCGTTTGGCCTTGCGAAGCAAAATAAAAATCAACAACAACAACAACAACATGTTCGGGTTTTTAACCCTCATGCGCGCTCGAACACTTCCTCAACTCCCGCGTCCACCTATGCCAAGCACGAACAGCAGAAGAGAAGGGCCTACGAAGAACGCGTCAGGGAGGTGGAGCATGCTTCCTTTCTCCCACTGGTATTCAGTGCATCTGGTGGGTGCGGCAAGGTAGCCCACACTTTCCTGAAGCGTCTTGGCCATATGGTTTCGGAGAAGCGGCATGAACCCTACTCCTCCGTCATGTCCTGGATCCGCTCCCTTGTCTCCTTTGCTTTGGTTAGATCATGCAACATGAGCCTCCGTGGTCACCGTGCTTCTCCCTACCGCAGTCGTGTGGATGCTGCCAGTCCTGTTGTGCTGGCGGTCAACGACTGTCAGTTGCGTGACTGAGACTCTTGCGGAGTAGCCGTGTCTAGCATTTATATTCCACGCTTTTATTATCCGATGATCTTGTTTTGTTTGCTATCAAAAAAAAAAAGTTTGAAAGGGAAAAAAGTGCAGTAGGGGCCTGGTGCGCGGCCTACATGCAGCCAGGCAGTCCCATACGTACAGTAGGCCTTTGCGGATAATGCCGGCAGTAAAATTTGCAGAATTCGGTACTTTTTCTGGTAAGTTTCATGCATGTGTAGGCCTCGTCAGGGTACTCGCAGTAGATATTGCCGGGGCCTTCGACAAGGTCTCGCACAACGGCGTCCTCCACAAGGCTGAGCGGTGCGGCATAAGTGGCCCCCTCCTTGCCTGGCTTCGGAGTTACCTGACAGACCGCCACATCCGTGTCGTCATAGGCGGCCAGTCTTCACCGCCCCACCGAATCCAATCTGGCGTGCCGCAGGGCAGCATCCTCGGCCCCACCCTCTTCCTTCTGTACGTCAACGACGCAGAAGACCACCTGCCTGATGGGGCGAAGCTGGCTGTATACGCCGACGACACAACTCTCTACAAGTGCATCACCACCCGACTCAGACTGCCAGAAGAGACAGCAATCCTCCAGCAGGCAGTAGACTCACTGGCAGCATGGGGAAGCAGGTGGAGGATCAAGTTCGAGCCCACAAAGTCGCAGGCATTGACCATCAGCCACCACCGCTCGCTAACCCCCCCCCCCCCCCCCCCCGAACGCAATACGCTTCCAAGGAGCAGTCGTGCCAGAAGTAGAGGAGCTCAAGCTTCTTGGCGTCACCTTCGACAGGCAGCTGGCATTCCGCAGCCATATCCGACAGCTTGCAGTACGCGGAGCCCAGCGGCTCGGCTTCCTCCGTAAGGCATCGGCTGTGCTAGACCCAAAGCACCGGGCAATCGTGTACCGTGGCTTTGTCCGCCCTGTGTTAGAGTATGGCATGCTGGTGTGGATGAGCGCAGCCCCCACCACCTTGGCCCGCCTCACTGCCATCCAGCGCCGTGCCCTGCACATAATTGGAGATGGATCATACCTCCCGAGCCTCGCCATTCGCCGTACGGTAGCAGGGCTCTGCTTTCTGTACAAGCTGCACTTTGTGGAGGGTCCGGAAATGGTGAAAGCCATTCTGCCACCATCAGCAGCCGCACCGAAATGCCGCATGTCTACTCGTGAGACAACCAGATCTGCAACACATCATCCATCACAACTCACCAGTATTCTTCCTCCTCAGTCACGAAACAACACGCTCCGCTCATTTCCCCACTCCCTCATCGCAACGTGGAATCAGCTCCCACCTTAATTTAATTATTCTTTTATTCCACGATGGCGTGACGCCAATAAGGATGATTATAAGTGCGATAGAACTGGTACTAGCCAGAAACAGCTAGATGGAAATTAACCGGGAGGCAAGAAGCAATGGATCATGAAAAACAAGCGGGGCAATAACGTTAGCAGGGGTGATCGAGATAGTTAAGTACACGTTCGAGATATCAGAAACCAGGGGATGCGCGGAGCAGGAACAGGTACTGCTCCAAAGAAGACTGGATGCATTGTTTCGGAAAGAATTTCTACGAGGTTTGGTTGTGATATCGATAGGGAGTGAGTTGTAGAGGGTGAGGGCACTGTTGATGGGGGAATCTCGGTGCCTGTTCGTTTGTGCGTGTCCGATGGAGTAGGTCCTTGTCTGTCGAAGGGTGTATGGTTGCTGTTGACGTTGTGGTGCAAGATGTGGTTGTTGCAGGTGTGGTATGGAGGTTTGGTGGCAGATGTCCCATGCTAGTAGGGCTTGTTTAACAAGGAGTCGTGAGCTAAGGGTGGGGAGCTTTGCATGATGGAGGAGGGAGCTGTGGTGAACTGGTGCAAAGAGGGGAATCCGAAGGCAGATGCGTATAGCATAGCACGGCGTTGAATTCTCTCCAGTGTGTCCCGCTGTTGCTGTGTGGTGTTGGAGAGGGCAAGGCTGCCATATTCGAGAACGGGTCGGATGTAGGTCGTGTATATTAACAATAGGCTGGAAGCGTTCATTGT